CAAATTAATTGCTAGGTTAATTCAATAAGCAATTCTGAGGTATATTTGAACTTTAATTCCATAGCAGATGTAATTCGGACAAATGTTTTAAAATTCAAGAAGAGATTAAATCAATCAAAATAAATCTTATGATTCAACCGAGTCGACAATACTTGGTTCAGTTCTTTCATATTCAATCATACCATGGTCATAGATTAACATAAGCGACCATTCGAAAACATACCATTTTTGTAGAAAATGAAAGAAAATCGCGCTATAACATGTATCGAGTAATTGCCAAGTTTACGTCTTAAGTTTGATGTGGTAAACAGCATTCTTCATTAAGTCACACATATAAGTTAAGGGAAGCAAAAGATCATTTTAAAAATGAAACATATCAATAGATATTTTTAACATTGAAATACTTTTAGAAAGTAAGATTATACTAGTAGATTTGCAAGAACTAGCTGTTTGGAATTCATCAACTTTTCTCCACAGGATCATTTCGTAGTACAAATGCAGGTCATTCAAAGGAAATGTAGGTTTCAACATCCCCGTCTATGAATATTGATCTTTTTCAGACAGCAAAGGTAAGTTTAAAACAGAAATACTTCTTACGAATCCAAATTACATATTAAACTTAGAATTGTGGGTATGTCATGGTATGTTATGGGTATGTCACAAATTTGATTAGATACATTCGCTCAGCACGCCGTTAAACATATAATTAACTTCACAAGCGTAACTATAGGTAACTTCGATTTTAGCATGTTCAATGTTCAAGTTCAAGTTCTGTAGTCTCGAGAGTCAAACGATTATCATAGTTTATTTGGCCTGCTTTTAGAATTAGGAAAACAAAGGCAAGGTTTATGTTTTATGAACATTCTGATTTGATAGCAAACTTTATTTTTGAGTGTATTAAATCAAATAAAGCTTATTGCGTCGGGACCTGTACGTTCGCCCAATTAAAGGCAAATGTGCCGTCAATTAAAGAAACATGCACAGTAGTACACCGTTTTTGGAAAACATAACACTGATAATAGAAATTCATCAATTGTTATGAAATTTGCACCATCATTAAAAGGAATCTCAAATTTCACGATGACAAAATATCGGATAAATATGACAAGAAATAAAAATTTGTTACATTTTTTCCCAAAAAGTTGTAAAATAAAAATAAACTAAAAAAAATAATATTTTCACGACAAAAAATAAATAGTTCAACTGTTTTGATTCTACATGACGTTTTCAAAGAGTAGAGAGCTAGATTCAAAGCACCGTTCCTGCAAGTTTCAAATGAAAATATTAAAAACTGCGCGAGTAAGAGGACCGCAACTTTTTATGTCTACACTGACAAAAACTTGAAATTCCCGTTGTAAAGATATAGTCCCACGCGGAAGTGCACGTCATAAAGCTGATGGGTTAAGGCAATGTGCCGTCCAACAGAATGTGATTATTGTATCACTGTCATATTCTCCTATTATAAATGATATAAGAATAAGAAGATTTATTATTTCCCTGTAGTGATAATCAGTTTGTGATTGATCAGTCATGTACCATGTGACTAGAAATACCACAAGGTATTCCATCCATGTATAAGTCATCGATATGAAAGGTGTATTTTAAAATAAATAAATACAGGTATTCAAGGGATGTGACGTCACATGTATAGGTTATTGAAAACATATGGCATTATTTATTGAATTTTCAATTTTTGAGACATTATATAGTTAATTATTAATGAATATTGTTATACTGTAATATGTATTTCTTCTTTTGATATACTTGTAAATGAGTGAAATAATAAAACAAATATTGAATTCTGTTTCGTGCAATACCTATATATATTTCTGGGGGATGTATTCCACCTGCCCATCAGGCTGCGTGGAATACACCTTTAGAAATAAAGGAAATAAATAATAAAACAAATATTTTAGATGAACAGGTATTCACCTCAATAGTTTAACCTCTTGAATACCCAGACTGACGGATATAAATAAAATCCATTTGGAACCCGAGCGACAGATATATCTGTCACAAAATTTTTCACTTAAACTGCTCTAACTTAGGCATTTTTTATCCAATCTTCACAAATTATGTTTTAGAATGTATGTAATGGGTCTATGTTTACTATTCTTATGAAATCAAATATCAAACATAGTGTTTTTGGATGTAAATATCCAGAAAACTAGCAGAAAATGAAAAATGCTCTGGTTTCAAACCCTTTTTAGAGGCTGGTATTCAAGAGGTTAAAGTTAATTCTAGATTAAGAGGCATCAAGAAGTAAGCATCTAAGACTTAAATGCTTATACTTACATCTTAGAGTTCTTTCTAAGCATGGATTTAGGTAACATGGACTACTTTTTCAAGAATTATATACTAATATGCTCGATCTAATGAGAAAAGGTTTTCAAAATATGATATTATGTAATCGATGTGATGCCATATTTAAATTCTGAAAAACACAAATCCCCAAAAAACATTGTGCACATATGTAATTTTGTGTATAGTATAAATATAGTATAAGTAGATATATGGTGTGACTAAAATACTAATTTTTTTAACCAGAAGATCACATATGCTTCTCCTGGCATTTACTGCATAATCATATTTCATAATAAGGTATTCGCATCATGTGAATTTACCTGATATATGTTTTTATGTAAATAATTGCTTTCTTTCTTACTTGAAACATTCATGTAAAATACAATGCTCTATTAACTAAACCTCATTTTATCGTGGGAAGCAGCATCTGTGGATATGCAAAATAATTATTTCTGTTCAAACCATATTAATACAGATACAATACCTGTATTGTATAATGATGAAAAATGCCACTTACAATTCGGGTGCACCCCAGTTGTCCGAAACCCAGTTGTCCGAAACCCAGTTGTCCGAAACCCAGTTGTCCGAAACCCAGTTGTCCGAAACCCAGTTGTCCGAAGCCCAGTTTTCCGAAACCCAGTTGTCCGAAAAATTTAGTCATAAACATAAACATCCTGATGTATAGATCTCTCTCTCTCTCTCTCACTTTGAATTGCATCCATTACACGGCGTTACCAGAATGACAGGAACGGGGGATTTATTTTACATTGTGATTCTAAAAAAGGTCATCAAAACACAATATATATTACGAAACAGTTGATTTTATCTTATTCAATATATTTTATATAGGCAAAATAAAATTGAACATTTTGAAACCGATTTAAGAATAAACACTGTAAGTATTACGTTGTCAAAATGTTTCGTCGCATTTAATTTCTTAGTCTCTGTCTCTTATCAAATCGTAAAATGTAAAAGAACAAAACATTCTAAACGTAATCACTTGGGATTAACTGGAAACGAAGACAGGCTGTCCTCGTATCAAATTGGATGTTCTCCCATTCGCAAGAAGTTTCATTTTCGCCATGTACTCACTTCATCTTTTTGAATTTAATCTCTATTTCTCGAACAGAGTACCTAAATCATTTTTGGTTTCAAAAGATGTACACGTCAACTTTACTAAATAAATGCCCACTGGCTTGGGAAAACTATTTCCCTTTTATGAACGCCCATCACCCATTGGAAAAATGTTATTCCCTCTCAAAAAAATTTGGACGAAATCTTAACAATGGGTGGTACTGAACAACCAAAATCTTCTTTTTAGATATTTTTCAGGGTAGAAATATTATCAATTGATATTGGAAAACATAATTAACCATATTTTATTGAGGAAAGGGAATGAAAAAAATTATCAAATGAATATTATATAATTGACACGGACGTCCATACGTTATTCTAATGAGATAGATATTCCTTTCGCCAGAATATTCTCTTCGACTGTGATAATTGTCTAAAATGTTGGCGGCAGTCTTGAATTTTTACCAAGAAGGAGTGCGATTCGTGCTGGACAATGCGGTTCAAAATTTGTAGAATGTCCATATAAGTCTATGTGCCGAGAATCTAGTAAGAATATATATATGATCGTGAACTTTCGGACCCATTATTGACCGGGCTAACCGATGTCAACGTGATCCCAATGTTATGCTGTCCTGATTCGCGAGGTTGCGACAAGATTCGTTACTAAGAAATTTAATTTTTTAATTTTCGGAGAACTGGGTTTCGGAGAACTGGGTTTCGGAGAACTGGGTTTCGGAAAACTGGGTTTCGGACAACTGGGTTTCGGACAACTGGGTTGACCCCTACAATTCACATCATGTTGGGAATTGGATGAAAATTGTAATTTGCTTAAAGTTTAGGAAGTACAACAAAATTGCTTATTTAGAAATTTACTAGTTATAATACAACATGCCGTATTATATACCAATATAGGAAATTTAAGTATCTTTAATTTGGTATATCATAATTTGTAAAAATTTATTACAATACTCGTCTACCAGCGTCCATAATACATCTTGAGGGATCCTGGCAAGTTATAGTTATATATTATCTATTTGGGAGCTTAAAAAAATGTTGGTGTCTCACTGGACCTCACACACAAGACATCCTCCAAACACAGGCCTCCAGAACTCGTACCTCCTTCTTACTTCTTCTTAGAAGAAGGAGGACTGTGATCGGAGGATGCACACAAGACAGATCAGGCATATTGTCATATTTATGATTGAAGAAATCATGTTTTGAAAATTGATCTGTTTAGCTTAGCATTTGTGTAGAATCCCAGAAAGGAATTCATGATAGATGAGATTAATAGATTTTGGTATTTGTTTATTTTTGTTTTTTGTATGTATTACTGCCTGAATAAATAAATGGTTAGCTCACAAGCCATCCACTATTATATGTTAGTGTTTTTATTTGCATTGAATGTTGGGCCAAGTTTTCTTTACTATTAATAAAAACAGAATGTTGAGTGTATAACTATTAGGAATATCATAATCACTGGCATGATATGTTAGATCCTGCCATAAATTGTATTTGCACTTTAATTTGTCAGTTATTGCTTCCTTAGATTAAGTAATAATAACCCTTAGAAATAAAAAATAAAACGGGTATTTTAAACTTATATATCTTTTATCTAATTTCAGTGTCTGTCTTCTTCAAAAGTCTTCCAAATCGTTACATCGAACCAATCTATCAATGAAGCACAATTTAATGATGCCTCTTTGGTCATCATATATCACATTTTCCACATGGAAAATATTTGCCAAAATGTATCATCCAATATCACAATGGACTTAGCTTTCTATGTGGATGGAATTATGAATTTTGAGAAAGACAATTTTGACAATTTCCACGATCAAGTTGAGCACTTCATTGAAGTACTAATAGAGAAACTTCATGGAGAAGGTGAACATGAGCATGGAGAAGATCACCATGGAGAAGATGAGCATGGGGCAGATGAGCATGGGGCAGATGAGCATGGAGAAGATGAGCATGATGACCACATGGATGAACATGAGGTAAATACTTGGATAACTTGGCTTTTATCATATGCAGCTCTTAATATTGCCATGATCTTTCATCTCATTTCCATGAGATCTCTAAATTCATGAAAATTACATGAAGGATTATCTTTTTCCCGGAGATTAATTAAACTTCGGGCAATCATCCTGAACTGGTACTCATATGGTTGTATGATTTCAGGAAAGCTGTTTGTTATCTGAATATGTGATGGAATTAATTTGTGCAGATTTTAGATCTTTAGTATCAAGTTGTTAATATAATTTAATTCATAGTAATGTGGTAGTCATATTATTTGGATATTTGATTTGATTTTTCTTGTCAGCCCATGATTCCAGGGCTGACCCTTGTTGGCCATATCCTTACTCTGTGTTCAGTTGTATAATTTATAGCTCTACCTTATTATCCCATTGAACGAAGTTCGGAGGGATATAGGGAACGCCTCCGTCCGTCCGTCCGTACGTACGTCCGTCCGTACGTCCGTACGTCCGTCCGTCCGTCCGTCCGTCCGTACGTCCGTCCGTCCGTCCGGGCAATAACTCAAATACCGTTGGCCCGATTTTGTTCATATTTTGTACAAATATACCCTATGGGGGTAGAAGTTCTGCTCGAAAGCCGATTTTCAAAATGGCCGCTCATTTCAAAATGGCGGCCATTTTAGTGCCGAATTTACAGTAATTTAGGTGCAATATGTAAAACTGTAATAGCAATATGTTTTAGATGTAAAAAAATTATATAGGACATTAATAAAGCTAGAAATGTAGATATTAAAGAAGCACATGGCAGCCATCTTGAAAAATGGCGGCCTTTACTCGTTATTTTACGATTTTTGCTGTAACTCGAAAAGTAGTGGAGCGATTTTGTTCATATTTGGTATGTGAATACTATAAACATTGCACACTGTCTAAAGACACTTTTGGTAGAAGGCGGCCATTTTGAAAAATGGCCGCCATTTTGAAACATGGCCGCCATTTTAACGTATTTTACTATAACTCGAAAAGTAGTGAAGCGATTTTGTTCATATTTGGTATGTGAATACTATAAGCATGGCACACTGTCTAATGACACTTTTGGTAGAAGGCGGCCATTTTTCAAAATGGCCGCCATTTTAACGTATTTTACTATATAACTCGAAAAGTAGTGGAGCGATTTTGTTCATATTTGGTATGTGAATACTATAAGCATGACACACTGTCCTTTGACACTTTTGAAAGAAGGCGGCCATTTTGAAAAATTTTTTGAAAAATGGCCGCCATTTTAACGTATTATACTATAACTCGAAAAGTAGTGAAGCGATTTTGTTCATATTTGGTATGTGAATACTGTAAGCATGGCACACTGTCTAATGACACTTTTGGTAGAAGGCGGTCATTTTTCAAAATGGCCGCCATTTTAACGTATTTTACTATAACTCGAAAAGTAGTGGAGCGATTTTGTTTATATTTGGTATGTAAATACTATAAGCACGGCATACTGTCTTATGGCATTTTTGGTAGAAGGTGGCCATTTTGAAAAATGGCCGCCATTTTAACTTTTTTACTATAACTTGAAAAGTAGTGGAGCGATTTTGTTGATATTTGGTATATATGAATACTATAAGCATGGCACATGGTCTAATGACACTTTTGGTAGAAGGCGGCCATTCTGAAAAATGGCTGCCATTTTTGCTATTTACTTTGTTTGTAAAAATGCCATCCATGGCTGTTCGATGGGATTCGCTACGCTTTGGCGTTGCCGTTGTTCTGGTTCATATTTTTCTATAAGCAAAGATGATATCTTATATTATTCACAGAAAGTCATTGGATTTTAGTAAAAGATACAATACAATAAGATACAAGATACAATATTATTAAATTATAACTTGAAAACATTGCTAGAATATTTTGATAGGTATATCAGAATTAACCTGCATATTTTTTAAGTTAATAATATTTTTGTTCAATTTTCATTTCCTTCATTCTATATATCTGAGGGTATAATAGGGGATGATATACTATCAGTTATCACACGTTTCAGCATGGGATACAGGAAATATTCCTTGAAAGGTAATATTGTATCATCCATGAAAGTGAAGCTTGAGTGGTGATACATTCTCACCCGATTGGAATATTTCCTGTATCACATAAGCTGTAATGTGTGATGATGATTTTATCGCATGTCTTGGAATGTTGAATTGAAGCATTTTGATTTGGTCATTATGATGGTACCATTATGATTGTGTTCAGTACTCTTACTCCTGGTAACTATTATAATTTTGTGTTTTTGAAAGTTTGCTTTGAAATTATTATTTCACTGTAGTAATACTGCCCACCGTATCACATGGAAATTAGTCATGTGATACATATATGAATAAACGTTGTCACAATTGACCAATCAAATGCTTAGAAACTCCTAACAATGTGATATATACGGTGTAAGGATACACAGTGATTGTATCTCCCCAGCATTCAAGTGGGCGCAGCACCAACCTGAGAATGAGATTTTGATAATAGGCTTGCACCCACCTGAGAATCCATTTGCACCCACTTGAAAATGAGAAAAATCATTGAAAGTGGGCATAGTTTGACCAATTTTGGTCTGAATTATGGATATGAGAAATTAGCACCTACTTGAGAAAAAATCCTGTGGAGATACATGTGTCGATTTATAATGATGTATTTTCAATGTTGAAAAATAGCTCCAGGCTGCCATTTTATTTGTTATTTTCAAGTTAGTATAATTGGAAAAATAGTTATGTGATATTAATGATACTTTACCTTAGTACATGTACATGCAATAAATCAATATTCTAGCACTTCATCTATATTAGTCATTTTAGGAAATGATAACTGTCTTTGTCTTACGCATATAAGACATGTTCGAAGCAATTATTTTATGTTGTCATTATCCAGTTTATCTTACACCGATGTGTCACTGCAGTGTGCAATATATATCAGGACAACATTTTACAAATTGCTAGATTATTCAGTTTTCAGATGTGTCTTGCTTTTGTTTTGTTCTTTTGTATAAAGAAAAACATTGATTATATTTGGAGGGGTAATTATATCTTGAAACAAACATGAAATATATACAGGTACTTTGATCATAAGCTCTATTTTAATAGCCTTATAAATACATTATTTAGCTATAATTCTCAATACAGTATTTGGTTCAGTTTTCTGACAATGTCATCTTTTATAGATAAAGTATGAGAAGGAGAGGGGGGGGAAGCTTGATTCAACCCATCATACCTGATGTGTGTTAAATACTGTATAGAGTACTGCTTTAATTAAATTGATTTGATTTGTCAAAGTTTAATTGGTTGGTTTACATTCATGAGCTCATATTAAATGTATAAGTAGGTGACCTTAAGGTTTTTCAATGTTTGATCAAGTGTTTGTTTTTTATTTATTTTACTTGCAGTGTGTGTCAATAGATGAATTGATGCATTCAGCTAGTTTAGAAGAGTCATCTGCTTCAACAAAAGAAAACTGGGGCAAGATGACTACATTACTAGTCCTGAATTTCCTTCAAGGTAGATATACATGTATATAAAAAATGTTTACAAAAACAGAAAATAACAGAAGAAGTAATTCAGTCACTACCTGTTTCATGTTTGCTGGTTTGATACATACCATACCATATTACATACCAGTTTTGAAATGTTGTTTTTCAAATCATTACTTGTACATGTACTTAAAAGAGCAGTATTTCATCTCTATTTACTGTAGATTGGGTTAATTTGGCGCTACTTAATTTGGCGATTTTGCCATTTTTGGCATATTGGCGGCTTTTTAATTTGGCGGATATGCAAAAAAATGTTAATGGAATGTTAAACTTACGCGCTGTTTGCGAATTACCATGTAAATGGGCATGTTTGGCTATGTTCATTTTTTCTTTTGAGGACCACTGGCGATATTCACCACGTTTGTACATTTTTGTGAGATCATCCTTTACATTTTACACCTCAATCGATCCTGCTACTTTTCCCTGAGTATAAATGAGTGACTGACCAGTTCTGAGCCAATTTATGAGAGACATTTTTTCATATTTTTGGAAAAAATAAACCGGAAGTGACCTAAATACACTGGACGAAATACCCTAGATGATTCCCGGGGATTTATTCTAAATTTTGGCGGAGATTTATATTGGCGAATTTTTCAATTTCGCCAAATTCGCCAAATTAAAGCGGGCGTCAAATTAACCCAATCTACAGTATATTACGGAGACATCCTTAATTTATATGATTTTGAGAAAGTAATGAATGTTTTCTGTTAATGTAATTACTTTCATCTTTAACTGGTAACCTAAGCAGTTATCACTATAAGAGGCTTTCACTGCCCCCAGGATTCCGTGTTTGCAGAGCGCGGACGGAATTTGCCTCTGCCCGCGGAATTGCAGAATCAACTATTTTGGTCAATTTCCGCGGAATTTTCCGCAGAATCCATATATTTTCCAAAAGTTTAAAAAGTCGGTCTTACCTGTAACAATTTGACACGTTTTCAGTCAAATCCCTTGCAGAAATAACCCAAATTATGCGAAGTGAAAATTCTAAACGCCATCGTTTGATTTCTGCCGTTAGATGGCAGCATGTATGTAGTGACTGAGACTGACTACCTGACTATCACGATATTTTCCCGTTTACTGGTTCGAAAACCATTAGTTTTTCTTTCGGTTCTCGTCAGAAAGTTAAACAAAGACATAAATTAATAACAGTTATTTATATTATTAAGTTATTGATCGAAAACTTCGAACTCCAATGAGATATTACACTTAAAACCTGATTTACATATATCGTGATTCCCATTATGCGCCCGATCCTCCGTGTTTGAAGTTTCGAAAAATGTGAAATTTGATTAATTACAGCATTTTCATGGAAATGGAACTTTCAGTGGTCAAATTTGTTTGTGGCAGGGTTTAACATGTAGGAATATGATTATCAAATCATGTTTTTAGAATATATGATACTGTTCTTGTTAAACCAATCTTGATTTTTTTTATAATAACCGCAAAAAAATGCCGCGAATATCCGCGGAATTTCTGCAGAATTAGCCCTTTCTTCTTGCAGAATTCACTAATTTCACTTGCAGAATTGAGCATTTTAACTTGCAGAAAACTGGGGGGAGTGGGCTTTATAACAGTATAATCAGTCCACAAAATATGTGAGACTACTAAATTACCAAACATTAAGCCTCTGACCATTGAAAAATCAAAAAGTTTGGCATCAGTGGATATGAGTTGATGAAAGATGTAGAAGTATCTCCCTTAATGGAATGAGATATATGTATAGGGTGTCTCAAAAAATGTACCCAAAAGTATATCAGCACCATAGACAAACCAATCAATATTTTCAGACATTTTTTGCATGGTCTTGCAGATAAAAGATGAAAGTTTTTTCCCCTATACACAATTTTTAATTCAGTTTTGCCTTTTTGATACTTTAACCCGTTAACTTTTACACCACGTATTCAATGTAACCTCATATTTCGATGACAGTCTGCATCCTTACTCCTACATTGTTCACCACATTTGATATATCTGGTAGAATGTTTTGATTTCTGTTTGGATGCTGGTCTTAAGTTGTTCTTGGTCTCTTAGCTTGGGTTTAGCATAAAAATGGTCCTTCAAATAGCCTCAGAGATAAAGGTATGGGCCGTCAAATATGGTGAATAGGGAGGCCCTCACAATGTCTTATAGCCCCCTTATACAGAGAGGTCAGAAGTTCAAGAAACTGCATTGGTTGGGATTCTAGTGTAGCTTTTGTTTGATGTATCAATTCGAGACCACTGTGTTTTCATTTGGATATCATTTGGTCTCCAGGCTAGCCTGCCTTACTCTGGAAGGTAACTCCTGAATCATTTGCCGATAATTGACCTGATTATCTGTATTTGTTCTGCCATCGTCATCCTCAAACATCTTTCTCTGTGGCTCTTTGAAGGAGTGTTTTAATGCTCATTCCAAGCAAAAAGCTCTAAAACAACTTAAGGGCAACATCCAAAGAGAAATCCAAAACATTCCACCGGAATTATTATCAAATGTGATGAACAATCTAACAGTAAGGATACAGCCTGTCGTCCAAATATGAGGTTACATCGATTATGTGTTGTAAAAGGTAAAGGGTTAAAGCATCAAAAAGACAAGACTGAAATAAAAATGGTGTATTGGGGAGAAAACTTTCATGTTTCGGCTACATGACCATGCAAAAAATGTCTTAAAATATTGATTGGTTTATCTGTGCTCTTCATATACTTTTGGGTACATTTTTTTGAGACACCCTGTATATAACATGGTTAAATGGTGTTATTGTAGGGACTAATATTCGACATGAATGTCCAAAAGGCCACCCTAAGAGAGAGGAATTCATTGATGCCATATTTAAGCATTTTAACATTGCTGAGGGGGAGAATATGATGGAAGAAGGTAAGCAATGGACTACCCTCAAGTTCATCTACATTTCAAATTAGACTGATTATGTTAAATGTAATCTTCATTTTCTGTCTATATTTATCCAGTTTTCATTTCCCTGAATTTCAAACATATAAAAGCTACACAAAGTTGCATTAAAGATCTTTAAGATCTTATCAGATTTTTTTCATAATCAGAATCAAAACTATAAAAATATTAGTGATAATCAGAGGGTAGTACTATAATTTGTTATTATAGCCAATATTTAGGCTAGAAATAGATCTCCATGTACTGTATTTGAGTTGTTTCGCAGTAAAACTCACAACCAATAATGTAGGGTATAGAATCTATTATAAATAAAAAGGATATCCATTTTTAAATCCGAAAATATGGCTTCACTCATACTATTGTGTCATAAAAATCAGTCAGTACCCTGCCTAACCATCCCCCATATGTTGTCTAACTCTTAGTTTTTTAGGTATTTTATATAGCACAACAGAAAAGGTCATGAATTTAGCGGATAATATAGAACCAAGATTTGCCAAATGTCAAAATATCCTAAAAATGTGGTCAATGCGTAATTTAACTATGTTAGGCAGAATCACACTGATTAAATCATTAGTCTCATCACAATTCATGTACTTAATGCAAAGTTTTGTTTTCAATGATGACATATTAAGAAGAATGAACACCATGTTTTTTAAGTTCATATGGTCCAAAGGCAATTATAAGGAAGAGGATTTAAAATCTGTACCAGAACATGTTAAAAGGGATTTTATGGTACAAGATTACAAAGATGGAGGTCTGAAAATGATTGATATGTATGATATGCAAGTCTCATTTATTATGAAATGGATTAAACTGATAGTTTTACCAGGTAATGGACATTGGAGATGTCTTCCAAAGTTTTACTATAGCAAATATGCAACAGAACTTTATGTATTTAAGTGCAACAGTACAATTAATAATTATACTGGTTTACCTCATTTTTACAAGAAAGTTTTACAAACTTGGCAAAATTATAAAACTGAATCAGACCAATCAATTATTTGGAATAATGAAAAGTTAAAAATAAGTGGAAATAAAATATGTTTTACAAATTGGATCGCAAAAGGTATAAATTTTGTAAGTGATATTGTAACCAATGATAGAGTAATGACATATGATGAAATATCTAGGATTATTGGTAGGAATCCTTTGACACTGATACAATACATTGGTCTTTCAAATTGTATCAATAGAAATGTAATATTACTTTATGGCAATGTAAAAGCGGATGATGATTTCAAAATATATTTAAATGGTAAAGAGATAACATTTTATGAAACATCAGATTTTAGAAAACTATGTACAGATAAAAGAAAATTGATTTTACAGTATAATGGTAAGGATATTTCATGTGCAACTTGGCTTAGAGCATTCAAGTGCAAAGTAGATGCCAAACTCTTAATTATTCACTGGAAAACATTACACAACATATATCCATGTAATGAGATTTTAAATCGTTTTAGAATTAGAGATAGTTCATTTTGTGAGAATTGCAATATAATTGACAATGTTAAACATAATTTTTATGAGTGTACAAAAATAAGGGATATATGGAAATTTTTTGATAATATCACTTTTGAACAAATTATAGGAATAAATAAGTATAAGAATTATAAAGAAGTTTTAATAGCCAGGAGAGCAATACAAATTTTCAATATAGACAAAACTGGAAGTACTCTAAGAGCGAGGAGGAAAATTCTTAATAAATGGAGTATAGTTGGTTTGGCAGCATTTTCAGTTAGAGGGAAGTCTTGGATGAAAATCCTAATAGCTTCACAGAGTGGTACATAATTCTTTTTTTTCAGGGGTTAGCCCCCCACCCCCCAAAAATACCCCACCCCGGTAAAATAATTTTTTCATTCTCAATAACTTTAGATATCTTGATGTTTGTAAGTTACATACATAGACATTATATATATGAATCATTTGCAAAATAAATAATGCCAATCACTTCTACAGAATTTGAAAAATAGTACAAAGTATGTACCCCAGGGGGCAAATTCGTGAGCCATTTTACTACTATTTAGAGCCTCACTTTTAAATCAGACACTGAAAGACATTGGAAAAATTCATGTGAAGTGTCCAGTAGTAGGGCTATAAGCCCTGAAAGTTTCAAACTAAATGAATCAGTAGGGGCCAAGGAAAATATTGTTGATTTTTTGAAAAATTTGACATTTTTGAGAGGGGTGATTTTGTGTATGACTATAGCTGATGCCTATGGTTTCTAGATTTATCCCTCTTTGATGATAAATATGGTTTTGAAGTATGGAACTAAGATGTAAAAAATAATTAAAATGGGTTTTAAGCAAGTTTAAAATTCTAAACAAGTTCAAAATTCGATAAATTGTATAATATCAGGTCTGAATTTACGAATTTTAGGTAAGACCTTGAATGAGCCTTAGATTTTTTACATCTGTCCCCCTTTGATGATATTTATGGTTTTGTATCAGGTCTGGATTTATGAATTTCAGGTATGACCTTGGACAACAATTATCTTTTTTACATCTTTCCCCCTTTTATGATATTTATGGTTTTATAGTGTGGAACTAAGATGTAAAATATAATTAATAGATGAATTCTAAGAAGGTATAAGGATTTTAACAAGTTCAATATTTGAAGAATTGGATAATATCAGATCTGAATTTTCAATTTCAGGTATGACCTTGGACGACCCTTTTGTTTTCTACATCTGTTCCTCTTTAATGACATTTATGGTTTTATAGTGTGAAACTAAGATGTAAAATATAATTCAGATGAATTTTAAGAAGGTTTAAGGAATTTAACAAGTTCAAAATTTGAAAATTGTACAATATCAGGTCTGAATTTACGAATTTCAGGTAAGACCTTGGATGGCTCTTTTGTTTTTTTCATCTGTTCCTCTTTAATGATAGTTATGGTTTTATGGTATAAAACTAAGATGTAAAATATAGTTGAATTTTAAGAAGGTTTAAGGATTCTAACAAGTTCAAAATTTGAAGAATTAATTGTACAATATCAGGTCTGAAAATTAGAATTTCAGGTATGACCTTGGACAACTCTTTTGTTTTTCACATCTGTTCCTCTTTTATGATAGTTATGGTTTTATGGTATAGAACTAAGATGGAAAATATAGTTGAATTTTAAGAAGGTTTAAGGATTCTAACAAGTCCAAAAGTTGAAGAATTGTACAATATCAGGTCTGAATTTACAAATTTTAGGTAAGACCTTGGATGAGCCTTATATTTTTTTTACATCTGATGATGACACCTTTGATGATATGTATGGTTTTGTAGTGTGGAATTAAGATGTAAAAAATAATTTAGGTGCATTTTATGAAGGTTTAAGGATTTTAACAATTTGAAGAATTGTACAATATCAGGAATGAATGAATTTCAAGTATAGCCTTGGTTGGCCCATATGTTTTTTACGCCTATCCCTTTTCATGATATATTTGGTTTAGTTGTGTGGAAATATGTATAACATAATTTGGATGGGTTTTAAAGAAACTTAACGTTTTAAACAAGTTCAAAATTTTGGCGTATTGTACAATTTCAGATCTGAAATTAATGAATTTAAAGTATAACCTTGCTTGGCCCTTATATTTTTAACATCTATCCTTTTTGGATGATATATATGGTTTAGTAGTGTGGAGCTAATATGTAAAACATAATTAAGATGGGTTTTAAATAAGTTTAAGGTTTTGATCAAGTTCAAATTTTGACGAATTGTACAATATCAGAGCTGATATTAATATTTGGGGTATTACGGTGAGCCTTATGTTTTTACATATATCCATTTTTGATGACATGTATGCTTTAGTAGTGTTGAACTAAGCTGTTAAACATAAATTAAACAGGTTTTAAAGAAGTTTAAGGTTTAAACAAGTTAAAACTGGTCTATGGGAACATAAATGTCATCTTATTTTTGATAGTCACTACACCCTCAGTTTGCATGCTTTGTGGCTACTTTTCCTAATGGATTTAAAGAGAGGAGTAGATTGCTATATAATCCATTGAATCATCTGGAGCTCTGTAGGTATTTTTTGAAATATATACTACTTTTGTCTTTAAAATATCATTGAGATATATCCCCAGCATCTATCAAATGTTATAAGGTGTACATTACTATAGATAATAGTGAATGAAGGGATGGTTATCATAGCTGTTTGCAGAGCACATGGCTAATTTGGGAAAAATGTGGTTTTCAGATTCAATGCTAAAAGCAAAATGGGTACCTTTTCTAGAGATATGTAGGAAGTTGTATAAAACGGTTGAGCTTATTCAAAGTGGTTTCAATAAGTCCAGAATTGAACAAGCTTTCATATGATATACGAGGGTTGATCACAAAGTTCTCATAATATCTCTCTAATTTCTTTATTTTTCAATATATTCTAATGAAATTTTCACAGAAAATGCAGCATAGAATGTCTTATTAATTCAGCAAAAAATATTAGTTTAACAGAAATATTAAATAAGAAATGGTTGCCATGGTAACGGCAAATCGAGGCACCTGGGGCAAATAAAAGTAATTGAGAGAATGGCTCAAATTAACCATGTTAACACACATAATAAACTCTCATAAATTACCAAACACGTTAAAATGTTAACTTGAATATGTTGTAACGTGCTTTTACTATTAAAAAATTGATCATGTGAATTGTGTGATGTCATAGGGGATGCTTCCATGCTTCATTAGATGTGATACCAGAGTCTGAGTCTCAAAGCTAATGATCAGAAATGACCGTGGAAGAGAATGCAATAGATGCAGAGATCTTCAGAATAATAAAATTCATACTGATAAAAGTTATGTTAAGTTTGTAAGATCCTTTGGTCAGACTAAACATGATCTAAAACAAATATATTGCTAAGATATCAACAAAATTACACCCTGTGTGTGGTCTGTACATGTCAAAAATGAACTAAAGGGGCAAAATCAATTTTCCTCAGGATATTTAACAAAACAGTCATGTGGTCTAACAGTCACTTCTAATGAAGCATAACAATCATCCATTATGGGATCACACAATTCACATGACCACTATAATAGTTCACAACAGTCAAGAGCACATATTATTTGACAATTTACTGTGTTTGATAGCTTATTTGACAACTTATTATGTATTTAAACATTCTTAATGAGGGCTTTTTTTATTTGCCCCGGGTGCCTTGATTTCAAGTTACTATGGCAACCATTTCTTATTTAATGTTCCTGTTATTCTAAATATTTTTTGCTGGATTAATAAAACATTCCATGCTGCACATGCTGTGAAAATTTCATCGGAAAATATTGAAAAATAAATAAATTAGAGAGATATTATGAGAACTTTATGATCAACCCTCGTATAACATATGTTGGTATGCTATTTAGGATCGGAGGTTGATGGGGAGGGGGCTCTCAATATGAAACACCCTGTATATGATTTTGTAGTATGAAACTAAGATGTAAAACATAATTTAGATGGGTTTTAAGGAGGTTTAAGGTTTTAAACCTGTTCAAAACTTGACAAATTGTACAATATCATATCTGACATTAACGAATTCCAGGTATATATCTCTCAATGATGATATACACTGTATATGGTTAAGCAGTATGGAACTAACATGTAAAACATAATTTAAATGGGTTTTAAGGAAGTTTAAGGTTTTAAAGAAGTTCAAAACTTGACAAATTGTACAATATAAAGTCTGAAATTCTTAACCTCTTTGATGATTTACATGGTTTTGTAGTGTGGAACTAAAATGTAAAACAATATTTAGGAATTTGGGGTTTTAAAGAGGTTTTTATTTACTTTTTACTTATTGCTAAATTATTATCTAGAAATTATCATCATTTTGCATTTTTATATTTAAGGCCATGAAAAACAAGGTATTTTATAAATGTCATTTTTATTGGGATCAACTTTGGACTATATAACTTTGCCCCTCTACCCCCAATCACCTTGATCTTCAATTTCAGACCTAATATTGCACAATTTGTCAAGTTTTGAACCTCTTTAGAACCTAAAACTTCCTTAAAACCCAACCAAATTATGTTTTACATCTTAGTTTCATACTACAAAACCATATATGTTATAGAGAGATATATGTTAAAAACATAAGGCTTATCCAACGCTATACCTGAAATTTGTTTATTTCAGATCTGTTATTGTACAATTTGTCAAGTTTTGAACTTGTTTAAAACCTTAAACCTCCTTAAAACCCATCTTAATTGTGTTTTACCTCTTCGTTCCACACTATCAAACCATATATATCATCAAAAGGGGATAGATATTAAAAACATAAGGGCCAACAAAGGTTATATTTGAAATGTGTTAATTGCAGACCTAATATTGTACAATTCGCCAAGATTTGGAACATGAGAAAATCCCTAAACCTTCTTAAAATCCATCTTAATTATTTGTTTACATTTTAGTTCCACACTACAAAACCATACATATCATCAAAGAGGGACAGATGTAAAAAATATATGGCTCACCAAAGGTCTTACCTGAAATTTGTAAATTCAGACCGGATATTATACAATTCTTCAAATTTTGACCTTGTTAAAGTACTTTAACCTTCTAAAAATTCATCTAAATTATATTTTACATCTTAGTTAGTTACTATAAAACCATAAATATCATCAAAGCGAGAAAGATGTAAAAAAGATAATTGTTGTCTAAGGTCATACCTGAAATTCATAAATTCAGACCTGATATTGTACAATTCTTCAAATTTTGGACTCATATAAATCCTTAAACCTTCTTCAAATCCATCTTAATTATTTTTTTTCTTTTTAGTTTCATACTACAAAACCATACATATCATCAAAGAGGGACAAATGTAAAAAATCTAAGGCTCATCCAAGGTCTTACCTGAAATTTGTAAATTCAGACCTGATATTGTACAATTCCTCAATTTTGGACTTGTTAAAATCCGTAACCTTCTTTAAAACCATCTAAATTATTTTGTACATCTTAGTCCCTCACTACAAAACCATAAATATCATCAAAGGGGGACAGATGTAAAAAATCTAAGGCTCATCCAAGGTGTTACTTAAAATTCGTAAATTCAGACCTGATATTATACAATTCATCGAATTTTGAACTTGTTTAAAATTTTAAACTTCCTTAAAACCCATTTTAATTATTTTTTACATCTTAGTTCCATACTTCAAAACCATATTTATCATCAAAGAGGGATAAATCTAGAAACCATAGGCATCAGCTATAGTCATACACAAAATCACCCCTCTCAAAAATGTCAAATTTTTCAAAAAATCAACAATATTTTCCTCGGCTCCTACTGATTCAATTAGTTTGAAACTTTCAGGGCTTATAGCCCTACTACTGGACACTTCACATGAATTTTTCCAATGTCTTCCAGTGTCTGATTTAAAAGTGAGGCTCTAAATAGTAGTAAAATGGCTCACGAATTTGCCCCCTGGGGTACATACTTTGTACTATTTTTCAAATTCTGTAGGAGTGATTGGCATTATTTATTTTGCAAATGATTCATATATATAATGTTAATGTATGTAACTTAGAAACATTAAGATATCTAAAGTTATTGAGAATGAAAAAAATATTTTCCCGGGGTGGGGTGTTTTTGGGGGGTGGGGGGCTAACCCCTGAAAAAAAGAATTATGTACCACTCTGTGAAGCTATCACCTAGGTAGGATTTTCATCCAAGACTTCCCTCTAACTGAAAATGCTGCCAAACCAACTATACTCCATTTATTAAGAATTTTCCTCCTCGCTCTTAGAGTAAAGTATACATGCTTATTTTGAAAAAGAGAAACTGTACAGAAATTAAACAATGTAATTAGGCCTATGTATAATGTATATTTGTATATATGTTTTATTCTTGAAATATAGTTTTTACAAAAAAAACAAAAAAACTCTTAGTTTTGGAATAGATAATGGGGGGGGCAGCAAAGGGGATTGAAGCAAGACTAAATATCAAATTGAATATTATTTCAGATTTTGAGAAGCTACTGAAGATGTTGAAGATTGGTTCAGCAGAAGGACATGAAGATCATGAGGGAGACGAACATGCTGGTCATAAGGAAGATGAAGATGCTGGTCATAAGGAAGATGAACATGCTGGTCATGATCATAAGAGACGTAGAAGGTCTCCTTCACAACGCAAGTTTAAACAAAATTCTAGACATAAAAGAAATGCTGAAGCTGTTCAAAAGGTACCTTTACTACTCCACTGTTTATTATATCGCCAAAATATTTGATATATGCTTGTGATTTGTTTCATTGAAGAAATGCACAAACCCAGGATGAAAAAATCACTCAGTGATCTAAAATTTTGTCATTATTCTATATATATATTTCAGTGTTTCAATGGGGAGGCCATTATGGATATGTATGGAGTGAATCACAGTGTTGGTATCTCAGAGACACAGTTTGCCACCCTGACCCCCACCTTAATCCAGCAACAAATCACTGGAGCGTGCATGAAGAATGAAGTTCATGAAGAAAAGTTGAAAGAGACTCTTACATTAGCTGAAAGTAGGTTTAGTGCCTTTGGCTAAATACTTATTATTGTAGACGGGATTCTGTTGAATTATTTTAGGCTAACTCCTAATTTTAGATTCCATTAAATTATCCATAGAAGATAACTCAAATATTAGTTGACAGATTTTCTTCATATTTGGTGGAAAGAAATTTTTTCAAGATTGCCACAACTTTAAAAATGACGGGAATTATCAGCTGTATTATTATGTTATACTCAAATGAAAGGCAATTTAGAGTAGATTGCAAATATTGTATTTTTTCTGATTCTTGCCTCGTAAAATTCAAAGTGGCCACCTAATGTGTGATTTCACAATGATTAAACAATAATTTTCTTATCTCTTAAAAGTATGGCTATACGAGGGTTGATCAATAAGTAATGGACGCTGTTTTACACAGATACTTTTTATGGACCAATCCCTTTGATTTTCCTACCAGTGATACATCATTCAATTATCTGTAAATTCTGAAGATTTGAAGACAAAATGTATAATACATGTTGATATATCCGTATTTCCATGAAGGAGGTACAGGTACTGGATTCAGCCTTGTCTCACAATCTTGAGTTAAGATGATGAGGAATTGTGTACATGTAGCACTTGATGGAACCTATGTAGAGGGCCCTCAGTGTTCGCGCTAGCCATTTAAATTTCTGAGTCCCAGGGACGCAACACATTTGAAAAATGTGAGTCCCGTCTAATTTTTTTTGCGTCCCTCATATTTTGTTATTAAAGTGAAAGTAAAGTGGGCGATAATAGAGTGCTTCCGCTAAAACGGGATAAAAATGACATGTATTGTAATTCTATGCATTCTCCCGATAAATATCTATCATTTGGTCCTTTTCACACAATTCTTTACTAATGCTATGCCAAAATTCTCCGAAATGAATGAAAGAAATCAAATTTAAGAGTTGTTTTCACATTTTACCAACCAGCGATCTTCAAGGTCGTGTCAAGGTCGTGAACTTTTTGTTTCTTTTTATAACATTTCTCCTTACTCTGACGACTTTTAGATGAAAAACGTTGATCTATCATTAAATAATTATAGTGATGTATAACATTAGATCGATATCTAACGGTTCCTAGTGAAGTAATTAAGGTTATCGTGAAAAACAAGTCTCAATTCTCAATTTTGAAACTAATGTTTGCGTACAACAGATTATCCAGCTTCGGTATACTCCGGAATGACTCGGAGGGCACCATAGCCTAAAGAAGAGGCCAAAACAAAGCAAAGAAACGCTTAAACTAGACCGCACAACAAGTGCTGCCGCAAACATATAAGTGCGGGAAGAACAATACAACAAGAACAAGAACATAGCCAATCAAATGCTGCGTTTCAGACTAGAAACCCCGCGAATATACTGAGACACTTCGGTAGCCAATCAGATTTGCCGACATAAACACTATCGAGATCAAGGAAGTAGACGATTTGAAAATTCTTCAGAAAATCATGTTTTATCACTTCTACGCTGCAGTAAAAGTTACCTGATGGTGGTGTAGAATCTTTGCGTCCCAAGGACGTAAGTTATTTCTGATTTTTCCGTCCGACCTCTTGAAATTTCCGTAAAAACGAGAAAAAACGGCGTCAACGCGAACACTGGCCCTGTAATATGAATGTGGCATGAATACCACATAGTGATGATAAAATATTCAAAATCAACTAGGGCATAACAAAATGGGGTAATTCATGACCATAATGATTTGTTTTGTTCAGCCTGCATTCAACTGCGTTGCTTGTTAAACAAGCTAAAATAGCTTCAGAATGTTTGACATCATGTCGGTCCCGGGGTACCTATACCTCCTTCACGGAAATAAAGATATATCAAAATATATTACGTGTTTTCTTTTCAAATCTTCAGAGTTGATAGATAATTGAATGATGTATCACTGGTAAGAAAATCGAAGGTATTGGTCTATAAAAAGCATCCGTGTAAAAAAGTTTCCATTACTTATTGATCACCCCTCGTATTATACTATTATGTTATATATTATATCAAATTGAAGGGATTTTAGAGTAGATCACAATTATGGTATTGTTTTTCTGATTTGTGCCTCAAAAAATTCAAAATGGCTGCCAAGAGCAGGAATTTTCCATTACTTAGAGATATCTTTAAAGTACAGTACTGTATGGTTACATGATACTACAACGATCTCAAGTATTTATAGAAGGGAACAGTAGATGGTAAATATTACAATGCATATTGTGACTTAACAGATTCATGATATATAGAGTGTTCGTTGGGATTTGCTACTCCTTGGAGTTGCTGATTTCTAGTTGTAATTGTAACCATAGAAATTATGACTCTATTAAGAGAATGGAGAAATTCTCAATTTTAGATTGTTAGACAGTTAGATAAGTTTACTTGAATCATTTGACATCGACAATGGAGCAAGGTATTCAACCAAAAGGAATCCGATATATGTGATCAGTAGAAATATAAAGCAGATATGGTCTTATTTATTTCAGCATATGGGTATGGTACTTTATCTGTATTTATCATTAGTTTGTGTGCCATGTTGGGAATCTTCACCGTACCTTGTCTACGCACCAACACGTATCGTTACGTTATGACGACATTTGTAGCCCTCGCTGTTGGAACAATGGCTGGAGACGCTCTCCTGCATCTCATACCACAGGTTTTTACATCTTATCATTTTTAGCCCACTTTTTTATTTTTCTAAGGGTCTTCCTTCACTAAACTATAATATGCAAAGTTACCATAGCTAAATACTTTCAACAATAATCTTACATTACATTTTGCATACACTGATTTTGAGTAGTCTATACTATTAATATTTTTATCACACCATCGGTGGGATATAGTTGTCATGATGATGGCGTGATCATTATCGTGATCATGCTCGTGATGATGTTTTTTCTGTCATCGCCATTTCAGGAAAACCACTCTTGAATTTTCTCCAAATTCGCAAACATGATAGAAGATATCAAGTTCTAGAACTGATTAACTTTTGGGTGGCCATCTTGTTTTCTGGTGGCCATTTTGAAGGTTTTTCGATAAATCTTGTCATCGCCATTTCAGGAAAACCGCTCATTGGATTTTCTTCATATTCACACACATGATAGAGGATATCAAATTCTAGAGCAGATTAAATTTTGGGTGGCCATTCTAGAGCTGATTAAATTTTGGGTGGCCATCTTGTTTTCTGGTGGCCATTTTGAAGGTTTTACCATACATCTTGTCACTGCCATTTCAGGAAAATCGCTCATCAGATTTTCTCTTAATTCGCACACATGATAAATGATATCAAGTTCTAGACCCGAATATCTTTTGGGCAGCCATCTTGTTTTCTCGTGGCCAATTTGAAGGTTTTTAGATAAATCTTGTCATCGCCATTTCAGGAAAACAGCTCATCAGATTTTCTTCAAATTCATTCACATGATAGAGGATATCGAGTTCTAGAGCTGATTAACTTTTGGGTGGCCATTTTGTTTTCTGGTGGCCATTTTGAAGGTTTTTCAATGGTGTGATCCTGTTCACACCATGTGTCTTGTTCCATATATTGTTTGTTTCATCTTTATTCAAATAATGGATGTAATATAGGTAATTAGCTAGTGTGTGAAATATGTGATTGTATAGACATATACATTTCTTGCCTACTATGTGTATTCTAAATGTTTATCACAAGAAAAAATACAGAATTTGATGAACTGAGATCAGAGTGTCAGTTTTAGCCTCGTCACTTGTAATATTAGAGATGCAAAGAGGCAATATGCTTCTTTAATACACACATCCAATAACATCAAAGGGTTTTATCAAGAGAATAAATGAAAGACCCCAATACAATTGAATTGCTCTTATACTTTAGGTATGTAATAATCATCAATATACTGTTACACATGTATCTTTGTTCTAAAATTCATATAGGTATTTTGTTTTGTTATTTAGGCTTTGGGAATTCATGTCCATGAAGATGATGGGCATGACCATACTCCTACAGGCCCTATCATACTTGAGGATTGGTTGGCCAAACAGTTGATTGTTGTTGCAGCACTCTATGCCTTCTTCCTGCTAGAAACTTTCATGGATATTGGGAGGCCTGATACACCAGTAAGTGAAACAATACTGAGAGCATAGACATTCATCATCAATCTTGAAATAAGAGAAAATTCTTTGATTTAGAGTATCTGGGTATATCCATTTAGCCTATGCAGTCAGAAAATTCATCTTCGAATTCCAAGTAGTTATTATAACACCAATCATGACACTATATTTTCTGATTTTAAATAGCTTTGGATACTGTTGATATTTGTTTCAATTGTTTACTTGTAAGTATCTCTCATTGCTGCTGACATTTCAAAATGTTAGTTCGCTCATATGTTATGTGAGTTTTTTTTTAAGTTTAAGAAAACGCTTGATACCTAAGCTAGCATCCCGCATGCAGCCTGCTGTCGGATTAACAAATTGAACATTAAACCTGTCATTATGTCACCACCAAAAGTGGTGACATATTGTTATGGTCTCCGTTTTTTTGCGACGGCGGTTGCTGGTTGGAGGTTGGCGTCCGGCGTCTGTAACAATTTCTTACAACTTCCTATAACTTAACAAATACTGTTTAGACTGACTTCAATTTTTTTCTAAATCATCTACATGTTCTCAGAATTTCAAATCTGACTTTAGATTTGACATTTGACCTTCAATGACCTTCTCAAGGTCAAAAAGGTCTTTTTTCAACTTGCTTCACATTGACTAAATTTTTTTTCAAAATCATCTACATGTTCTCAGAAATTCAAATCTGACTTTAGATTTGACTTTAGATTTGACATTCAAATCTGACTTTAGATTTGACATTTGACCTTCAATGACCTTCTCAAGGTCAAAAAAGGGCAAAAAGGTCTGTTTTCAACTTGCTTCAAATTGACTAAAAAATTTTTTCAAAATCATCTACGTGTTCTCAGAAATTCAAATCTGACTTAAGATTTGACTTAAGATTTGACATTTGACCTTCAATGACCTTCTCAAAGTCAAAAAAGGTCAAAAAGGTCTTTTTTCAACTTGCTTCAAATTGTCTAAATTTTTTTTTTAAATCATCTACATGTTCTCAGAAATTCAAATCTGACTTCAGATTTGACATTTGACCTTCGATGACCTTCTCAAGGTCAAAAAAGGTCAAAAAGGTCTTTTTTCAACTTGCTTCAAATTGACTAATTTTTTTTTTCAAAATCATCTACATGTTCTCAGAAATTCAAATCTGACTTTAGATTTGACATTTGACCTTTAATGACCTTCTCAAGGTCAAAAAAGGTCAAAAAGGTCTGTTTTCAACTTGCTTCAAATTGACCAAATTTTTTTTTCAAAATCATCTACATCTTTTCAGAAGTTCAAATTTGACTTTACAAGTTCTCAGAAGTTCAAATCTGACTTTAGATTTGACCTTTGACCTTCAATGACCTTCTCAAGGTCAAAAAGGTCTTTTTTCAACTTGCTTCAAATTGACTAATTTTTTTTTCAAAATCATCTACATGTTCTCAGAAGTTCAAATCTGACTTTAGATTTGACATTTGACCTTCAATGACCTTTTCAAGGTCAAAAAGGTCTTTTTTCAACTTGCTTCAAATTGACCAATTTTTTTTTCAAAATCATCTACATCTTTTCAGAAATTCAAATTTGACTTTACAAGTTCTCAGAAGTTCAAATCTGACTTTAGATTTGACCTTTGACCTTCAATGACCTTCTCAAGGTCAAAAAGGTCTTTTTTCAACTTGCTTCAAATTGACTAATTTTTTTTCAAAATCATCTACATGTTCTCAGAAGTTCAAATCTGACTTTAGATTTGACATTTGACCTTCAATGACCTTTTCAAGGCCAAAAAGGTCTTTTTTCAACTTGCTTCAAATTTACTTAATTTTTTTTTCAAAATCATCTACATGTTCTCAGAAGTTCAAATCTGACTTTACATTTGACATTTGACCTTCAATGACCTTCTCAATGTCAAAAAAAGTCAAAGAGGTATTTTTTCAACTTGCTTCAGATTGAACAATTTATTTTTTCAAAATCATCTACAAGATCCCAGAAGCTCAAATCTTCAAAAACCTTCTTAAGGTCAAAAGGTATTTTCCAACTTGCTTTAAATTGACCAAATTGTTTTAGGTGGTGACATTTTGTCATGTTAATGCCTTGTTTTAAAGTTGTAATAATGAACAAAAATTCTGGCTTGTAATTTACTTGAATAGTTAATTTGGCCCAGTAACTAAAAAATTTATAATTAATAATATAAATAAATGTTTCATGATTGATATAGTATATATTTCATATTTTTTGAATAGGCTATCAAATGACAATGTATAAAATTTCAATAGTTCAAATCTAACTTTTCTTTTTGTCTGGTTATAGGATCACCATACTGGACACAGCCATGGATATGGCCACAGTCATTCACATATTCCTGACAAACACGAACTGAAACATTCAAAGAAGAGAGACGAAAAGCAGATGAATGAGGTGTGGGGTTTATTTAAATTGTACCTTTTTTCATTGAGATATTATTGTATAGACTTAAGAATTAATTGTCTAACATTCAAATCTAATCATTCATTATTATCTACATTATATTATGATTTATACAAGAATGTACTTGTGGTGGAAAATTAATATTGAGTTGATCATAAAGTGAGAGCACTCATTGAGAGCAGTGTGAAAAACATTTTTTCTTTTCCACTGCACATTTTTACAATAACCACGAGCTGCTCAACAGGCATGCCTTAACATGGGGGGGGGGGAGGGGGGCTAAGGGGCCCACTACCTTTTTTCCTTCAAGCAGATAAATGTGAGTTAGAACTCAATTTCAAAGTGGCAGTGATACATGATTGGATAAGTCCAAATAATTCATTTGAATATTGAAGTTGGAGATGTTTAGTTGTTGCCATATATCCTAAAGATTAATACATTGTCAGAACATAAATCCTTAAAATAGACATGTAAAGGTGTGATCAATTAAAGTATTGTAAAATTATGACAATCTTCCTGAAAGTCACATCTCTGCTCTTTGTTCTTTGCCCCTTTAACTCACTTCTTAACAATTAACATTAATCATGGGATGGCCATTTCTGTTACTAATCTATATATTTGTTATTCATTTCATTAGGATGTGCTATACAGACCAATCGAAGCTAATGCTCAGCTCCCAAGTGAAATGGTATTTTAAACTAGTAGAGGCATTAGCTGAGTTCAATATTTTATTTTATCCCAACCTGGCTCTATATTTAAGAAATATTCCTTTCCAGACCATTTTTTATGTCACTATCAAAAGTGGTGGGTGGTTTTTGCATCTAGCGTCTGTTACAAATTCTAAAAACTTAACAATATACTGTTTAGACTGATTTCAAATTTTTTCAAAATTCAAAATCATCTACTTTAAGTTTAAATCTGACTTTAGATTCGAGATTTGACCTTTTCAAAATCATCTTCAAGTTCTCAGGAATTCAAATCTGATTTTTGGATTTAAGACTTGACCTTCACTGACCTTCTCAAGGTTAAATGGTCAAAAAGGTATTTTTAGCTTGATTCAAATTGACCAATTCTTTTTTCAAAATCATCTACAAGTTCTCAGAAGTGCAAATCTGACTAATATATTGAACTCATAATATTGTGAGCAAATAGGTGATGGCATTATGTCTATAGTAAATGCCTTTACTATATGCCTTAACTGTCTCCTGATGTGGTAGTTATAACCATATTTACGTAGACACTTTCCATCTTAAGTAAAGCACAGGAAATGTTTTGATATGGTCAGTACTGATCATTGAAAAATTAGATGTACATGTATTTGTAATTTCAAGTGGGCTGCCATATTTTCAGATTTCAGACAGGGAGTGATGTCATCAATTCTTAATTTGCATATTGCTATACAGGGTGTCCAATAAATAAGGTGAAAGATATTGTAACTTTCTTAATATTGCACCAATCTTGATGAAATTTTCAGAGTTTGTAGCCCAAACCTTTTTACCTTTATTCTGTGAATTTAAAGCGTCTTCTATTTGATTGGCCGGAGTTGTGGTTGCTATAGCAACGGAAACAACAAAAAGGCGGGGCAAGTTTGTTTATATCACAACTTCCCAAAACATATTTATTCTTTCTATTAGCTTTATTCATACTCCCAGGTCTATTACTACCACAAATACAATATAAAAACAGTCCTAAAGTCCCATTGTTATGAAAATAAACTATTCAACATAATGTCCATCTCTAGCTATACACTTCTTATGCCTATTCACCTACTCTCTAAACACACTTTCAAACCCATTCTTGCCCATTTCCTGAAGTCTTACTAAGACATGTGATCTGAGTTAATCAGTGCTTCCAAATTTATTTCCTCTCAAGTCACGCCTGAGTTCTACATATAAGTAAAAGTCATCGGGTGCAAGGTCTGGGATATATGGAGGGTGTGCAAGTAGGGGTAGCCCCAGTGCCCTAATAGTTTCACTAGTGAGCATAGCTGTGTGTAAACTCAGATCACATGTCTTAGCAAGACTTCAGGAAATGGGCAAGAATGGGTTTGAAAGTGTGTTTAGAGAGTAGGTGAATAGGCATAAGAAGTGTATAGCTAGAGATGGACATTATGTTGAATAGCTTATTTACATAACAATGGGACTTCAGGACTGTTTTTATTTTTATATTGTAATTGTGGTAGTAATGGACCTGGGAGTATGAATAAAGCTATCAGAAAGAATAAATATGTTTTGGAAAGTTGTGACGTAAACAATCTTGCCCCGCCTTTTTGTTGTTTCGGTTGCTATAGCAACCACAACTCTGGCCAATCAAATAGAAGATGCTTTAAATTCACAGAATAAAGGTAAAAAGGTTTTGGCTACAAATTCTGAAAATTTCATCAAGATTGGTGCAATATTATGAAAGTTACAATATCTTTCACCTTATTTATTGGACACCCTGTAGTAAAAGTATAGAAAGGATAAAAAGCTGAATTTCTTTTTTTCAATTTTGTCTGTGATTTAATCCTTTAGAACAACTTGTTTAAAAGTTGTTTTGTGCAGTTTTTTTTTCATACTGTTATGGGCAATGTTATAAAGTTGAGAGTCAATGGCATCACTTCCTTCTACATTTTTAAAAGATTTTTCAATGTTTTTCATAATATGGGAAGTATACTGTACTCCTATTAATATTTGATGCTACAATATTTCACATTTTTGGAATGATCATAGTTAATGGATTTTTTAAATTTTGCGGCTACAAATTAATGGATTTGTGATGCCTTAAAATTTTTCCAGCTTCTTTTTAATTTCTTTGATTAAAATCTTTTAGAACACGAAATAAATTGAAAAAAAACAGTACCCTCCTCCCTTTTATCGCCCAGCACTGCATGAGTATATTCTCAACATTGGATGAAATAAATTCCTGGGAATTTTGCGACTATTATAATTTGCGAATTAGAACTATAGGAATTTTGTTTTTAAATGTTGTTTTGTTTTTTGTTGGTGAATTTTAGCATCCACCTTCAGTGTTGTCTGTTAACTTTTTTATTCTTCAACAATTTGGCTGTCACATTTTCTTTAAAAATTTATCTGCTTTAAATGGGCTTATTAGTGCTTTGCATATTATTGATGTACGTATATGATGTTTTAAGTATAAACACAAATGACCAGTTAAATTAAGTAGTTTCTATACTTTCTCTAAAACCTCTGGAACGCTCATGAATATGAAGTATGATTTATAAAATATGTACATGCATAGTATGTGTGTCATTATCCCAATCGAACGAAGTTCGGAGGGATATAGGGAACGCCTCCGTCCGTCTGTCCGTCCGTCCGTCCGTCCGGGCAATAACTCAAATACCGTTGGCCCGATTTTGTTCATACTTTGTACACATATGCCCTATGGGAGTAGAAGTTCTGCTCGAAAGCCGATTTTCAAAATGGCCGCTCATTTCAAAATGGCGGCCATTTTAGTGCCGAATTTAAAGTAATTTAGGTGCAATATGTAAAACTGTAATAGCAATATGTTTTAGATGTAAAAAAATTATATAGGACATTAATAAAGCTAGAAATGTAGATATTAAAGAAGCACATGGCAGCCATCTTGAAAAATGGCGGCCTTTACTCGTTATTTTACGATTTTTGCTGTAACTCGAAAAGTAGTGGAGGGATTTTGTTCATATTTGGTATGTGAATACTATAAACATTGCACACTGTCTAAAGACACTTTTGGTAGAAGGTGGCCATTTTAAAAAATGGCCGCCATTTTAACCTATAGCTATAACTCGAAAAGTAGTGAAGCAATTTTGTTCATATTTGGTATGTGAATACAATAAGGATGGCACACTGTCTAATGACACTTTTGATAGAAGGCGGCCATTTTTCAAAATGGTCGCCATTTTAACGTATTTTACTATAACTCGAAAAGTAGTGGAGCGATTTTGTTCATATTTGGTATGTGAATACTAAAAAGCATGACACACTATCCTATGACACTTTAAGTAGAAGGTGGCCATTTTGAAAAAAAATTTGAAAAATAACCGCCATTTTTATGTATTTTATAATAATTCGAAAAGTATTGAAGCGATTTTGTTCATATTTGGTATGTAAATACTGTAAGCATGGCACACTGTCTAATGACACTTTTGGTAGAAGGCCGCCATTTTTCAAAATGGCCGCCATTTTAACGTATTTTACTATAACTCGAAAGGTAGTGGAGCGATTTTGTTCATATTTGGTATGTGAATACTATAAGTATGACACTTTTGGTAGAAGGTGGCCATTTTGAAAAATGCCTGCCATTTTTGCTTTATACTTTGTTTGTAAAAATGCCATCCATGGCTGTTCGATGGGATTCGCTACGCTTTGGCGTTGCCGTTGTTCTGGTTACATTTTTATTAATTCTTGGATCATATTTTCAAATATTCAGCTGTATTTATACCTAAATACTGTAGTCCCAGTTTTTTCGTGAGCGATTTAGTTTCGCCCTTTCGCGATTATGGTAAAATCACAAAAATAAATCTTTTATGGATTTATGAAATTTTTATTACCTGGGACTCCATTGCATTTCGTGTTTTGTAAAATGTTTGTCAAGTGTTATTAGGTGATAAATGGAATACTAAGTAGCAATGTCTGTTACAGTGGCTCATTAGATCAAATAAACCCCAAAATTACAATGTAATAGAGCTTAAGGTGCAGCGTGTCGTTGACTAAAGATGACATGGTAGTAGGTATACTTAATGAAATTCACAAAATTTAATAGCCGCAAAATCGTGTTTTATCAAAATTCACAAAATTAAAACTCGCAAAATTAAGTACATCACTAAATTGATTGTTTACTTAGATATAAGAGTATTTTTTATTTATATCCTACATGTACATGTAGCATGTTTATTTTGTTATGCAGCATGGGCCTGTTCATTTGCTATCACAGCTCAAATAACATAAAATCTATTTTTTATTTCGTTCATGTTGCAACCTAAGAATGTACAGTTTGAACTGCATTGATGGCATGATATTGTATGGGAAATGGATATGTTCAATATCTTTTGTTAAAGAAAACATAGAAATTACACCTGCTGTCAACCTGCCAATGTGCTTTTATAACTGATGGTGAATTGTAAATTTATTTTAAATAAATATAAGTAAAACGTAAAGATCATAGTCACAACGCTTGATTTAAATTTACACATGGTTTAATTATGGAAACATGTTGTGAACATCATCTTACAATTCATAAAAATGTTTCATGTAACAGTTACATATGAAGTGAATGCTTTTTCATTGTAGTCCAATGGTACAGTTAACTCCATAATGAAAGGATCTGCAGAGGGTATAAATTATGATCACGTTAGTGTTGAAGTTCTCAAAGACTCCCATGGTCACTCTCATGAGCAGGGTACACTAGGCAAAAAAGGATGTGCAGGTATGTGAATTTAATAAAAAATGTTATAATTTTATAAGAAATTGTTATAATTAAAAAGCATCAAAGATAATATATATATCTTCTTATTCATATATTTTTGTCTTTCCCATACTGTACATCAGAGGAACAAACATATAAATGTAAATGCAACTCAAAAGATGACATGGCCAAAATCAGGATTCCTTTGCCCAGGAGCCTTTGCACCCTCACAGCACAGAGATTTCAAACTTACTGCTTGCTATTAGTAAAACTGACCAATGACCATGTTACTTTTTCACACTGGAAAAATAGCCAGCCTATATCAAAACAAAAAGGCTCACACTGGTGCTGTCATAGGCTTAATGTATCATCGTATGTTTTAACTTTTTTAGGCATATCCATATTGGCTATGATGGTGATAATTGGGGACAGTGTGCACAACTTTGCTGATGGACTTGCAATTGGAGCTGCATTTTCTCAAGATACTAGAAGTGGAATAGCTACATCAATTGCTGTGTTTTGTCACGAGCTTCCTCATGAATTAGGTATGTTACAGCTAACACAGTCTATACAGTTTCATTATATTTTATTATCTTTTACTTTGAAGGTGTTTGAAAATGAAAGTTGTCGACAGTGGGTGAATTTAAATTAGTAAATAATTTTGAGAAAAATTCTGAGAAAATAGTTATTATTCTCAAGCTCAAAGACTCTATCTTTGATACCCATAATCATGTATCTTTATATTTATTTCAGGAGACTTTGCTGTGCTTCTCTCAACAGGCATGGGCTTTAAGAAAGCTCTTTTTGTAAACTTCATATGTGCATGCTTTGCATTTGTCGGGATGTATGTAGGAATCACAGTCTCCACAGATCTGTATGTACGACAATGGATCTTTGCTATAACAGCTGGAATGTTCCTCTATGTATCTCTTGTTGATATGGTAAGTTGTTACATCTATAGGCTAGATATTAAATTGATATGTTTACTGTAACATTATTTTGTTATTTGACTATAATTCTTAAAATTATGGTCAGTTTTTATGTCACCACCAAAAAGTGGTGACATATTGTTATGGTCTCCGATTTTGTGACGACGACTTTATATTTAAGATTTTACCTTCGGTTACCTTTTCGAGGTCAAAAAAGGTAAAAATGTATTTTTTCAATTTGCTTCAAATTGACCAAAGTTTTTCAAAATCATCTACAAGTTATCAGAAATTCAAATCTGACTTTAGATTTGAGATTTGACCTTCATTGATCCTCTCAAGGTCCAAAAAGGTAATCCTCTCAAGGTCCAAAAAGGTAAAAAAGGTCAGTTTGCTTCAAATTGACCAATTTTTTTTTAAAATCATCTACTGTACAAGTTCCCAGGAATTCAAATCTGACTGAAGATTGAACTCTTTCAAAATTATCAAAGTTCAAATCTGACTATAGATTTGACCTTCAATGACCTTCTCAAGGTCAAAAAGGTATTTTTCAACTTGCTTCACATTGACCAATTATTTTCAAAATCATCTTGCGGTTCTCAGAAGTTCAAATCTGACTTTAGATTTGAGATTTCGCCCTCAATGACCTTCTCAGGGTCAGAAAAGGTCTGTTTTCAACTTGTTTCATATTGACTAATTTTCTTTTTCAAAATGATCTTACGAGTTCTCAGGAATTCAAATCTGACTTAAGATTGAACTAATAATAGTGTGAGCAACTAGGTGGTGATATTTTGTCATGTTGATGCCTTGTCTATGAAATTAAATTTGACCTCTTGTGCATGTAAACGGACAGTAAACACTCCTTATATTTATTTAAATATTTTGTGTACCTCTGATCAGATGTTTATTCGTTTCTAGCTGCCAGAATTAGGCAATATGAGGGCAGGCTCCAGATGGGGAACATTCTTCTTCCAGAACTTGGGGATCCTCTTAGGACTTGGCTTCATGGTGCTTATAGCCCTGTTTGAGGATCGCATTAGGGTCTAAACATAACAACAAAGGTTTGTTTCTTTCTTTTTTTTTTTTTTATTATTTGTTTGTTTTGCAAGTCCATGTAATGTCATTAAGAAATAATCGATACTTGTATTTGGGACAACTTGAGAGAAATATTAGGAAATATTAAAACCTAATCCATATGAGAATACTTGAATGCCCATGTCTTATTTTAGGATATATGCATAAAAGATGTATAAGATGACAATACATGTACATGTTTATTTATTTTTATGAAATCCAGTGTTTCACAAATAATTTTCAAATTTAGTAATAGAAATTATAATTGTATATGTATATTCATTTTGATGAATTAATTATAAAAAATACATAAAATGAAGAATGCATATGAGACATGTTTGTATTATTGTGTTTCAGGTGGAGGATTTAACTTGATACTTACAGACAATATTAACCATGCCTTCAATGTGAATAGGCATAATATGGTGTCTCTACAAAACTGGCTTTCGAGGATATGAAAATTATAAGTGGCTTGTCACTGTCTGCTAAGCTTAAGCATTTCATGTGGTAAGCTTTTCATGTGGTTTTTGCTGAACATATGGAGACGTAGTGTTAGATACAAGGTGAGGTCTTAGGTGGGAGGGGTGGAGAAATACTTGTCATGTTTCATGCAGCATATTTATGTGTCTTCTTACAAAGTTCTTTTACAAAGTTCATGTGTAATGAACTTCATTAAATACATGTAGATCTGACAGAAGGAGCGGGATCTGATTTTTTATAGTTTGCATTCCTTTTATTTTTATAAACATATCAAGGTCTCCCTGACTTTAAAATGGGTATTATACAGAATTCTTGCCATCCTCTTAATACGGGATTCTAGAATTTTCCCTTTGAGATTTGAGACTTTAAATCAGATTGCAAGTACTTGTAGTTTAAAACTGATTATCAAAGGATGGAATGTGGAAAAAGTCTGTGTCTCTGTATTACAGAAGATGAATCTATGCCTTAAGAGATGAAGACCCTCAAAGGGCTTCTTTATGTTCATAATAATTTCTGTCAAATCCCATATTTTTATATCAAAATAAAATAGAATGGTAAACATGAAATTAGTAAAATTGGTAACTTGAACATTATTCCACAAATTGATGCACAATTAGCAGAGCTTCCATTCTATATGAAGATTTTGATACAGAGTGACCCAAAAATAGAATTCTAATATAAGGACCATGTGAGGTATCGCAAGTGATTTTGGACAGTCATATCTTTGACCACCAGTACTTTACAGCCATAAATTCAGTGGTTTTATGTTTTCTTTCAAGTGAAGTCCCATGATAGTAAAATATCAATCAAACTCTCTGTAAAAATCATGGATAAGGACCCCACCTTGGCACTTTTTAAAAACTGTCAGGCTTATTTTCTAAAAAGAGGATCTCGTTTTTCTCAATTTAAACATGTCAATAGTTTTTTCTACACTATATTAAGAATTCCTGAAAAGGGGATAGTGTTTGAAATGCGATAAAGTTAAAAACACATATCACATGTTATTTTCCCATAGAAAAAACTCCTGCTATCCATTGTTTTCAGCATAATTTTGATCATTGAAAATTGATATCCTCAGAACTAGACCTTCAAACAATTCTACTTTTAGAGACGTTTTAGACCCCTTGTTGAATAATCTTTTCATGCGATGAAAATCAGAAAAGAAGATCCTCTTTTGAGTAAATAGGCTCAACATTTTGGAAAAAATGATGAGGGGCCCGTATTCATAATTTTTCAAATTGTTTGATTGATATTTTTATCATCATGGGGACTTCACTAAAAAACACTGTATTTATGCCCAGAAAGTACTTGTCGTGAAACATATAGCTATCTAAAATCACTTGCCAGTATATCACATGGACCTTTGGAATTAAAAAGTTTGAAAGTTTTGTTGGTATGGTATATTTAGGAAAATCTTTGAGTAGATAGGGTGTTCAATGCATGAAACAGTGGTATACATTATGTGCTATCAATTACTCCAAGGAAAATTATTTTCTCTCCAGGTACGCTTTTATATTATATTAAATCTCAGTTATTGATGCTTTTTACAACAACTAAGAGTTAAAACTATTTTTGGGTCATCCTGTAGGATCATTATAAATAGTATGTACTTGTGTATTGTAGTTTCTATTTGGAAAAACACTAATTGTGAAATGTTTACTAGTTTTCAGTACATGTACACACAATTATAACTGCCATATTTCTGTATTTGTTACATTCTTGGTGATGAAATATGTTTTCAATATTTTCCGAGTGTTTTTAAGCTCCTCAAGTTTCACTTTTATTTTGGCAAAGGTAATTAGTTTAGAAGGAAGTAAATGTTTTACTGTGAAATCTGTCTAATACAAACACCACTGGTACCAGCCAAAAACGTTCAGATTATTAGGTGTTCACATTTATAGAAATGTATGGGAGATAATAGATTTGGGACCAAGAAAAAGTGTTCACATTAAGATGTGTTTGGATTAGAGAGGTGTTTAAATACACAGGTTTCACTGTATTTAATGGTCAATAGAGTGAATAGAAGGAAAAATTGACTCTGTCATAATGAACACCATGACGTTTTTTTGTTGTAATTATAAACAGTACATTAACTGTTGTTTTAAATAAATTGTATTTTTGGATATTTTAACCTAAGAAATACTCACAAGACAGTTAAATCTGTTCATATATACACTGTATACAGTTTTTGATTTCTGAACATGTAATTGGACTTAAAACATATTTCAATTTCATTTAATTGTTATTTGTTCAAAGAATTAAGTGTTTCAGATAAATTGTTTTTATAAAATGTACATATAACATTTTAATGTTATATGTACATTTTATGTACATATGTACAACGTTTTATTTTAATTTATCAGGACAATGTATCAACATCTGCAAATGAAATTATGTTAGGGAAATGGGGTCAGCGACTCAGCGTACCTTAATATTTTAAAGGAGGCAACTTCTAATATGAAAAACCCTTCCATTAAATGTTTGAGGGAAGCTAAAGGATCAGTTTGAATAGAAATTAACTATTACATTCCAAAATTGTAATATTAACCTGGGGATCATTAACAAACACATTCTAAAGTTAAGAATTCCTTAGTCCATTGTTCTACTATAACATCATCATATCCATGGCTATGACAGTTGGTTAAAGTCTACATGTAAAATTTGAAAATATGTTTTTAGTACTATCATTCATTTACTATTTGTCATGACTTTAAATGTTATTTTAGAGATTTTTGAAAGAAATTGTCAGCTTTTCATTTCTCATATATTTAAATTTCCAGTCATTTTTCAATAAAAATTAAAATATCAAATATTCCACTGTTCAGTGCAAAAACAGTACCTTTTTTCTTTTATTTCAACATCAATGCAGATTGAACAATGGACAGTACACTAGACTCTAAATTAAGAATAAAATGTCATATCTTATTTGTCATTCAGTGTCTTAGCATATCAAACGTATTATGCAACCTAAGTGATATCATTGTGACATCTTTTGGTTACTATGAGAACTAAAACTTTGGAATGCATTTTTCTCTGAACCCTTTTCATGTTGGATGAGTTCATTTCTCACTTATTTATGAACCAATTTTATTCATTTTTCGACAAAAAATGCATGAGGATGATTGCTATGCATTGGTGTGAATTATTGCTATTAAAAATATGTGTGACCTCTAAAGTCTAAACGTTAGTTTTACATAACTTTTTAAAAGAATTATCCTTCAAAAAACACTTTGAAATTCAAAAAAGAAGTTTCACATATCACGCTTTGATAACATTGGGTAGTCTACAATGTAAACCAAAGTGGTGTAAACTTTATAAGGGGCCTTTAAGGAATTCTTAATGTTATGAAATTTCTGTCAATGAGCCCCTGATCTCTTAACAATGTTTGATTTATTTGTTTTTACAATTAAATAACCATTTGGGAGGTATGATGCAGATGAAGGTACAGCTTATAGTGTTTGTTATATAATATCATTTATGTAATCTTATTTATAGAACTACATAACATTCCATGTTTTGAATTATGAGATTGATTAGTTTTAATTATTAGCATTTGCAGTAGCTTTCAAGATGAATGGTATGCAACATTCCATTATTCATAAATGAGCAATGCCATGGGATATAAAAAATGCTTCCTATACACCTATACTTTCTATAATCCAAGAAATAATGTCCATGTATAATTTAAATAACTAACTTCAAGATAACTTTATATACAATCATCAGAACATGGTGTTTCATAATGACTGATCCCCCATCAACTGTTGATTCTAGACAGGGTACCCCTTTCTGAAGCCTGTTCTATTCTGGACCTTTTAGAACAATTTTGAATTAGCCCAAGGCTTTTTATTATTTATTTCCATCACAAATTATTACCATTATAAGTTATGCAAATGGGAGTGAAGCATGGTATATAGCTTATGAGACCATGTGATCTAGGATCGAGTCGCTGTGGATGGGGGATGGTCATGATGTATTTCCATGTTGTTCGCACAATGTGCACAATATCCAAATACCAAGGAATACTGTTAAAATTGCCAAACTGTGAAAGAAATGTTAAGATATTGTTGTGTCTGACATCAGTGGTTAACATTGGCAGTCTGTGACTGTAGCACCTGTTACACTTTTGTAACCATTTAGAATAACTTACTTGGTAGTGATATTTTGTCATGTAAGGCCTTTGTTATTTGTTTGACTAGAAACTGTTAAATAATTATTATGGAACATTTTGGATGTGTAACATTTCCACTTTTTGGAACTAACATTTCACATTTAGTATTGTTATCATTCATTTTATTATTATAATATTATTAATAGAATAAAAAATAAACATAAATGCTGTTGTTATATTGCTTATTATCTCGCATTTCCCATATCTTCCTCCTCGGATCACTTGATATTTTTGTTTAAATTATATTTTATTTTCCCAAGTTGAACTTTTGGAGACAAGTATACTAATAAAAAGGGTATTATAAAAAGGGGCAGATGTATTTCCAAGAAATAGTTTGGCTACAAGGGATAGGGTGGAGGGAGGTAATTTTGACTGCACAATTAGTAGGGGTTACATCTTAGTATCCCAATTGTAACAAGGCATTAACACGCAAAATGTCACCACCTGCCATTTGTTACAGATGCCAACTGGTGACTGCTGAACACCATGCACAAAAAAGTTGGAAACTATTACAGTACAGATCAATCATGTTTCAGGAAGACTGCAAGTTCAATTATAAAGTTTGAGAGGAGTGCTTAACTTGACCCTAACTATTTCATATAGCCATATCCATACAACGTGAAATACACTGTTAAACAACCGTGTTCACATCATCTTCATTCTTGCCAGTTATCCCACAATGGTGAGTAAATTGATTGATACTATCCCTATTCAAATTTTATAATTGGGATTACATGTAATGCCAGGCCCAACCAAAATTTGTATAAATGAAATTAAAATTATTCAGAGAGATATGTTATTATGAATCAATTTTTATAATAAATTTATAATAGAAAAAGTAAGAAAACAATTAGCAGAGCAAGGTTACAACAACACACTCTTGTTTTATGAAATTATTGATTTTGCAAAAATTATTCAAAAATGTTGTATAGAGAATTTTGTAAAATAAAGTAAGAAAATTATTAGCAGAGCAAGGTTTCGATCCTCGGACCTCTGGGTTATGGGCCCAGCACGCTTCCACTGCGCCACTCTGCTGTTAATTCGTCAATTCCAAAGTAACAACAACACACTCTTGTTTTATGAAATTATTGATTTTGCAAAAATTATTCAAAAATGTTGTATAGAGAATTTTGTAAAATAAAGTAAGAAAATTATTAGCAGAGCAAGGTTTCGATCCTCGGACCTCTGGGTTATGGGCCCAGCACGCTTCCACTGCGCCACTCTGCTGTTAATTCGTCAATTCCAAAGTAACAACACACTCTTGTTTTATGAAATTATTGATTTTGCAAAAATTATTCAAAAATGTTGTATAGAGAATTTTGAAAAATAAAGTAAGAAAATAATTAGCAGAGCAAGGTTTCGATCCTCGGACCTCTGGGTTATGGGCCCAGCACGCTTCCACTGCGCCACTCTGCTGTTAATTCGTCAATTCCAAAGTAACAACAACACACTCTTGTTTTATGAAATTATTGATTTTGCAAAAATTATTCAAAAATGTTGTATAGAGAATTTTGTAAAATAAAGTAAGAAAATAATTAGCAGAGCAAGGTTTCGATCCTCGGACCTCTGGGTTATGGGCCCAGCACGCTTCCACTGCGCCACTCTGCTGTTAATTCGTCAATTCCAAAGTAACAACAACACACTCTTGTTTTATGAAATTATTGATTTTGCAAAAATTATTCAAAAATGTTGTATAGAGAATTTTGTAAAATAAAGTAAGAAAATAATTAGCAGAGCAAGGTTTCGATCCTCGGACCTCTGGGTTATGGGCCCAGCACGCTTCCACTGCACTCTGCTGTCATATTATTTTACCTCAATTGTTTTCTTAATTGGAATCACAAGTTAACTGATGCAACACAAACAATGCATCACAGATGAGGTAATCTTTATTAACAGATTACTTCTGAGTAGAGATCAATTTAAAACAATCCCAAAATCTGAGACAAGAGATTACTAATCTAAATTAAATTGAATCATTGGTAACCTCTTTACTAAAACAAGGCAATGTAATGATACTTTCCTGAAAAAGCAAGAAAAAACACACATGCCTTCATACTTTATTTTGTACCAGAAAATAACATGTGCAGGTATAGCAACTTTTTCAAATATGTTTTTGTTCAACCAGTACCTTAAGCTCAATAGTTTTTCAACTTGCTATTATCATACATAAGGCCTAATATACAAAAGGTACCCATTTGACCTTTAGCATACAATCTGAGAACCACATTATAGTTTTCATGTCAAAATAAAGATGGTTCAAACAATTAAAAAAATAAAAGATTTCTCCTTTATTTCTAAATCATTTTACTTTTGGAAATTGTAAAGTTACAACAACACACTCTTGTTTTATGAAATTATTGATTTTGCAAAAATTATTCAAAAATGTTGTATAGAGAATTTTGTAAAATAAAGTAAGAAAATAATTAGCAGAGCAAGGTTTCGATCCTCGGACCTCTGGGTTATGGGCCCAGCACGCTTCCACTGCGCCACTCTGCTGTCATTTTATATAGACCTCAATTGTTTTCTTAACTGGAATCACAAGTTAACTGATGCAACACCAACAATGCATGGGCGTAGCCAGGGGGGGGGGTGCGATGGGTGCGATCGCACCCCCCCCCATAACCTTTGAAAATATGACCATTGGATAGAGGTAGAAAAGAGCTTTAAAATGCTTTTTATTTGAAGCTTCTAGCTCAATTTTGAAGGAAGTTGCATCAATTTTTGTAAAATTCAAAAGAAATCTTAATTTTTTGTGTTGCTTATGGCAAAATCACACCCCCCCTGACCGAAAACTGAAAAATTTTCGGCGATCGCACCCCCCTGACTGAAAGCTGGCTACGCCCCTGCAATGCATCACCGATTAGGTTATTTTTATTAACAGATCATTTCTGAGTAGAGATCAATTTAAAACAATACCAAATCTGAATTAAGAGATTACTCTGTAAATTAAATTGAATCATTGGTGACCTCTTACCAGATATACTAAAACAAGGCAATACTTTCCTGAAAAGCAAGAAAAAACACACATGCCTTCATACTTTATTTTGTACCAGAAAATAACATGTGCAGGTATAGCAACTTTTTCAAATATGTTTTTGTTCCACCAGTACCTTAAGCTCAACAGTTTTTCAACTTGCTATTATCATACATAAGGCCTAATATACAAAAGGTACCCATTTGACCTTTAGCATACAATCTGAGAACCACATTATAGTTTTCATGTCAAAATAAAGATGGTTCAAACAATTAAAAAAATAAAAGATTTCTCCTTTATTTCTAAATCATTTTTCTTTTGGAAATTGCAAAGTTACAACAACACACTCTTGTTTTATGAAATTATTGATTTTGCAAAAATTATTCAAAAATGTTGAATAGACAATTTTGTAAAATAAAGTAAAAAATTATTAGCAGAGCAAGGTTTCGATCCTCGGACCTCTGGGTTATGGGCCCAGCACGCTTCCACTGCGCCACTCTGCTGTTATAAGGATACAATTGTAAGTGTAGGTTTATTGACTTGGATTGCAATCAAAGGGGCTGATGCAATACTCAGTTTTCAAAACTCATTATTATTGATTGTGCTGCCATCTTTTAAACTGCAAATATTTGCTGTAGACAAGATTGAAAGAATAAAATGTTGGAAACAATTTTTTTCATCCCAACTTTTCTTACATCTTTATTTGTAATTTTCTTTCTTACAATAATGATTTTATTTTATGATAAAAAAACACATCTGATTAAATAGAGAAGTAAATTTAAGAACTGTTTAACTCAGAAAATAGACATGATAATTGCAAAACATATTGTGAAATTGTGACAATTTTTGTTCAAAGGATGGGTATCGATATGGCGAACTTTTTGAACACACGTTTCTCTTAAACCAGTCATAAAAAAATCTTTTGAATGGTAACAATATAATTTAAAATAGATATATATACTTTTCTCTTTTTTGTTTTAGAAAACACATCGGACAATTCTTTTGTTCTTGGTATCATATGTTCGGAATATAATGAAACATTTTTTTATGTCTCTCAAAATTGTAATTTTACAAAGGAAAGTTTGGTTGATTTAAAAAAAGTATCTTGTTGATGAAATTAAAGGTTTATCTTAGTTTTTATCTATTTCGGGGGTTTTTGTTTTAACTTTTTGAATACTTTTTATTAAATCTACCAAAATTTCCTTTGTACAACTATAATATTGGGAAGTCTAATGACTAAATGACTAAGAAAATGTTGTATATGTTATTTTGTTCAAACAAGCTTCAGAAAGATATTTTATTTCATTCTCAAGAAATGGTAAAAAGGAACAAAAAACAATTGCACTAAAATACAAAAAATGTTAACAAAAACAGATATATAAAATATATATAAATAATTTTTGCATTAAATTGTTGTCATAAAGGACCGTGTTTTTTTACAGAATGTTTTCAATAATTGGTTTAAGAGAAAAACATTGTTGAATTCAGTTCTCCATATCGATACCAATCCTTTACTTGTCTCTGTTCCTTCATGACCATCTCATGTATGGACTACATGTATTTTTTCTTTTATATCTAATTATAATTAGTAGAGTGAGTACCTTATTGTACACAAAAAATCTTGCAGATTTGTTGCATAATCTTGCAAATTATAGTGAAAAATCACAAAATTCATTCTTCTTTTAGGTCACACTTTTATTCATTCAACTTCACACCAAATCAGATGTAATGATTTTACATTAGAACAAGGGTTTAACTGAACTAAAACCTCAACAATTCTACTAATTGTTTACAACAATATACTTAAGTGTTAACAATTAATTCATTTGTAAGACATTGGAGTCAAAAATAAAAATATTAAATATTTTCAATAAGAACAAAGACTCAAATACAAAGCAAAAAGTTCTCAATGTTGTTTAACAAGAAATCAACATTGATTTGACATTGATTTTCTCAAGCAATATAAAGCCATAATTGCCAGATAACTGGTTCATTTCCCTTCATTTCCAATTCCTTTGATTTGAGTAATATTCCTCAATTTTGAGATTATCAATGTTATTCATCAGTATTATTATTGAAGGAATTTTTCCATTCAAATGTTTACAATCAAACCCATTGTCCTCACATTATCTATTGTAAGTTATGAATGTCATTGCTTGTGCTGAAGTACATCTATCATTCTATTACAGATAGTCTCACCTGTATCACAACACTTGTATGAAAATTACTCTCTTGTTCAGTAGATTTGAAGAATAAGATAACCTCCTCAATACCTTTAGTGTATTGAGACTCTGATAATCATGATAACTGATAATAGACTAGATTGGTACAATGCTTAATTTTGATTTGAAATTATCCGATACTTGGCTGATTCTTATTTTACTTTTTAATACTCCACTAAATAACATCTTATAACGTTGCATATTGCATTTGTTTGATTTTTATGCTCTGTGTCAAAGCTTAGTTTTCATGTTTTGAACCCCTGCATAAATAAAAATATGAATAAAACATACAATTTATTATTTATAATATACAAATAACATATACAAACTTAATTCATAAATTATATACTCATTATATAAAGTACAAGAACTGTAGTTTAAGGACTAGATTATGATTACATAATAATACTTGTTGTCAGCAAAGTGAATTAAAGGAAAACCTATGAACATGGAAAGCTCAATGTACATGCTTAAATTGTCCCATTAGGACCTGTGTTCTTTATATTACAGAGAGGATTCATTAACAATACTTCTATTTAGAGAGGCGTTCCCTGCGTAGAGGTGTTTTTACTCTGTATCTTCATATATGAATCCCAATGATTCTATAGGATTGAGATAACATTATATTTGTAAATTATGTACCAAGTTCCTGAAACATTCATCTAAAGGTTATTGAGTATCTTCTTGGAAAATGTCTAATGACTTTTTGAACACCCTGTACTCCATTGAGAAGATCTAATGACCTCTTGAACACCCTGTGATCCATTAAAAGTGAAAATGTCTAATGACTTCTTGAACACCCTGTACTCCATTGAGAAGGTCTAATGACTTCTTGAACACCCTGTGATCCATTTAAAATGTCTAACACTGTCTAATGACTTCTTGAACAACCTGTGATCCATTTAAAATGTTTAATGACTTCTTGAACAACCTTTACTCCATTGAAAATGTCTAATGACTTCTTGAACAACCTTTACTCCATTGAAAATGTCTAATGACTACTTGAACACACTGTATATACTCCACATTTTTAAATATTTTGGTCTGATCCATTATTTCACATCAAGTACCCATCCGCCACATGGTACATTCATTCACTTTGACTAATTTCAAAATATAGTCACTTGAATATTGTAGTCATATTGAAAGAATATACAGTATGTGTCCTATACACTAAACAGTTAACAATAACAAAAAGTACACACTTAACAAAAATCTAAACCATCCAGATTTTGTACATAAAAGCCCAAAAGTGATTTTAAAAACAAACTATTAAAAAATACATTCCTCCATAATGAGATCAAATAAATTGGAGCAGAGTTTATTTAGATCTGTTAGTCCTAGAGGTAATGAAACATATCCTTATAATCCTAGAATGCAAATATGAATGTAGGGCTTTTAGAGATACTGCATAAAATATACACACTCTGCATCTTTATGTGGTCAAATTTATCTTCACTTATCTTCAAACTTAGGATTCAGTAAATGGTTGTTGTGCCATATCAAACAATTCATTTGTGTCTACTTTCTTTTATATATTTGGATTAAGATTTGGCATCCCTTTTTAATCATAAAATGTTTCTGTAAGTAGGTGATCATAATATCCACAGAGAACATTATAGAGACCAGCTGACTTTGAAGTATTTGCCTGTTGTTGGTTCTATATTTTTCGCTACCCTGTTATATATTTAGCTGATTTCATATTCCTATTACAAAGTTCCATCGTCTCTGACTCAAACAAATGTTTCTGTGAGTATTTCACTGACATGTCCGTACATTCCACAGAGTACATTATAGACCCTGACCAACTTTGCAGTAGGTGCATTATTATTAAAGGTGAAATGTTTCCTGCTACCCTGTTGTACACGAGTGAAACCAAGCTTCTCTAGAAAGCCCTGATGCATCTCCCATAGGGGACCTATCCATGGTGAGATATCCGAGGATGAAGAACTGACTTCGCTTATCTGAAAAGAAAAATTGAGTAAAAACATTGAACATAAACACAATACTAGTTCAGCAATTACAGCAATGATTGAGCCACTGGAGGAACTCAGTGTTTTAAAATATCTTTTAATTCCAATAGAATTTATGTTGATGCTAATATTTTCAGAGAAAAATAAAATAGCAATTTCTAAAGAAATCTTTGGTGTCATGAAAATTGGAAGTCTTGCATCAGGACCCTGTATGTTTCAACCCATTATACTGCCTGTCTCTTTACAAGGAGACTTTTAATATCCCACAACTGAACTTTGTTATAATATGTGATTTAAGTTTTTAAGAATTATTATGGAGAAATTACATATGATATAATAACAATGAGAATTACTTACTGTATGCAGTAGAAGTTGGGCATGCTGTTTGTCTAAGGACAATAACGTCCTAATGTCATAGAATCCTAGATCTGGAACATATATCATATTTCATATATAGTAATTCATTAACTTTATGATGAATTCTATTCAAACCATGTTACACACCAATACTGCATTACGTTATCTGAAACTCATACTTAAAACTTTCTTATATTTTTGGTATTTATGTTTCAATTTTGTTGTTGTTGATGTATTTTTAACAAATAAAACTCAGTGTTTGTGAACATTTAATTATATTTCATTATTATTCCACCAACCTGCTAATGACTGCAAAAGAAGTAGAAAGCCTTCAGGTACACATGGCTTCATACTAACTGGTACAAACACTGTAGCATCGCGTATATTTTTACAAGTATCTGGCTCCTCAATGTTAAACCCTAGGGCTAGGACCAAACTATGCCAGTGATCTAGGTTGAAGATAGGTGGCACCCTCGACACATCAAGATCAACAAGTTGGTCTATTGATCTTTCAGCATGGGCTATTCTGACAGCTTGGTCAAACTGAAAACACAATTGTTTATTTGCTTACTTGCGTTAATCATCACATTTTCTGAAACACTTTTATATGTTATGCTCGGGCTTTAATGTTAATCGAACATGACTGAATTCACGCCTTCTATAAACTGTAAACAAAGACCTCAGAGCAGGTGAAATATCATCAAATACACCCCTTAGGGCTAGGCACAAAAGCTTTCGAACCCCACACTCCCTTCGGCCGTTCGTAATACAAAAATGTTTGTGCCTAGCCCTGCGGGGTGTATTCAACAATATTACCCATGCTCTTCGGTCTATATTTCTAAATTTATGTATTTTCGGCAAAGGGGAGTAAAGCCTTTGACATAAACATATATCATTTCAGTATTAGGAAAAGGCAAAAGAAATTGAAGTGGATATTTTGGGATGCCTTTATCTTATAAATCTTATTATCAAACACCCTACAGAGTTTTCTGACTAACTTCCAACTAAACCTGGCTTTTAACCCCCATCTACAATTATTTGGTAGAAAATGCCAGATTGACATTTGATCCAGCCTCTAAAAATATCAAGATATACAAATTAAAATAACACATTTGAGCAACTTACCATATGTGTAAGAAAGCCAATGGCCTGTCTGATGGGTTGTTCCATGTAGTACACACTTAGGAGGTTCCTAAGAGGTCGACGCCATTTCTCTGCATCAATCTGCTCCAACATACGTTCTATCACCACCCGACCTTCTAGAAAACACCAAAAAAAGTATTTACAATTGAAAAATATATATCCCAGTGTTAAAATAATTTGAGTCCAAGCCAATATGATCTCTTTCCATGTGGTAGCCTGATTTCTTTCGCACATTAAATCATCCCTTTGAGAACTGAAACATTGGACTCAATGAAAAATCACAGTATTGTGGTACCTACTTTTACATCCCATTTCTTGCCTACACTTGACTAAAATAAGTGATCCACATACATGCTAATTTGCTAAACCACCAAGTTAACCAACCAACCAACCAACCAACCAACCAACAAGTTAACTCAAACTTTTTTTACACCATTCAACTTGCAACCACCTGAACAGAAATTTCCAGGGTATATAACAAGAATCACCAAACCTGGGACAGAACATCATAAAGAATGTATTAAATCTACTAAAGTCTTAAAGTCAGGAGATCTATGGAAAATAGCTTAGTCATGGCTAGACTTCATGGTCAAAAAGGGATTACTCTTGTCAAGGGTGACACATGGGGGAAATTAAATAACTCATACACAGTGCATACTGTATCTACTTTGTTTTCACAGTTCACTGATTTTACTCACTCAACATGTATGCTATTAATCTACCAAATTACTATATACATGTATACAGTATCTTTAAATTGGTTTGTGAAATATTCATGTTGCCTCGTGTGCTTTCTTAATTGCCATATACAACAGAGGTTTGGAAATGCATTTAAATGAACAGATGGATCAATGGACTGACACCTTGTCAATCCCATAGGCTCATCTAACATTCAACCAATAAACCATTAATAAGAAACAGACAAATAAAAACAACTACATAGTAATCATTACTAATAAGCCCAAAATGGGTTGCTCATGAACACCAAATACAAGGTATAGTAGAGTGTATTTTCCAATATTGCCATGTGGACAAAACACTTTGAAGAAAGAAGATATGGAGGATATCAAATGTATTTAACCTTGCCTATGAATAACTAACTACACATTGAAATATGAGTGAAAGATGGGTTCAAACTGAGGTGAGACACCTTAGGTAATTGACACCTTATTATACACAATTCTCGAAATAATTAAACAATACTAATCACAGATTTCCTGTGACCTTTGCTAACCCCAGTCAAGAACAACTAGAGATGATATAACTCCAAGGAATATTACATAGGGAATCTATTGTACTTACACGTGATATTATTTCATATTCTGAGCAATCTCATTTTGAAAGATTTACTTTTTATGAGTTTCTTAATAAAAGTTTCATTCAAGTTGCCAAATTAAAGCAGCGTTCTGAAAAATTGCCTATACCTGATGCTCGCTGTCAAATGGAATTATGTATTTCCATTTCAGGGTTTAGTAATGAATAACTCATAATTTAATATTAATGCATATAAATTATAGATCTCATTGGTAATAATAGCATTTACATCGGACATATGCTGTGATAATAGCAAGTTGTCTCTCAAATTTTTTCTAAATGGTCATGAATAAGTCAAGTGTCACTCTCAGTTTTTTCAAAACCAAGGTTATGTTTTGCGAGGTTTCACTGCCCAATATAGAATGCATTGCCTAATATAGAATGCAATGCCTAATTTTGAATGCAATGCTTAATATAATAGAATGCAATAATAGAGAGAAATGCAAACATACAGTTGGGGACATAAATAAATGACAGGTGGATTTGCTGAAGTGAGGATTTCCCATGTTAAAAATAAGAGAATTTACAAGAGGCCATAAATCAGTGGATGAGATTATACAAAATGTAAAATATACAAATTTTAAGGGATATGTATCTAGACAATATTGGAAATTATGGGCTTTCAGACCACCATAATTAGGAAATGGTGATCGAAAATCGACCTGTCATTTATTTTTGTCCCCAACTGTACTGTAATTCAGCTTGATGCCTAAATATGGTTAAATACAAGAATAACACTCATATGATGTCATATAAAAATTAGAATTAAACGAAATATTTACCATGAAACTGGCCCTGACTCTGTGGAATGTAAACATGTTGAACAATATTCGATCCAAATTCTGTCATATTCCGTAATCCAGAACTAGATCCATCTACATCACTGCAAGATGGAGTTTCAGGTCGTGATGAATCCCCAAAGTCTGTATTTCCTACTCCCAAACTCAGTTCAGTCTCATTATCCGAATTATATGATTGTGTGTATATACTTTTGGTATATGCTGAATTGTTTGTTTTTCTGCGTCCTTTGGTGTTATTCTCTATGAAAGAAGATGAATCCTTTAACTTCAGAACTTTTGGTCTTTGAGAATTCTTATTTTGATGAGATATAGGAATGTCTGGAGAAGCACTCAGATTGTCCGTTAAGTCATTATAGTCATACATGCTCTTAAGTTTATTGGAATTATTGTCTTGTTTTTCATGACTATCATTATCACCTTCTTCGTTAATAAGTTCATCTGAGGTCTGAGAGAGTAAAGGTTGAATGTCTGATTCCTTTTCTAACTGTTTCTGTTCCCGTCGTGATTTTTTTGTCTGCATATGCTCATACAGATAGAGATCTTCCTCTGGTGTTACATTGCCATGCCTTCTACGACTGAAAAATAACAAGGAAAGTATGGTTCAATAAACATACCGTATGTATAAACCACTTCTGGAGAACATCTTTTAGTGTGTGCATTTTCTATTTTCCATTCAAATGAGTACATCCTATAGACTCCCATGTTGTAAGCACCATTAAATAAGAACACCTCTCAATGTCAAAACATTAGCCAGTTCCTGCATTCATTTTATACATGTTTGACTGATTATTACATCACTGCAATTGCTCTTTTCTTTAGAAATGGTTTGATTTCTCTTCCAAAATGTTCCATATCAAAATCTTTAATACATATTCACATGTCTCAATAAACAAATGTTTTTGACATGCATAGTTAGCCTTCTTGAATCTTCAAATCTGTTTGATAAACTTAATAGCTTAATCATTATTTCAATAATGGAAAGTCAATATTTTGACAAACCAAACTCTCAAAAATCATAATGCATGTACACTTGAACTTTCAAATCATTAAACCAAATATTAAATAAAGATTTTCCCTCCCACAGCTTACCTACCTCATAAACGTATGCTATATAAACTAAACCTAATCAGATTAAAATGCATTATCTTACCTTAGTGTTTTGCATTCAATTTTCCATCCAATTAAATAAGCTACGAAAAATGTCAGTGCAATGACTGGTCAAGCAGAGTATGAGAAAAGGCAATAGCGGACAAAAATGCTAAACAATTATTGAGGATATCACAAAGTACAATGTTAAAAGAACATGTATAATATGATCAATGTAAAATATTGACAACGGTTCTTGTTTCAAACTAAATAAATATTTTGCAAAAATTGAGCACGAAAGTGTCACAGCATTTGAATACAACCACTTTTAAAAATAATTCAAGGTCATTTTCATAAATGTATTCTATGAATAGAATTTTAGTTAAAATTAAATACAGTACTTTGTTTGAATTATTGGTTAATCCAGGGTGAAAAACGTAAGATCAACCACTAGTCATGTGCGAGTAACTCACTGTTCAAACCGTCATGTGATATTTCAAATACAATGTATGTTAACTAAATATCTAAAACGTCCAGGGTAAATTCAAAATTCTGGAAACACATTGGTCACTTAGGAAGCTTAAAAATACATTACCAGATCAGGATATAATTTTAAAAGGGGAAAGAGAACACTAAAACATAGGTAAAATATTAATTTGGAAATTACTGATACCGGTATCTTAATTTAGTGACTCTGTTACCTCAGTGGATATGAATATTATCCTTTTTTAAAGATACCTTAATATTCCCTCCTCATGAAGAACTAAAACGTGTGCAAAACACATATAATTTAAAGACATTTTAAAAAATTTTGAAATAAATTCTGAGTGACTTGTATTGTATTGCAATGATTTGTGGATTAGATTACAAAACTAAGCAATTTACCTTTGTGGGGCAACGTCAACGACATCTGAAGTAGTCCCGGCTCTTTTTCTCCCTTCATTTCTATCCATAATACCAACTGAAATACATGAATCATATTATACAAAACAGTTTAAAATTCCAATGTAAATGTACTTATAATTGAACTGTGCAAACACCATCAAGATATAAACACCTGGATAATGTAAACGGTTTCTAACATTGCTTTTTAAAGACACCGACTGCATACTGTAAGTTAGATAACAATATGCTCCAATGTTAAATTTTAGAATGTTTTTGTATATTCATGGTTCACACACAGATAAAGAGGTTTAAAATGTGACATGTTCTTACTTTATTGAGCACTGTGCAGTTATAGTTACTTCAGCATATGAAATACATGGAAAAATTTTAGGAAAAACTATAGGACCTTCATACATGTAAATGCAAAAGAATGTAAAATTCAAAGTCTGACTTAGATTTTTATGTTGTCAAAGACTAATTAGCTTATCTCTCAAAGTTCAGTTTAAAAAATTGTTAAAAACGACTTGACATCTTGAGTTATAAAAGTAACATGTCAGATAAATTTGAGAGGTTAGTATGAACATTTGGAATATCTATTTTACAACAAATATATTTACATGTTCATGATAAGCAGTTCAAATCAGTTAAGGTGATAAAATATAAAACTTGGCATTAATAAATAACATACACTTGATTGCTCAAGTTATTTTAATAAGATAAACCTGGATTTCTTCTCTGTAATGCTCCTATTGTATTTACTTGTAATCTTTCTATAAACTATATGTATTAAATGTCATTTTGGCATGTTAAGTATATCATTGAATCCGTGTCATGATCATTCAAACATGTACAAAATTGGAAAACATATCAATCACAGTATGAAACAATTGATTTACTAAGTTTGACCAATTTTGATGCTTTTAAAGTTTTTTATTTCATATTTTTGAAAAACGTGAAAGAGATATTATCATGAGAGTAATATTTTGTATGTATGTACTGACATTACCTAACTGATCGGATTATGAAGCTAAAAAGCAAAAATTGGAATTTTGAGAAAGTCTTAACACAATATCAAAAGCCAGTTTACAGTATCATATGTTGATGATACTAATATGTGGTTGATATTTTCGATAGATCTGCACACAGGCTTAGCCATCAAAAGCACTGAATTGGAAATATATATTTCTAAAAAGTACGATATAAAATGTTGATTAAGATAAGTATCAAATAAATATTGACCCATAAAGGAGAAAGATGCAATGTTAGGCTGCATTGACAATTTCAAGTGAAGACGGCACATTTCAAGCGAGCACAGTGCATTAGCAACACACATGTTATACCATTTCTTATATCAAATGACCATGTTTCTAATGTTATAATAATAAAGCACATTTGAGCACCTAATAAGACATGTTGTTGAAAGACACAATATGAACATGTTAAGAGAATTCATAATCTTTCACTTTTAATCAAATGCAATGCATCAACCCAAGCTAAAATATTATTTATTTTACCTGTCTGCAATGTTCGTGTTATCCCTTCGATCAACTCTCTTATATGTTTCAACATATTTGCTGGCCAAACTTACATCAAAAATATAGCATGCTTTTCTATATTACCTTTTCATGACATTTTAATATCAAAACAAATTTAACCACATATATCTCTTTAGAATAACTTTATTATTATCTTTTTAGTCATTTTGAAACAATGTATAGTGCAATCTCTACATAAATGACATTATTTTCTCTCAAATTTCTCTCCTTTATTAAGTAATTCATGATAAAAAGTGTAATTAACATGAAATTTTATACAAGATTTTCCTTGGTCTATCTGCAGTATGTTGACAGAAAGGATCGAATAAGTGGAAAGAGCTGTGAACCCCCAGCGAGGACACAGGGATATATTCCAGTTCAAGCCAAAAATTACATAACTCCACAACCCCGTTTTCTTTACTATAATTCAGCATAGAAATTAAGACACAAGAACTATAAACATCAAAGTGGATCAATTTCATCTTGAGAAATAATATGATTTGATTACTTTATTCATAGATGACCTTATAAGGTCATATATTGACAATGGATTAAGCTCATATCCCACAGTGACAATATTATGCATTAGGTTGCAGGCCCCCACACTTGGATATTTATTTCAGAATTATCATTAGGGTGTTATTTTAAATCAATTTCATACCACCATGATTTATTGATTTTGGCACTGTTTAAAACATATCAGGTGACAGCTTAACTAACAGTAATACAATAATATTTGTATAATTAGACATAATATATAAATTCAATTTATATTTTACATGAACCTGTGGTCAGTTTCCAACACTAGCAATTACAACAACTGGCTTAACTCCATTACTTTATCAGAAATTAATTATATAAAACAGTTGTAGTTTATCTTATTTTTACAGAAATATGGAACATTTTTCTCATGGTTTAGTGTGTAACTCAAGAATCCCCGTCTTTAAATAAACTTTCACTTTAAATATAAAGCTCAATGTAGACCTATTTCTAAAAAAAAAATTATTACGCAATTTTGGTCTTTTAACAATGAACAGAATAAAATTTTCGGTCATATATTACGCCATAAATCATAAAATCTCGGTCTTTATTCCTTAATTATAAAGCAACATTTGATGTGTTAGGAATCATTAAAGAGACCCAGGTTCTTGAAATGACAGCAATATGTTTTCTAAGACCATTTCATGTTCACATTTAAATAGCCATTTTTACTTTACTTACCTATATCTTGACTTATCCATTGCTGTAAGCCATATCTTAACACATCTGTACAGGCAGCCATTCTCTGAAAATGAATGAAATGCTCACTAAAGCATCTAGATCCATCAAGGTATTTCACAACTGAAGGAATAAACTGGTTTAACTGTATGCATTTATATTGTTATTTTATATTGTATCTTGCATGTAATAGGTTATTTTAATTAATTTCATTAATTCATTATTTGGTCTAAATTAAATTTTATTCTAAATTGTGAGAAATAAATAAAAAACATCTAAATCCACACCTTTTTAAACCTGCTCTGCTTATATTAACGATCCTTATGAAATGATTGCTTTTTAAAAAATGAAGGAATATATACTGGCCACTAAGAATCTCTACCAGGAAGTGAGGAACATCTACCTGGCCAATCACAATTTGTAGGATATTTATTGAAGTATATTCATTGATTAAAGGGTAATACAGACTGATGTGTATTGATTGTGAGTCATAAGTGTCTGATAAATATTTGTAAATATGCCATATAAGGGAAGGAAGGAAGACAGAAAGGTTAAAGTTATTGGAATTTCAATATAGCGTAGGAAGTACAATTTAATTTTATTTGAATAGCTATTCAGTAATAAAAATGAATGAAATCTGACAAATGCTCAGTGCAAACTTTATTGCAATACTGTATACACTAATATTACCGTAACTTGTTCTCAATTGCATAATTATATATACAGTATGTGTATAAAACATAAAAGATAAGAAACTATCACTGTAAACCACACCTTGTAAAATAAGATAACACATAAAATAACAACAAGGCCAGTAGATATCAATTAAAGCTACCTCTGGGTGAAGTGTTTCTTAGAAAAGTAGGCGTATAATTTCTCATCTCAGAACTGAAACTATAATGGTGCAATATTGACATATCACATGATACAATCTAATAAATTAATGATATATCACATGATTTAATCATATGTAGTTAAAATGACATGTCACATGATTTGATACCTTGAATTGACATTAACATGTAGGAAAAGGAACCAGATATGGCTTCAAAACACACTTGAGTCTTGAAATAAATCAAAGGTTGTGATGAAAGAAAAAAAAACATATTGAGTCTTGAAATAAATTAAAGGTCGTGATAAAAGAAAAAATGTTTTTTGTCTATATGATTGTGTCTACCTGTTTACTATAGTTTCAAGTTCTTCTGACCATGACTTGTCTAAGAATTATTCCTGGCGAATAATTGCATGCTTTCTGAAAAATATCTAGCTAAATCCTTATAGACATAATATTGAAATCTTAAAAAATCTAATCTTATTAGGATCAGAATCTTAAGGTTAAACCCAGATCCACATGCAACAAGATCATAATTGTTATACGCCCAATTCCATGCAATTGTTATATGCTCGAACCTTCACTTCTATTTCTACTAAGTCCACTATAGGTTTCATCAATACTACCAGAGTTATAACGAAATTGTACATGTAGTTAAATGAAGTCACCATATTACAACTTTAAAAAGTAAATTAAAAGGAAAATGTATATTGTTAGACTTCAAACAAATGTGAAGATTATCTGCAAATAATAAATCCATTGCATGGAGTGGGCTATTTTCTATGGTATAATAAAACAAATTGTGAGGTTTGCTTAGCATTTTTACGAAAATAGCTCGATTCCCTCATTGTGGACAAATCTTCAGACCCCATCCCCATTGGTCCCCACCTGGTTATAAAGACGTTAATATGTATTATGGATGAACTTCCATCGGAGAAATTTCATGAACATGTCATGAACAGATCCATCTATCTATCAGCTCCAGTAATTGAGTGAGAATTCCTCACTTCAGCAACCAGGATGTTATCTGGTGAATTTCTTGGTTGCTTCATGTTATTGCCTATTAATAACCAGGTGGGAACCAGTGATCTCATAATGCTAGATGCATAAAAAAATATTAAAAACATATTCACAAATTAGAAAGGTATGTTTGTCAGTTTTTCATGCGTCATTATGTACCAAAATAGTATCTAGTCTGACCAAACCACCACTGCCATCTATTTATTCATCTTTATAGCAACTGGCATATTGTTGACAAAATTAATGGCTACTAATTTCTTTGACACAGCCTTTAACATGTTTAATGCATCACATGTTTTATTCTTCACAGATCATATGACGAGAAACCTTTCACATAATGTTTATGATGAATGATCATATGACTTATTCACGAGGTTGTATACACAAATTGTCAAATCAAGGGTGGATAAGTTTCAGTTTCACCTTTAACCTCTTTAATCCCAGGCTCTAAAATTGGTGGAAACCAGAGCATTTTTAATTTTTCCCAATTTTTGACATTTTAATACATACACATATAACAGGTTGTGCTAGATTAAGTTGGCAGAGATCATCTCTACACATTTTAAAATCTTTTTTTTTTGTGTAAATTGGATGAGATTTGTTCAAATTAGAGTAATATTCATGAACAATTTGTGCAGATTATCTCAACATCCTGGGTGGGTTTCAAGGTCATTTCATAGATGACAAGAAATCTTGTGATTCTGAGCAGTCAAGAGGTTAAGTAATACCAGCATGCATTAGCATTATGGTTATTTAAATGTTTAAAGATCAATGAATGAATTATCAATCAATGAATACCTGTGTACATTATATACTCGATCAATGGAGGTTGCAGTAACCCAGTTTAAGGTGGATTTACATGATGAGAATTTTAATAATTTTCATGATTAAAATTACCAATAATTATTAAATGGAATAGGCAATATACAGGGTGGGCCAAAAAATGCTATAACTTTTTTAATTTTTGATACAAAATCATAATTTGCATACCAAATGAAACTTGAAGTTGTTATCAAGCCATGGATCATGGATTATACACTTTTACTTGAATAAAATATGTCACCAGCGTCTCACTTAAACATGTGGTGTGCCATGAAAAATAAGCATAATTTGCATAATGTTGCTGAACTGATACAGCCTGATGACAGCCAAGCTAATAGGCCTGATGCAAACCCCAGTGAGTATAGGGTATGGGAATGTCTCCAGGAGATTGTATTACGGTACCCAATCGAAAAAATTGCTCAACTAAAGCTGGCAATTAGGACAGGTTGAAAAAACTTAGCTAACATTTCATTGATACTGCTATATCAGCAAGGCGACTAAAACTAAAATATATCATCAAATAGGGTGGCGGGCCAAATGAACTCCTCTTTTAGATCAAATATAATCCACGTTGAAGGACTTGTTACATTATATTATTGCTAAGAACCCCTTGCACTATATAACTGCAAATTTTGGGGTATGTAGGTTGGAAAATAAAAAAGTTGTAGTGTCCTGAAAAAAGTGGCGTTTTTTTGGCCCACCCTGTATATTTTCCTATTTGTATTTGTATTTGGATATGTATTACACAGTATTACATACTTAGTGAAGCATATGTATGGAAGTCAATGGGAAAGTTAGTGGGCTATATCCACCGATATTGCCCAATTACCCCCATACCTCGTTTTGATTCTTTAATAGCCATAACAATATCACGTCATGTTTCATATCGATCAAAATCTACTCGCAAATTCTATTCTTCTCAAAATATAGAGACTCCCAAGGTCGGCCTATATTGGGAGAACTCAGGCATATTTCACGTCATAGTGACATACTCATAATAATTTGTGTTCACATTTCCAGCCCATTACCGTTTTCCACATATTGTACATCTAGTTTGATTTCACCTCTTTATAAGAGAGCTCTTCATATTCTACCCTTCTGATCTGGCCTCACCAAATCTGATTACCTGCTAAATCATTGAGTAGCTGGCATTTATTTCATATCGAACTCCCATTAACCTAAATAGAGAAGTTGCTACATAGATGGAATAATAGATGGCGATTATAGTAGGTGGTATGGTTGAAGATTCTGACATGTCTGATACTCATCACATCTTTCTGTTCATTTAAGACATCTCATGGCTAAGAAGAAATGGGATATCATGGTTTACCATGATGTTGGTCAAACAAAATGAGGGTAGTAACTTATGCTAGTTTGCGGGTACAAATTCATATATTCAGAATAAGAAATAATTGGGCAAATAAAAAATTGCAAAATTATTCTTAAACACTGGGTGCCATGTAAAATTTAAAACACATGGTGGCTGGACAAAAACAGATTTAAACTTATACTCACCAACTTATGTTCATGGTAAAGAGAACTGGTTCATAATCTTCTATTGTCAGATGAGAAACACTATGATAGAACCTTGTCCAGAAAGTAATGCTCCATAAAGCAGTCAAAATGAAATACTATCAAATACTGTAGCGTCATCTTTAAACAATAGCTAGTTTTTTATGTTTCATACTTTATTCCAATGATTAAGATATTATTTATTGCACATTCAATTTCACTTTACTCCTATTGTGTCTTTTCCTTTTGCGTTTAGGTTTATCCTTATCAATATCCTTTACAGTTGTTGCACTGTGCTTTCTCTTTTTACTTTTTAAACAAGATAAAGGATTCTTTCCTTTTGGTCCTTTCCGTTTTTTATGCTTTGGTTCCTCAGGTTCTCCAAATAGCTCCTTTTTGAGATTAGACACAATGTTATGTTGGCCGTGCTCTTTCATTTTAGAGTCTATTGCCTCTTGTGCTTTTTTGCAGGATGTAGCGGAAGGGGCCTCCAGGTTAAGTGTCTTATGAGAGATGTAAATCAAAGGAATACCAGCTCTCTTACGGATGTTCTCACTCAGTGTTTGGTCCTGGAAGTATTAAGTAATTCATTAATATAGGATTATTGGGACCATATGATTACTAGGACTGTATACTGTATCAGATAATATCAAGATCTCAGTGAAAGAGGCTTTAAGCCTAGAAATATGTATATAACATACTTTAGCTTTACGTGTATTGGGAGAATTTTGAGATAAAATCATTAAATTCATGAGCAGTATGGAATGTACTGGTTAGAGTTTAACTAAAGAGAAACACTATAGCACATGAGGGTAAAATTAAAGGTTGAGCCCTCTTGGTTGTAGGTACAGGCCTGACTGACTGACTGGCTGATATTTAAAATAAATTCAGGAAAATAACATCACATTTGACTTCAAGCCTTTGATTTGATCTCTGGTACAGACACTGGTATCTCAACATTGAACCCAGTTGATCTATTTCCAGTTCAGTTGTAACTGTGTCCATCATGAAATTCAGTAATAGGCTATTTTGACCAACTTTGAACATTTTCTTCAGAATGTGCAATCTATGAACTCATGAGAATTATACAAAGAAAACATCACGAGATGTTGCTAGATTAGAGTACACTAAACACTAGTAAACAGTACCTGAGTTCCTATGAAGTATTTGTGCTGTCTGGCCATACGGTACATACAATCTGTGGCTAGTTTAACTGGGTCATGGTGACAAGGTTCAACCTTATATTGTCTCAACACCTTCAATGGACCATACAACAAGGTACCTGCAACAAAATTCCAAATTTATGATCGATGAGTTCTATTTAAGACCAGGAGTTGCATTCTGTGGTGAAAATTAATTTGTTAACTGGCACATTATTCAATTTTTCAGCATATTGGACATTCTTAGAATGCAGTCTCGCCCTGAACAGATTACACAAAAACCCTTATAAACCATACCAAATTAATCACCTGCATTCAAAACCAGTTATTTCTATGTACATGTACTAATGTATTAAAAACAATATAATCATTAACATATTCAAATAAAGCAAGCCACGAGAGTTCAAGGCAAACATAAAGAGAAGTCCTAATTAAAGACAGCCATGATTCAGTCTTCTCATCAGAATTTTTTTCTTAATATTCTAAGATTTTTCTCATTCCTATTGGTTGCAAGTCTATTCTCACTCTTGTGTGCAGTTACCAATTGCTTCAATGTTGTGGAGATTACTAGGATTATTTCTTTAGCCGTATATAAATAATTCCTCACCTAAGGCTTCACACTCTGCCATTACACATGCTGTTGTACATATCTCAACATCTGACTCTAAATAATGATGAAGCTGCTCTGCAATGTTCACTTGAAAGTTTAAAGCAGCTTTACACATTGTCCCATCTATCATAACTTTATATGGAGGTAGGAAATCGTAATTGTTTCTGTAAAATTTAAGGACCCTCCTGACATGCTTCAGTCGCTTCACTTTCATCTTGACTCTTTTAAGTATGGAAATACATTTGTTAATTGTCTAGACCATGTCTTGTATATATCTACCTACAAATACACAAATACATATAATAAGATTAACAATAATATGTACAATTACATGTACATTTACTTACATTACGCATACTATCAGGTGCAGTGTCTAGAAATATTGACTTTGTTCACAGTTTATAGAAGATGTGAATACAATCATGTTGGATTCATAATTAGACCACTTCTGCTTGGTAAGTATGTCTCATTAGTACAATTGAAGTCATTTTATCACTGGTGGAACGAAAACATTTTTGAAAAATTCCTATACCTGCACATGTTATTTTCTGGTACAAAATAAAGTATGGAGCAATATGTGTTAATTTCCTTGCTTTTTTCAGGAAAATTTAATTATGTATTGATTTGAATATATAGGATATCATGGGCGTAGGGCTATATTTTGACTTGGTACGCACACTCGGGGATGCCTGAATGCATGGCCGAAGGCCGCGCATCACAGGGGGTCCGGGGGTATGCTCCCCCGCAAATTTTTTTTTCAAGGATGTTATTTGATGGAATCTAAGCGTTTTTATCAACTTTAAATGTTGACAATGGTAAACATACAGATACGATAGGAAGCATCAATAAATTCGCAAATAAATTAATGCATTTTAACACATTTTTAATTGTTTTAATTGTGTATTTTGCGTTTATAGGCGCTACGCCCATGGATATTATGAATGCTACTTAGCATATGGATTACTCATAAATGGGCTCACAAGTTCGTAATTTCTCTTTCCTAGAAACTCCAATTGATGGTTCAAGAGCTGCGGCCCGTAAGGTATTCAATTGTGATTGTGAATGCAGGTCATCCAACTGACCCAGAATTTGTGTATTTTTCACACATTTGCTGAAGAAATTGAAGTCACGGCCATTCTGTCACGCAAATACACATTTTTCTGATTATTGTCAAGAAAAAAAAATTTCAGGAGAACAAAAAACAATGCTGAAAAACGAGCGCTGAAAAAGACAGACACAGTTCATTCGGAATTTCCCTCGAATTGCGTATTTGTCACACATTTGCTTTTTCTTGATTCCCCCATGTGTTGACTGAATTTCTGAAAGCGAGCGAACTGAGCTTGAAAAAAAAAGTTTATGGTAAAGTTGCATCGAGTGAGTACATAATCAACAGCATCAAGTGATAAAGTCACACCAATTTTTCTTATACATCATCAAACTCCCGTGCAGTGATATATCACTGCGGCGGGCAGGTATCTCCGTAAGCATGGTAACTTCGTAATAAACAACTGACGTGATTGGTTCTAGTCCCATGCTCGGGTCGCGTGATTGTAAAATTTAGACAATTTCATTGGTTGAATTATTAACTAATAAACAACACGTGCGGTGAACTATTATCAACACAACTTTTACTCAGAATTCCTTCCGCGGTGATTTCTTCTCATATTTCAATAATTTTGAAATATTTTGACAAAATAATGTTTGGGGAATATTCATAAATACATATTTTATAAGTTGTGCGAAAATTGAACACATACAGGGTGTCCCGAAAGTATTGGGCCCCCCTAGGCAGACATATTCTAGTGTCCTCATAGTATGTGTCATATATCATTTTAAAGCTTATCCAAAGTTACATTGATTTGCCAAGTATTATCGTTTAACTCCCAAATGGGAAAAAGTTACAGTCATTTTAAAAGTCAGTGCTTTGTCAAAATAAAGTTCAATTTTAGACCACATTACTAGTCAATGTGCCCCCCTTGGCCATGTTAAGAGCAGCAATAATTTTCAGATATGACCTTAAAAGCCCTTCAAATAGGGGTGTGGAATTTCATTTCCCTCTTAAAACCTGTTAAGGGACTTTAGAAGAGTTTCCTCAGAGTTTCTACCCTCACCGTTCTCTTTTTCCAACTCAATATCCATCCGACCTGAAAAGAATTGCTGCTGTTAAGATGACCCAGGAGGACACATTGACTAGTGATTTGGTGTAAAATTGAACTTAATTTTGACCAAACACTAAATTTTGAAATGCGTATAATTTTTTCACATTTGAGAGTTGAACCATGATACTTGGCAAATCAATGTAACTTAAACTGCCTAGGGGGGGGGGGGCATACTTTCAGGACACCCTGTATATGATGAAAAGGGGAACTACATGTATTTTCCCCAAATTTTGGGGATTTTCTTCATCTGCCCGCCGCAGTGTCTATACCGAGACACTGCATGGGAGTTTGATACATCATAGCACTGGAAGTTTATGACGTTATACCCAGTATTTCCGCAGGAGATTTGTAAGTATTCATTTATTCCGACATTTTGACAGAATATTGTCATTTCCCTTTCGTAGAAACACTAACAATACCATGCAGGCATACCTCTAGTATCACTATGTCTCGACATTTTGTCTGGACATGGTCTAGAACTTCTCAAACCTTCTAGAAAGCACAACATTTCTTATCTATTTTAATAATAAAATTAAAAACATTTAAAAATTAACCCCAAAATGTATAAGATCCAAAATAGTGGATCAAGCAAAGTGGCTCGTGGCCAAGCAAGTATCAAAAAATACTCAACTCATCACTATGCAATGGAAAATTTTACAGGGTATATTATATACCCCACAAATGTTATTTTAAAGAGGTACAGAATTTAAGAATCAGAAATTTGTGACTTTTGTGATAACATAGATAATACGACACACTATTTTTTTAATTGTACACGCACGAAAGCCTTTTGGGAAAAAGTAGATTACAAACTCAAGGTAAAAGATGTAGTTCATGGCGTCGAAAATAATAATGAATTGAATTTAAAAATTCTTCTAAGTAAAAGGGCAATTGTAATAGCAAATTCTTCAAAAGTAATATGAATCACTTAATTAAAAAATTCTTCCTCTTTTGTAAATTGCATTCCATGTATGTAAATATGTTTTTTGGCAATAAATTATAAAAAAACAAAAACAAAAAAAACGATAATTTTTCACAAAATCATCATAGTTTCTACAATTTTAGACATATCATCTTGAAATATTGATAAGATTAACAATACAATTTTCACATATCATCCAGACATTTCAGTTTTTCAAATCAATGAAAATTCTGAGAAATTAATTTTTCTTTTGAAAGTATTCGATGTAAAGGAGGTATACGACATCCAGGGAATTAAATATCTACAATAAATATCTACAATGAAATGTTGTATAGTACGAAATATTTCCATGAAAATGTGTGACATACATGTATACGGTATCCGCGTGAAACGTCTGAACGAAATGCGCTTGTTTTTTCGACATTGGTTTTTTTTCTGTATCGGCGATCACTTTTTGAAGTTTTTTACAGAAATATTTTTGCTTGACAATAATCAGGTAAAATGCGTACTTGCGTGACAGATTGCGTGTCACACAAAAAAAACTGACGTGACTTCATATTTTCCAGCAAATGAGTGACAAATACGCAAATTGCGGGACAGTTGGACTAGAAGTTCACCGTCGTTGACCTCAATAACTGCTTTCTTTACTATTGGGAATTTTCTTGGCCGTTACCGGGGCCATAAGACGTGTAAAATAGGAAACTAGGCCCAGGTAGGTCTAATGTTGTTGGACTCATAATCATAATAATTGGAAAATTGGACTAGAGTCCATTTCACTGCTTCATTTCGTCAGTAGAACGGCAAAAATAAGAAATTGGGAGACCATTGTGCAATAACATATGGAAAAGTATATGCATAATGTACATGAATGACATTTGTATATCTTGGATTGCTTCTAGTTTGGCTTATAAAGTGTGTGGCCTCTTATATTTGGATGTTTCTCTGCCATGTTATTTTCAATAAGATTAACATGGCTGAAATTCTTCAAATTACAAGACGGCACAGGCTTATTGCACAAAAAACTAAAAAATCTGAAATATACAAATGTCATTCATGTACATTATGAATATACTTTTCCATATATTATTGCACAATGGTCTCCCAATTTCTTATTTTTGCCGTTCTAGATCCTACTGACGAAATGAAGCAGTGAAATGGACTCTAGGTGTTCAATGGTGGTTCAAACTGTGCTTAATGAAGGTTAGATGTACTCCATGGATCTTATGTATCTAATTGGATAAATTTAAATAATCATAACATCGACATAATACTCACAAAGTCTCAATTTGTCACAGGATTGGAAATCTTCACGTTTTCATGGGCGCCGCCATTTTCTACTTGCGAAATCTCCTATGTACGAGAGCTTCATTATGGATAAATTTTAACAATAATTAGTACTTTAAGATACAGATTAGTCATGCAAAAGATATTTTATTGAGAAAGCAGGAATATTTATTCAGAAAAACGTAAATGATGTGAAAAGGGTTGTGATTTTTTTCCCGGGAAACTCCCATCATTCTCACAACCGGCAACATGGCGGGCAGAAACTCAGACTCCCAAGTCAAATTCGTGCTAATTGATGGCCTCGTGAGTATATTTTAAAGTATTTTGTGAGTGTTAAATATGTGGATATATATTTTGCTCGATTTGAGTGTAGTTTGGAAGTCGACAATCATTTGGATTATGACTTACATCGTCAAAAACGCTAACATATTTTTGGAACATGTTTTTTTTTTCATCCTCCATTCATTGATCATTCATAATCCATTCTTTACCCCAATGGTAGAACTCTCTTTACTTTTTGTACCATGTTAAATTGACAAATTTATTTAACATTTATGTAGTGTTGCATTTGCACAAATGATAGATATGCATCATGGCAGGTTTTTGAACTATAGTCCCAAAATCCGAAGAAATCTTTAGTTGGAAATGCCGTCAATGACATCACTGATTTCCCACAAATTGCTCAGACGCCATTGAAGATCAAAAAATATAAATAATGTAACTTTGAATCTCTGATTATTGAACAGATTTTTTTGTCAAGATTCACACTAGTTTTATCAGAATTCACAAATTTTGTTCGAGCAATCTTCCGCCAATATGATGTTATACATACGCTATGATGTAATCCTCGAGCAATGAAATTAGCGGATTGTGACCTTTGACTTTGCAATCTCCGGATGTTTCGTTCAGAGTAATCGATTAGTTCGGTGGGCCAATGAAAATTGTCCCTTCCAAAGCGATGCATCGTGGGATATATTTATGTAAATTACCATCTGAACTCTTATCACGAATAGGAGTATTGTGTTCAGACGCCTTTAAGTGCCATGGAAGTTAACATGAAATGACAAAACAGGAAGTGACAAAACCATGCTGGATTTCAAACAGTTTTTGAACCAAGATAGCAGAGTTCTGTTCTGACCTCCAGTCAGTTTAACTAGTTCTACATATCATTCACATGACCAGGATCACAATGGCCATGGTCAGAATGACCCTAAACATGATGAAATAACTTTTTCAGCCCTTTGAAATTGTGACTGAAAAATTGCTAATGTTTCAGAAATATCCATCTCAACAAAACCGTCATAACATCACAAATATTCATAGATTTTGCCATTGTAGTGACCAGGATGTATACTCCCATACGTGGAAGTGCGGACAAATATTCGCCTCTGCTTGTACCACGTGATTGGGAAATCAAGAGAAAGTGATTGGTTGCATTGCACATATTAATCGATAACCCCAAGTGCAGTGAACTAATATCAACAAAACTTTGACTAAAATTTTTTTTCACGAGATTTCATCATGAATTTTGATTTGGAAACCTAGAAGACTAAATATTTCATAATAATATTTTAAAATAAAATTGAATTCATCGATGTTGAAAGGGGGACTACATTCAACAATTTTTGATTATTCATTCTGCTTGCCGCAGTGTTTATACCATGACACTGCCATGCCTTACAACAATTTTCATTCAGTGCAGTCATGCCTATTTCCAACATGTTGGGGGCTGGATATTGAAAAGATTTTAGAAAATTTCATTTCTAAGTATTACTCAATGCAACACAGATGGTGACACATATTGAAGTTTAATGATATTTCAGGTTGTGTTGAAGGTCATCAAACACTGTGAGGAGATAGGTAGTGGAGGAACAGAGTTGGTGCAGGGGGTTCTGCTAGGTCTTGTAGTGGAGAACAGACTTGAGATCACAAACTGCTTTCCATTCCCCCAGCATTCAGAAAATCAAGAGGACTTTGATGAAGGTAAGAACTAATAATCACTTAAATGAATCTCTCTTGTTGGAAATATTAGTCTTTGAAACAGTTACTGGGTTATTTAGTCATCTGTTGAAGTCTTAAGTCAAAAGATGTGAGGTCAGAGAAGTCAGAATAACGCAAATGCGAGTAAGTAGTTACCAGTTTCACCACCAGGTGGCTCGCTCGGGTCAGATAGCATGGCGGTATAGTAGAAAGTTCCCTTTAACCTAAATTACATAGGTTTTAATGGTTCAATTTTCATATAGCCCTTATGTATCGAATAGTTATGCAAATTGTCCAGTAAAAGAAAATGTTATATGTCCAATACAACAAAAGATATTTCACTTTTTGTGATTTTATAATATGGGGTCTATGGGGAATCAAACTGAACTAGAAGTCACATTTTCAAAAAATATTATTTTGAATATTTAATGACGTAAATCAAGATCATTTCTACTCGCATCTAGTCTATTGAAGTATACAACCATTAGTCATTTATGAAGATAAATTTCTCAACAATTTCACTTCATTTTTCAAATAAAAACAGGAAAATGAATAAGTTTCACAAAAAATATTATTGAATACATTTGTTTATTGATGGTCGTGATGGAGCGATATGAATTTTTTCTTGGAGAAAATATATTAGCCTCGGAAAATATCATATTGAAACTCGGGCTGTCGTGTCTCAATTGTGTAACTGTAAAGAAGTGGAATATCACTTGCATAAGATACACAGATATTCCCCTCAATAGAATGAAATGTTATAGTATTCTATCTACATGCATTTTATATTTTCAGTCCAGTATCAGATGGAAATGATGAGAAATCTACGACATGTGAACATTGACCATCTTCATGTTGGATGGTACCAGAGCACATATCATGGTTCATTTGTAAACAAGGCACTCATTGAATCACAGTTTAACTACCAGCATTCTATAGAAGAATCTGTCGTCCTTATTTATGGTAGGTAGATTTAAAGTCAATACAAATGTTTTCATTTTAGTGTTTGCAAATAGAATAGAAGTATGTGACCGTAGACTTGCTAGAACTACATTTCATATGTATTTTTTCATTTCTAGATATTACAGCAGACACTCTGTGTAACTATCTATATTAAACCTAAAATACTATATCTAACATATTTTTTCTATTTTTGCCGTTTGTTTCATAAGTTGATTTCTATGTTCAATGATCCGTTCCAGAACAGAAAATATTCTGACTTCAAGCCAAACATTGGAACCAACTTGTCCTCAAATGTTTTTCATAATCTGTGACAATCTATTAAGAATAAAACTCTTAACACATTGTCAACAAATTATTTATATTAGTATGAATGAATGATTTAGATATTCTTGCTCATTATTTGCAGATCCAGTTAAAAGTTCTCATGGTAAAATCTCATTGAAAGCGTTCCGTCTCACACCAGTAATGATGGAGATGTACAGGGAAGGAGACTTCTCACCAGAAACGTAAGTCACATTCTTTAATATTTGTCTGTATCACATTCCACTTAATTGCTCTATGGCACATAAGTACTGACTTCTTTTGGATGAATGATATTCAAACAACGTATGAAACATTCAAGTGACCACACAAATGGCTTCTTTTCAAACTGTTCATTCTTTCATGACATATACAAAAATTGGTAGATAGATTTATATTCAAATCTCATTTACCTGTTGCCAAAAGTGTATGAATTGAGTGCTGAAAGTTGGTGGATTGGACAAATTTTGAAATTTTGGGTGCTATTTAATTTAGCCGCTAAATACCCCTCACCTCAGAACTTGTCACCGAAAATGCTTATCTCGCTTGGTATCAGAATTTTTTGTCTGGGCTAGCTATGGATCTGTAGATCTTTGAAAATACAAGGAGTTTAATATTGATTTAATTTGTATGTGTCTCTATTCTAGTGTAAGTTCATCAAACCTGAGCTTTGAGAAGATGTTTGAAGAGATTCCCATAGTGTTCAAGAACTCCCACCTTGTGAATGCTCTCATGTGTGAAATAGAGGAGACACAACCCCCCAAGGAACATGACCAGTTCCTGGATCTTGCAACCACGTAAGTGCACAAAATTAGGAAGGCCATTAGACATGTAGTTGGTTCTATTTAAGTACAGTAACTCATCAACTTCAGTTAGAGTCATTCTAAGTGAAGCCATTTTCTCCATTATCGCAGTTGTTTGAGCATTTATTTGTGGTTATTTACCATTGAAGCTTCATTAATTTGCATGTTGAAACATTTGAAATTCAGATTCAACTTAATTTAGCTGAAATCGGAGGTTTATCTAAAACGAAAGAATTTCGGCAACCATCTTGAATGAAGCTAACTGCAGTTAGAGTCATTCAGCTGTGGAACAGTGATTATCTAGAATATAATATTGGTTTTAAAGATTTGAACCTTGTTAGAATTTCATATATTTTTGAAAAGAATATGATTTTAGAATTTTGTAGGGTTAGAAAGTAAGGTTGGAAATTACAGGTAGTTATTATTTGAAGTTTTGTAGCAATTTATCTTATTGTTTTCCAGGTCTGTACTGGAAAAAGAGATGGCTTTGATGATGAAGTGTGTAGATGAACTGAGTCAGGATGCTAACAAATTTACAAACTTCCAAAGACAAGTCCAGAAACAGAAGCATGCCAAAGAACAGTATCTTATGAAAAGGGTAAGATACTATTTTTGTGAAGAAAAATTAGGTGAAAATTCTTTAATATCATGAATATGAATATTTAACCCCAGACGTGCGTTGAGTGGGTTTACTTGCTTTAACGTCAAATTCCATGTAGAGGATCAGTGAGTTTAATTGCTTGATAATGTTGAAAGTGTTTGCAAAAAGTCAGAAGTCTTTACCTTAATGATTTGCCGCTATTCTTCTCCAAATGTGATGGTTTTGATAGTTGATGGTGTTAACTTCAAACAACATATTTTTTACAAAATAAGTTAAATAGACACAATAATTAATGACACAAAAATATTTTTAAACTTTTTATTTCGAAAATATTGACCGGAAGTTCGAAACAAGTCAGTCTCCACGGAATGCACGTCCAAAACAAATCAGCGTTCTAAGGGTTAAAAAGGAAGTTTATTTTTCTCTGTGATGCTATTTGTGATGAAGAACTGAATTGTTACCACATCTGATTCTTTGGCTCTATCACATGTATCAGAGACCAAGCTAAACTGTTGAAAAATTTACATTCATGATTTTAAGACTTTTCTCTTTTTAATCTTTTTATCGTACCTAACAAGAGGTACGATATTGTAGTCAGCTTGACGGGCGGCGGGGGGCGGGTGGGCGGGCGGCGTCTCACTTTTCAGCTTGTCTACGGGTTTCCAGCCAAATCATTTCAGGGATTCATCTGAAATTTTCAGGGATGTTTCTACATATCAACGTCAAGAACTGATTAGTTTTTGGGCATTCTGGGTAAATCTTAAGGTGGCCATTTTGGATTTTCCGTCCTAAAATCTTCACTTTCAAGACTTGTCTACAGGTTTCCAGCCAAACCATTTGAGGGATTCATCTGAAATTTTCAGGGATGTTTCTACATATCAACGTCAAGAATTGATCAGTTTTTGGGCATTCTGGTTAAATTTTAAGGTGGCCATTTTGGATTTTCCGTCCTAAAATCTTCACTTTCAAGACTTGTCTACAGGTTTTCAGCCAAACCATTTGAGGGATTCATCTGAAATTTTCAGGGATGTTTCTACATATCAACGTCAAGAACTGATTAGTTTTTGGGCATTCTGGGTAAATCTTAAGGTGGCCATTTTGGATTTTCCGTCCTAAAATCTTTACTATCAAGACTTGTCTACAGGTTTCCAGCCAAACCTTTTGAGGGATTCATCTGAAATTTTCAGGGATGTTTCTACATATCAACGTCAAGAACTGATTAGTTTTTGGGCATTCTGGTTAAAGGATGTGTCTGGATATATGCCCTTTTAGTCCCTCAGTCAAATGTACGTGAAATATGGCTTTTATTACTGTCCTAGTTATATTTGATAAGTATATTTACTTTTTCATGAGTTTTGATGCATAATTAACCCCCTGCTGAGAGTTAGAATAAGTATCTTAACAAATAAAAAAGGGTCATTATCATAGAAAAAAACACCAATGGCAACATGTATGACATACAAAGAAGAAATTAATTAAGATCCATAAAGAAAATCATTTTTTTGAAATATATTTAAGGATTAAATTTTTTTTCAAATTTTTGAATTTCCCGCCAGTTTAATTTGAAGGGGGAAAAACAAGATGGCTGCCATTTGATGTAAGAAATATCAGAAAAAAAGTTGCTTCACTTTTAGTTTTCACATTGAGCACAGTATTCCGGTTTAGGTTTTTTGACTGATTCTGACTCTTCATCACCAGGTTCATGTATAGAGATTATAAAATTGAAACCAAAATGTTGTGCTCAGCATGAATTTGACTGAAATATGTATAACTTCACCAACACAATTGAAGTGTCAAAACTGGATGCTCAGTACCTTTGAGTGACTATAATCCCTTGATTACCCAGATAAACACCAATTCACTTATCCAGAAATACCATTCAATGTCTATACAAAGAAAGTAACCAATGTTTTGGAAGATATGTTTCACACTTTTTGTATAAATAATTCATTTAATATTTGCCATTGATTTTTTTTCAATTCTGATAAAGTGATATGCACTGTCTTTGATCCCAATATTCTTCATCAATTGTGATACAAATTGATATTTTTGTAATTTCATAAGAAGGATAAGATATTGAAGTTTAATAATATGTGGGATTGAGTTGGTTTTTCAGACATTACAATTTTCAATATTTTCTAAGTCGATACCCAGACTCATTCCCAGACTCATCCTTTTAAGGTGGCCATTTTGGATTTTCCGTCCTAAAATCTTGTCTATCAAGGCTTGTCTACAGGTTTCCAGCCAAACCATTCAAATTTTTACATATGTTACAAAGTGATAAGTTCTAGAGCTGATTAACTTTTCTGCGGCCATCTTGCTTTCTTGGTCAACAAGACCACAATGCTGTGTTTTAGGTACGATATTGTTCACGTCTGTGCCTTGTTTAATCTTTTTAATTTTGAACTATGAATTCTGTTTGGAAAGTTAGATACTGCTAATTTTGATAATTTGTCATAATTTCGTTAATTTTGATCAAAAAGCTCATTTTGTCGGAATCGATCAGATTGTTCAGAATTTTTAATTTCAGTGTATTTAACGACATTAAACCATTTTATTGCACTCATAATCATACTCTCCTCATGTAGTTTACCATGACTTTTAAATATTGCTATATTTGTGTTTTTAGAAACAGGAGAATGAACTGCGAGCGCAAAGAAAAGAAGCCCCCCTCCCTGAGGAAGATATCAACAAAATATTTAAGCCCCTGCAGCCACCTCCCAGATTAGAGTCTCTACTAACATCAGCACAGATAAATCAATATTCACAAAGTATAAACGAATTTGCCAAACAAAGTTTTGGAAAATTATTCATGGCAGAAAGTTTACAGGAGAATAAAGTAGCGAGTAATTAAATTATGGATTTTATGATTCATCGTATGTGCATCTGGGATCATGGACCTGAGTTGTTTCAGTGATAAAGCACAATACAAGATCATGTTCCATCATAAGATTCTCATGCAGTATTTGTGTAATTGATTTTTTGTGTAATTGATTTTTTGCGAATAAAGATAACAACTTTAAAAGTGCTGTAGGAGGTGATCTTACAGTAAAACAACTAGCCTGAATCAAGTTTTTTTTATTTAAGGTTACGCAGCTTTGCCAAAATGAAATTGAAAATTCCCTTAATTTCAATTTTTGCTGAACAATTTTCCAATGGGATCTTACATGTTGACTGTATCATGTCATACCACAAGCAATACATACAGACATACATGTGCATTTATTTGTCTGACATGTACTTCAAAAAGAAATAAAAATAAAAACACTCTTGTATAAAATTCATTCATTTATTTATTTCATACATTTTGGCTGAAATTGTTTAAAAAATAACATAAATATGAGACTTCATACTCCTCATTCTATTATTAAGATCTGTTTAATCTATTATTGCACTTCAATAAATAATGCAATACAGAATTAACAATGTAATCAAACTTGAGCACATTTCAAACATGTCTCCTTTTATTTGTTGACTTATGTATTACTGTACTTATAATGGTACTCTTATATTTGATCATTGTACTGGAATATTTCAGTTTGAAAATGTGCAGTTTGATTATTTTTGTTTAACATACTAGTAGTAGTATTTGAATCCTGAAGGATTCTACCTATAAACACTCGGTATAATTATCATTACATAATGTCATATTAAGCTGGTTAACAGATATACTGTTTATCAGCCTGACTTGCTACTGTTTCTTTTAAATACATATAAGATAGAAGAAGGGGTCCATGCAGTCTTAATCTGTTTATGGAAAATTGACTATAAGGCAATATATATATGTGTTTTGTTGAAGATATGAAGCAAGTCTTGATGATATGGTGATGCAGTATATGAAATGCAGTCTACTTAAACACTAACCAAGTTACTCCAAATTATTTGCCAAATATTGCTCACAACAATGTATAACTGGCCTTTTTACAGAATACACAGATGAGAATTCAAGTAATAGTACATAACAAACAACATAATAAATTAAATTAAATAGACATCAAATAAATACTAGTATACAATGTATAAATGCTAAATATATCTAAGAATGACTGTTATGAATGAAGTTGAGAATATGGTCTTCAAGTCAGTTGAGTTACATGTTTGCTCTATGAACACGGTGATACTATCAACTGAGTTACATGTTTGCTCTTCAGAACAGTGATATATTCAACTAAGTTACATGTTTGCTCTATGAACACAGTGATATCTTCAACTAAGTTACATGTTTGCTCTTCAGAACATAGTGATATATTCAACTAAGTTACATGTTTGCTCTATGAACACAGTGATATATTCAACTAAGTTACATGTTTGCTCAATGAACACAGTGATATATTCAACTAAGTTACATGTTTGCTCTATGAACACAGTGATATATTCAACTAAGTTACATGTCGACTCTATGAACACAGTAATATAGTAAACTAAGTTACATGTTTACTCAATGAACATAGTTATGTATTCAACTAAGTTGCATGTTTGCTGTATAGACACAGTGATATAGACAACTAAGTTTGCCTTTTGAACACAGTGATAGAGTCAATGAATAGTGATAGTCAATGAACACCTTGGCATAGTCAACTAAGTTACATATTTGCTCTATGAACACAGTGATATAATCACACATTGGTATAGTCAACTAAGTCAACTACATTACACGTCTACTCTATGAACACAGTGGTACATAACTAAGTTACATGTTCGCTCTATGAACACAATGATATTGTCAACTAAGTTGCATACATGTTCTAACTCCATAAGCAGTGTTGAATTGCACAGGTCGCTAAATCAAGCTAAGTTTTCTTAAACTATAACTAACAGGAGTAAGGGGTATTTGCAATGATTAATTTCCAAATTGAAAGTACAGTAGAGTAACCCCACATTAACATTATAATGGGAACGTTTGATAAACTAATATAAAATTAGGTTCTTATCATATATACTACTAACACAGACAACAATAAAGGCTAAAAGCCTGTCTGTACAGGGAATGTACATAACAAAGTATGTAGTTCATATTTCTGTCATAAATATCACTGATTCAAACATGTCATATTGTTCATCTTCACAAGATCCCCTACCAGTTGGAGGTGTCAGTAGTGCCCCTTTGAACATAGAAATCTTAGTTGATTGCAACAGGGCATCATCCACAGCCAAGATATTAGAGGTTCTATGTGTATTGTACAATCTGACATGGTTGAATGCAGTGACTGTGGAATGTTTCAACGTTTGGGGCCCTACTACAAATAAACACATTTTCAAATATGTCTGTTTTTCAGATGAGACTAACAACAATCTTGAGATTCATGACACCTTTCAATATCTGTAAAACATTAACTTAAAAATGCCTGAACGTTTGCCAGGAAAAACGTTTTTATTATTATATTTTATCTGATTAAAATTGAACAATTCCAAACTTGATTAAAGGTGGTTCCAAAAGTTGAAATAACATTATGGTACACGTTGTTTATTTGTAATTTGGGCTCCTTGGTGATGTTTACCCAACATTAATACAGATGTTGTACATATTATTAAAGTAGGGCAAACATGCAGGTGGAATGTTCATAGGTCATACTTGTATGTATTCTTCAAATAGACCGGGTAAACTAACCTACAAACTAACATTTATTTACAAAGCTGACCCAACAATAGATATGATCATATGAACCTATTTGAGTTCAAACAATATGACCGAGGGATTACTTGGCCAACCACTTTTGAAACAATCGGTACTAAACTTCCGTCTGTCTCTTGAACTTGAGTCTTTGATTGAGTTTAGTCGGTCATTTTAACAAATAAACACAAATTGTGATAGTTGTTTTCAAAGCTAAATAGGTTATCAGCTAGAAATATAAACACGACAATTGATAATGGTATGCTTAATGGTAGGACAATAACACTGTCATGTGTACAGATGGCACGTTAACAAACGCAATCATATGTATATATGTAATATAATGATGAAGAGTCCTTTCACCGGGGAGTAAATTGAATACATGATTACCGTTACTACAACAAAATAGACTCTAGATGAGAGGGCGGTGAATGATTCATTTTGTATTTCAGGAGAGTGAATATCATGAAACTAAATTAAACATATTTTTCATAAGCATACTTTTTGTGTGAAAATGTTATATGTATTTTCTTCATCTTTGTTTTGCATTTGCGGTTTATACATTTATACCAAAACACTAAACATTGCAGTACTCCCAGAAAAAGAAAATTATGAATTGAATTTGTTGTAATTTCAACTTTCTGACCGTACTCAGTATCCTGTTTGTTCAAACAGGAAGATGTACTTATCAATGTTTGGTGTTTTTTATTGATGAGAATTCAAGTTTGCTAAACTCGAAATACAGGATGTCAATTTAACTCCCATCTGGCATAATTAAAAAATGAAAGTGAAAAATTCAATCGAACGAAAACGAACGAAAACGATTTGAAAAATAAAATCAATGATTTAAATCTAGAAATACCAAAAGAAACAAATCTTAATTAGATTGCACATACTTAGGAGCCTAATATCATCACCTATAATTTCCACCGTTAAATGTCAACCTCCTTTATTAATAAATTAACCAGAGAGAGCAGCTGATTCTAATGAATTTCTATTAATATGCAAATGTACTAATACTAGTTTTTATTTCGTATTTTAAATTTTTTCATCAGCTGTTTTGTTGTTACTTGCGGTTTTTAAGCCAGACGGTACATTATGATTTCGAGAAGTAAATATATCTTAAAGATGTTGGTTTTGCATTATGAGAAGCCAAATCAATACTAGGAATATATTGGAGAAAATTGAAGCTTTGGGATTAAGTTACACACATTTGGGAACAATATCCCCTTTGTTTCTAAGTTTTATTGAGATTACGGTTACGATATCGATTTTGCAATACTGTGTTCTGCTCATTAATAATACAAAATGGAAGCTGAGTAATATGATGGTAGTAGCTGCCATGTTTAAATGCCAGATTGCTGCCATTGTTTTTAAATGAAATATCTAACGATTAAATATTACTTGATCTATGGTATATAGCACGAGTTGACTAACAAGGGGACAAACATCAAAATAAATAATATTTACATCTTAATATAAATACGTATGACAAGTTGGTTATTGTTTTCTAGGTAGAACCATTTAGCTGTGACTCAGCGTCTTGTCATAGCGATTCCTTTATATATTCCTTGATTCTGTTCGGTAGGGGTAGATTGTCTATTTCCTGCTCATCTTGGGCGTATTGCACGATAATAGCGCGACACCTGTCCTGGAGGTCGTATGGTATCCTCCGTGTCACACCTAACGTCATCTCTGTCTTGGCGGCGGTACTGCAAACAATGGGATAAAGATCCTCGTCAATTTTGTTAAGTCCAGTAAAAGCAACCCCGAGGTTTATACCGTCTTTGTAGTAAGTTAAGGTCCCTTGGTGCCAGTCAAATAATATCCCAATGGTGGTTGCTTCATTTTCCCTGAACGGTTTTGTGTATTGTCTTAATTTGCCATTGTGCCAGGCGACACCCTTATGAGACAACCCCCACCCCTCCGAATCTTCACCTAACATATTTACAAAGGCATCTACGTGCAGACGCGCCTTCTTAGTCCCTATACCAAACATCATACTGGTTCCAAATATCCTTTGGGAGATTTTCACTTCCCAGTAATGTTTGCCATAATTCAGCACCATTGTTCCACGGACTCCTGCTGTCCCATTACTCCAATTTGGATGAAAATGTACAGTTTTGTGATGTTTACCATGTAAATTGACTTCATGCGATTTATCATACGTGTTCCAAGTCCATGGGTCTTCACAGCCACCATGCTTTAAGGGATCTTTCGAACCCTTCCCCATCCTTGACATAAGACTCAGTTGAATCCTTATGCAGTTATCTAACAGTTTTCGTATCAAATCTTCTGGCGTGAAATATAAACTTGCTGGCATGAAGCATATCTTGAAGAAATACGTTAAAATGTTCCTGTTCATATAGCTCCCATTTACATATTATTCTGGCTTTGTTTTTGCCATGGTTAATGAAACAAAGCAACCCAGTCGTTATATCGTCTCTTGTTCAATAATAAGCCTACTAACCGATATACTGGATATATTGATGAACACACGCCTGCTATCGCAGTTTGCTATTCACGACAGTCGCGTGCCGGGGAAATTAGTCCAATCGTAGCCATCGCTGAGCCGACTCTGCTCACGACAGATGGTCGTCGAAACACATTGATATTTAACAAGACCATTGAAAAAGTCCGTAAAATAAATCCCTATCACCTGCCCCTTATGTCCAAGGATTTAAAAATCGATATCAACTACTTGGGTCAAATTAAACATATCAGGTTAAATAAATTAACGATTGACATTTTCTTGTTATCTTTATGTAGAATAAGAACAATGGAATTTAGTTATTTTTAAGTCAGAGAAGTAAAAATCACTTCATTATTTCTGACAATTACGTTACGACACATATCATAATTCGAACAAATCGATACTAATTACTCACTGGTCAGTCTGACCTATTAATCATTGCTTTGTTTTGTTTCTAGACTAGCTTAACACAGAAAGTTAATTTTCAAAGTTGGTTCTCAGGGGAGAGGGTCCCCCTACATTGCACTATCTGCCACTCGAGCATTTCGTTTAATAAGAATTAAAAGTCCCTAGACGTGGAGTCTGATAATATGACATTATTGAACATATTGAATATTAGGCGTTGAACGATGCTAGTGATTTCAACTGTAGGTAAGTTATATATCATTAGTTGTTGACCGCCTAGTGCATGCATAGGGGGTTCACTTGACAATTTTGTCAAAAATTACTTGAAACCCCGGAGGTTTCACTCCAATATAACTCTTAATGCCGCGCCAAAGACCCAATTTTGAGCTTTTCCATGTCCTCTCAAGATTGAAAGTAATTTCTCTGTAGATGATTTTTTTAAAAACTGTTCAATCTGAAGCTCAAATCTCAAATCTCAAATATGAATACTAATAGGATAATTTCACAGACACCACCTGACAGGTTATGATGTCCTCTTTCCTATGATACCAAAGTTGAATATTTTGCTTCACGGATGACTGAGTTCTGATGGATTTAACTTTTTCTTTCATGAATGATGAAACAATGGGGGATTAAAATGGTTATGCCAGGATGGTTTTGCACCCTGTGACTTCTTTCTTTGGGGTTATCTCAAGGATAAAGGCTACACAGCGCACTCAACACAAGAGGCATTGATAATCTAAGGCCCAGGATTGTTGCAGCAGTAGAGGATCTTAGGCAGATAGGAGACAGAGAGACACCATCACGGATGCAGTATGTGCAGTTAGATGAGGAATGTGGGTCATGTTGATGGACACTGGCATTAAAACAATTTTGAATGGTCATTGGGTTTGAAAAGGGGTGTTAAATATGATACTAGTATGTGTAACTTTAATTGGAATAAATGAGTAAAAGAATAATATCCTGATGTTTGTTGTTACTTATCACTATGTTATGATAGTGAATTGACTTGGCTGAAAGTGGCACAAACCCATTTCTGATATGGTCACTTAAATCCCTCGTTGCTCTATCATCTGTGGGGGAAATAGAACATTTTAGTACCATATGAAAGAGGCCATAATGATGCAAATGGCAGTACCTGCAAATTGACCCAAACATTATTCATCTTTGAGAAATTAGCAATTTAATCTCGGTTTCTCTTTTTGAGACACCCTGTATAACACCTCAAGACCTAGCCCTGGTATACCAGCACTTGGTGCATAATTAACAAAATGCCAGCACCAGCAGTCCTACTACTTTTGGAAGACCATGTATTCTATCATATATGTTTTAGGAATACAGATAAAAGTTTTGGTGTCTGTACATCCATAATCACAGTGATAATATTGAACCACACAAAGTCCAAGAAGTACAGACTGCTCCAGAACATAAACTCAGTTCGGTTGTGGCTCTCTGGATGTTGTAGTAAGGTATAATTGAATACTTTAGATATACTTTAATGAAACTTTTATCACAGAAACAAATAGTCATTCATAATTTTTGTAATTCACAAATACTGGTTAACCAGGCAATGCGCTTATTTTAGAAGGAAAAAAGGACAAAATATTATTTGAGGCATGTCACTCACACAGTCAATCAAATATGATAAAAACTTTAATTTGGGTCAATACTGAAGTGAGAAAAAAATTACTCGCCTGGAAAACAGCATTTGAAGTTCAGAGATCAAAAGAAGTGAATTACCACTTTTCACAAAGTGTATGTTTTTAAATAACTCTTGGACTAAAAGATGGCGTATGGTTGAAAATGAATGGACAATTAATGCAAACAACAATGCCATCTTTCTATGGCATTGCTAAAAACTTGACATCTATAAATTGATAGATCAAAAATATTTTTTCATGATCTAGTGTCAACTCTGATGTGGTCTGTTTGAGCTGTTTTTGGTGTCAAATGAAAGATCAGGTACTTATTTATCTATTGGAAATACTATGGAGATCAAAAGTGAGACTTCATTTACGCACTTTGTCCTTTTAAGTTAGACCGACTACATTTTTTAAATCATCTACAAATTATCATAAGTTCAAATCTGACGTTAGATTTTTTCATTTAACACTCAATGACCAATTTTTTCAAAAAGCATCTACAAGTTTGAGATTTAACATTCAATGACTTTTTCAGAGTTAAAAAATAGCTTCAGACAAAACAAATGTCGCTCAACTTTACATGGAACTTTTCCATTATATTACCATTCCTATAGTTTACAATCACTAATCAAAATCAATACAAAATAGACTCATGGATACTCATACTAGCACAACTTCTAAAGAAGACAAAGAACGAATATTATCTCCACTTTTACTAGAAAAGACAGCACTATTCGGATTCTGATATGTACTGTGGCGTTTGGCCTAGGGGTATCTATAGAGGATATAGATATAGTAAGCTTAGGCTAATCCACTGGGGTTGCCCCAGAAGCGTGCTGCAGTATTGGCAGGAGATCGGCAGATGTGCCCGAAGTATTCCAAATGGAAGAGCCATTCATTTTACAACCATGGTCGATAGAAATAATTTTTAAATAAAGATGGCATAGTAATCGATCTGTGTTTATTTATAAATAGAGAAAAAGACGATAATACTGGATTTTGTTGGTGCTGCTATATCCAGGGGCGGATCTGGGAACCAACAAGGGGGGGGGGTGTATAGAGGGTCTTGGAAATGCATATACAATATTTTTCAGCTCTCTTATACCATATACAATATTTTTTCACCCCTTTTATACCATATACAATATTTTTCACAGCTCTTATACCATATACGATATTTTACAAAAGTTCAGGTGAAATACAATATACGATAATTTTGAAACTGCTGTTGATTAAAGTTTGGATATTTATAAGGAAATAATATTAGGAGAGAATCCATGTACTAAAGTAAATGTATTATTATAAGGCAAATAGACTCCACATACATACCACAATGATTTCATTTATTACATTATGAATAAGGCACCATTCGGGTACATCCGCATTCCGCATGTTCAGAAAAGCTGTGACCACATTTTAATTTCAGCAAGTTGATTTAAAACACATTTATGGTATAAGATTCATGACTTCTCTTTAGTGATTTCACAACCTACTTTGACCAAAAAACTAACTTAACATTTCTGCAATTTGCTACAGCCATTACCTGTAAAAGTACCATAAAGATATTCAAAATAAGCATAAAACCTGCATCATTTGAGTGTTCCTCTTTCTTATGACTTACTTTCCCATGACTTATTTTAATGTCAAGAGAATTCATCATAGTGAGCCAGGGAAAAAATTCCTTGAAACATAATTGATCAAAATTGAGAATGTGGAATAAAAGATTCATCATGTGTTCTATGAAAATAAAGTTTGCTGAGTAAAATATGTATCAGATAGATAATGAAGATTCACAATGCACAATAATTTTGTAAAGCAGTTACCTGGAAAATATTAAGTATTGAAAACAGTTTCAGAAATAAAGGACTTCAACTTCCATGTAGATGATCTGAAGAAATGAACGGAGGGGCGAGTAGCTGATTTATATGTTAGGTCTTCTTGGATTTCTTTTGAACTGATGGAGTTCTAAGATTAAAGATCTATTAAAAAAGGTGCAGCGTAGCCAACGTGCAAATGCCAATGTTTTTGCTATAAATCAAGCAACAATGGTCTGCACGACCTGTAATAAATATATATAAGCGACACTTTTATCACAAAATTAATTTCATTGCCGGTTTTTTAGAATAATTTTCCAAATGATAGATAAAAAATAATCAAAAATAATTAAAAATGAACGGAGGGGGGAGTGAACGGAGGGGGGAGTAATATGTCTTTAAGGTGGAAGAAATCTCCAAGAAATTCGAGTACTTGAAAAATGAACTCAGTAACTCAGTAACAGCTTGATGTTACAACTCTGAAAAGTGAAAAATGGGGACATATGGAGTTATTGGAAATAAAGTCAAGTTATATCTCTTTTTATATGTCTTATAGACACATTACTCCCCCCTCCGTTCAATTTTAATAATTTTCGATTACTTTTTATATAACGTATGGTAACATTTTTTTGCAAAACCAACGATGACAATAGTTTTGTGATAATTACTTCACTTACAAGTATTTATTACAGGTCGTGTAGACCCCTGTTGCTTGATAGCAAAACATTGGCATTTGCAAGTTGGCGACGCTGCACTTTTTTAATAGATCTTTTATCTTAGAATTCCACAGTTCAAAAAAAATCCAAGAAGACCTAACATATTTCCCTGTTCACTGCGCCTATTCATTTAGCCATTCAATTGTAAACCTTCTCTTGAAAAAATAAATTTTCAAATTTGTTGAATTTTCTACCGAAAATCAGCTACTCCCCCTCCGTTCATTTCTTCTGATCACCGGGCGGATTCTTATTCGAGACCGTATTTAACACCTCCTGTGAAAATTTGAATGAAAAGGCCACAAAACTCTTAGTTTGAGAATGATTTTCTCTAAACATACAGTATTGATTGACCTGGAATGTGGAACCAATTAGAGAGACTACTTTTCCATGTTTTTCCAACCAGTTACAGTAAGAGAGTTGGCACAATTGGGAACTTTAGGGTACAATTTCTTCATAATTAGCCTTATTAATTCTAGATACCATATACCATATATTTCTATTATACCATATACCATATTTTCTACACCTCTTATACCATATACGATAAATTTTGCCCCCTCTTATACAATATACAATAAATTTTCAGCCCTCTTATACGATATACAATATCTCTATACACCCCCCCCCCCACAAGGGGGGGGGGCAAATTTCAGGTCAGAGAAAAAAACTTAAACTTTGGGCCCCTAAAACCCAAAAGTGGGCCAAAATTTGAGGCCCATTTTCTTCAAAATTTGGCCTGAATCTGGGCGGGCCCCCAGCCCCCCCCCCGCCCAGATCCGCCCAGTGATATCGGCCTAGAACCTTTGAGTATATCACTGATATTTTGGGAGATATTGTATTTGAGATCATAAGGAATAGATTGGTAGACCAATAGTACACGTTTCTTGCAATTTTGTCATCCGTTACAAGATCTGATTCTGACAAGGACATTTTGAAATTCGCGCCATTTTTACAGGTGCTTGTATGTCGTAAACTTTGTTTTTGCCGTAAATTAGTAAGATGTCCGGTCACGGTCACAGTTGTGGACAAGATCATCATAAACATGACCATGACGATGCAGAGCGAGGACAACAGTACAGTTTGTATTTGAAGATAGATACAGAGAAGGTTCAGTGTCTAAATGAAGTCGTTGACGGATCTGGGAAAGATGTATTCAAGCCATGGGACCGTCGTTTAGATTCAGAAAAAGTAAATATCACATATTATCGCCCAAATTTTTCTTTTCCATTCTTTATCTATGTCTATGTCAATAATCTGTAAATATAAACCATATATATTATTAAACAGTGAATGGGAACAGTTGAAACAAACACGGCACAGTGAATTATTCAGGTGAAGGTTGCTAAAAATCCCATTCAAGACTTACTTAGGTCCAAAGCCCTCTATAATTGCATCCTACGACCCCTTTAGATTGTGGTCGTACGCGCGTATAATTGGTCAGTCAATGTTTTTACAAAGTTGGAGAAAATACTACGCATTGCACACCTAAATGACCTACCTCGATACATTCCTTAGTATTTTAGAATTATTTTTATGTAGTTGAATCGCCAATTGTATGGGTTTATCGGCAAAACGAAGAGGTTTTCGTTTTTGATAGCAATATTTGCGTGTAATATTTAACTTATTTCAACCGTCAAATTCCTCCATTCAGTTCCCGGCATGCACCAGTCATAAGGGAAATCCCTGGGGAATTCCCCTTCCGACATTTTGAAAATTGCTGATATATTTCCGATGTAAAAACTAAAATCTCTTCGTTCTGCCGATAAACCCATACAATTGGCGATCTAACAACATAAAAAGAATTCTAAAATACTAAGGAATGTATCGAGGTAGGTCATTTAGGTGTGCAATGTGTAGTATTTTCTCCAACTTTGTAAAAACATTGACTGACCAATTATACGCGCGTACGACCACAATCTAAAGGGGTCGTAGGACGCGATAAGCCCTCTATATTCCAGCTTTGAGTGATTGTTACAGCTGACTTTAGACTATATCCTCTAGTCTGAAATTTTTTTGAAATTTGGAATGATATTCAGTCTATTAAATATAGACTACAGCTGACTTGGTTATTCAGTATTTCTAAATCATGATGACACACGCACATTTGTTACGGTATTATTATATGAAACATACATTTATGCATACATTTGCAGAATATCAGCTCATATCCCCGTCTTAATCGATTGTTTTATGTATTTTAATTTAGCCAAGTGGAATTTCATTTCAAAATGGCCTCCATTTTTCTGCTGAGTGAGCTGGATAAATGTTGGATCCTTGAGTTTGAGGTTCTTTCCGAAAAGAAATTTTGAAACATCTTAATCCAGAGAAGCAACGCTTCAACCTCAACATAATTAATATTCTTATAAATATTTATAAAAATTATTAAATAGGAGTTCTAGGTGCGTGTGACTCTTTTTCTAGATTACGAAAATCAATGAAGTTACATCTAGCTGTAAGGTAGAGACTCAAATAATTCAGGACAATCATGAGACGTACATTTCATCTCATAATTTGTTCATCTCTAGCTGTCTTGCTTGAAAACTAAAAAGTTTACGTTTGAAGAGAGTGTTGACAAATTAATCCATTTACCATGATTTTTGAAGGTGGGGTGATGTTTTAGAAGACATGCAAGTAAAAATGCAAAATCAGATATAGGCATCAGATTATGAGGTTAAAAATGGTCTGATTTTTGCAGTGTTTTTCTCTTATGCTTTTCAGTTTGTGGAAAGTGATGCTGATGAAGAGTTGCTGTTTAATATTCCGTGAGTATCTATAAGGGGTTAGCGTTACAGAGCATACCCTTCACTGGCGGATCTGGGTGGGGGTACAGGGGCCCGGGCCTGGGCCCAGAAAAAATAAATTGGGCCCAAAAAATGTTGAGCCAAAAAAGGCCTTGAGTCCCCAAAAAGTGGGCCTTTTTGGTCATAAATGGGCCTTCTTAGCCCTTATTTTTTAATTTTAGTCCAAATTTTGAAGAAAGTGGGCCTCAAAATTTCAAAATATGGGTTTTAGGGGCCCAAATTGTTTTTCTCAGACCAGAAGTTTGGGCCCCCCTTGTTGGTTCCCAGATCGGCCCCTGCCCTTATGAAATATTGAACAAATATTCAGGCCTGTCAACTTGGGAACACCTAACATGAGTGACTTGGAAATGTTGAACACCTCCCCTCAAAATGTGGACACCTTGGTCCAAATCTGAACACCTTTATCCAAATTTTGATTGGTTTCCATATTATTACATCTTGCCAAATTTTGAACGTTTCAAACATCCATCAACGGGGGGGGGGGGGGGGGGGGGGGGGGTAGTATGTATCCAACAGACCGAATATAATATTCGGTCTGTTATGATTGATATATTTCCTGTGGAAATCTCGGTGATATTTTTTGCACATAAATTTCTCGTTTATTACAAGAATGTTCACCTTGAAAATTGGTGAATATGTTGAAGAGATGTTCATCTTAAACTAGAAGCAAAAATATTTGTATAAGGCGGGTACAAGTTGATATAAAATAATGAAATGTTCAGACTCACCAAAACTTCAGGATGTGTTTATAAGTACATCGCGAAATCAATGTCAAGGACGTTTGAGTTCACGAGATCCAAACGAGATATGCAAATTTTGAACTTTGACAACACATGACCACTTGATTACCTCGGCCTTCTTCATGAATATTTCCGCTCTATTTACTATAAATGAAGAAAATTAATCGGGATAATGATAATAAATGACTAGATCTAATAAATTCCCGCACAAATGGAATTTATCAACACGCTTCCGTCCGCTCCACGTGTTATTTGTTTACAAATAGACTGACGTCACTGGCTAAATCTCGTTTATCGTGAGAATTGGCATTGCCAAAATGGCTTGACCTAATCAATGGCTTCGCTACAAGAAGCGTCTGTACATTTTATGAATATCTTCAGTAAGAGGACAATATACGAAAAAATAATATTGTAAGTACTTTATAAGGTAATCATTTTATCATTTAACAAACTTATTTGTAACATTTATACAACACCACATTTTACAATAGGTGACTTACAGTCTGAATATTTATTCAGACGAAGGATACAGTCTAGGGGGGGGGGTAGGTACGAAAATTTTCGAACGGAATGCGTGACATATACGTAATTCGCGTGAAAAGTCCGAACGAAATGCGTACATTTTTTTCCGGCGTTCGTATTTTTGCTGTGCAGACGATCTTTTTTAGAAATTTTTCTACAGAAATATTTTTGCTTGACAATTACCAGGTAAAATGCGTATTTGCGTGACATTTTCTGTCACGCAAAAATAACTGGCGTGACTTCAAATTCTTCAGCAAATGCGTGACAAATACGCAAATTGCGGGACAGTTGACAGGCCTGAATATTTCACTCTATTGAGGTGAATACCTGTACATCTTTCACAAGTGATATTCCACGAAGCCCGAAGGGCAAGTGGAATATCACCTTGTGAAAGTGCTACAGGTATTCACCTCAATAGAGTGAAATATTTGTTTTATTATATCACTGTCTAGCTAAACATCCCTAATATTATTAAGTCATAGGTTAACATTGAAATACATTGAATCTACTCGGTTCGTCTGCCATTTTGACTTACACTGAACTAAATTATTTACACTGAACGAAAACAAATTCTTTGAAAATTCCCGGGAGCGTGGGATATCGCTAGATATCTCACGGTTGTCTTATCTGATTAGCATTGCCATTGAATATCGCCAGATATCCCACGACATGTGACCCGATTTTGACCAATCATACTGTCGCTAGCTAGATAGTGATATAATAATAGGTTATATCACACCAAGTACAAAAGGGTTCTACAAGTATATCAAGGGATAGAGAGGGGGTTAGAGTCTGCAAAGGTTAAAGAGCATGTCCATATTAGGTTGCAGGGCTCTCACCAGGAAATATTTAGGGTGTAGTGGAAACATTCTCGGCATAACTGTTCAGTTGTGATAAATCATATTTATCACTGGTGATCCGCTCGATTATGCTGGTTACCAGAATGACTTATTTTGGTAACAAAATGTCAGAACGTCCAAGGTATTCACGTGTTGTAGGCAGAATTCCCACAACATTTTTATCACAAACGGGTATCAGTATCATATGTTTAAGAAAATGTATATGTTTGCGAACAAATAGTTCAGAAGACAACAGAATCGTTGATTTAATTCCTCACTTAGATACGTAAAAGGAACTTCAAAAAACAGTTAAGAACTGCACTTTTAACCCGATCTGTTCACATAACTTGTGAGTGAGGTATTAAATCAATGATTCTGTTGTCTTCTGAGCTATTTGTTCGCATGCCAAGGTAGTTAAATTCACTAAAAACCCAAAATATTGAAACTGATACTAGCCGTTGTGAGAATAACATACCGGATTTTCTCGCATATACGCCCCCCTAAATGTAGGCCCATGGGCCAAAAATCGAATGTAGAACGCTTATACGCCCATGGGCCTATAAAAAATGACTATTTATTGATTTTTTGAATAAATTCAAGGGTATTTTGTCACTGGCAGATCGTTCTGTCGTTACTTTGTTTCAACATTAAGTTCAACGCTGTGCCGTAAGTGGCAGTGGTGGATCGTTCTGTTACTTTGTTTCAACATTAAGTCCAAGGTTGTAGGTGACATTTCCTTTATAATTCTTACAAAACATGCGGTAGGACTACAACCGAGTAGGTACGGTAGTCTTTGAGGAAGATGGCTGATGCCTTCCTTTACGCCCACTGGGCCAAAAATCGAAAGTAGTACACTTATACGCCCATGGGCGAAAAATAAGAGGTAAAATAACAGACGAAATTACCCCTTCTTTCAGTTATACGTCCAGGGCTTATATGCGAGAAAATCCGGTACTATATGCTCCCTACATGTATTAGTGTTGTAAACCCGGGATACCTTTTGATACAGTGTACTTCAGTCAAAATGAGATACGGATTACTTGTTCTTCCTCAATCATTAAAATCTGCATGTGTGTACACATCTTTGGAAATACATATGTATATTACATGATATAAACAGATATTTACCTCTTATGTGTGTTGATTATAGCCATCTACCATTTTTAGAGGAAAAGGTTAGCGCTATTAGCTTCTCTAATACTGACAAGTGCAGTGTGGCTTTCTGATGGTGATTTGTGTTAGAATTTAAGGATAACAAGCCCATCCCATCTCCTACCCACATATAAAACTATCAAATTATATGCCATTGGTTTCTGTTATAGGTTCACTGGCAACATAAAGCTGAAGGGAATCATAGTAATTGGAGGGGAAGGTGATCAGCATCCTGCTGAAATGAAACTGTGAGTAGATATACTAGAACAAGGCAAAGGGTGAACAGAATTGTAACTAAAATAAATCAGTATGGGCAAAAACTAGTCAAAGAGAATAATTGTTGATGTGGAGAGATAGAATTGGAGAACATGAATGCATGAAGAAGTCTCAGGGTTTTAGTCTGAGGAAAATAGGGGGAAGTGAGGCAAACTTCACTGACAATAACAACTCAGGCCCTTAGCCAGTATTTGCCAAGGGGGGGGGGGGGGGGGTCAGTTTTCAAAAGTTTCCAGGGGGGTTCACATTTGACAATTTTGGCCCAAATATGGCTAAAATCACTTGAGAAGTGCTCAAAATGGTGAAAAACTGCATGATTTTGAAAGACTTATTGGCCGGAGGGGGGGGGGGATTCGTCTGAACCCTGCGAACCCCCCTGGCTACGGGCCTGGGTATTAACAATTATCTAAGTATATTGAACTTAGGACAGTTTTACTTTTTACTTTCATTTCGCCATTGTTTAATTGTAGATATTTTTTGTCAATCAAAAAAGGGCAATTTTAAAATATGCATGAAGCTTTTAAAGAATTAGGAAGATGTTAAAAGTTAATAAAGTAATGTAGATATCTCTTTTCCAATATTTAAAATTTATATTCAGTTTGCATATCAAAATGACTTATTTTGATTTAGGAATGTTTATAAAGGAACAAAATGACAAATTTTTGATATGTTTCACAAACTAAAGTCATATGGATTATAGGACCATTTTATTTGAAATGTTCTCTCAGATTCAAGAATCGTCCCCACATGACATTCGATGATGCAGCTGCAGAAGCAGACCAAGTCTTTGAGATGCATGAAGACCGACTTGGACAACTAGAGTATGAAACGAAGTGAGCGTTTCCTTTAGGCATATGTTTTTCAATAAATTCTACACAGTAGTAATCACTTATTTAGTTAGATGCTCTTTTACCTATTTGATATTTGTAGTTTATTTTATAGGAACGTTTTACACTCCAAACCCTCATTTTTATTTACTTCCAAAAAGTTACCATATCTGCAGGAAATAAGGTTGAAACATTAAAATTATAATAAGGGAGCCTCCCTGACAGAGCTCCTAGCACTGCCCCAGGCTCACTTGCTGCCATTCCAACCCCCAATTTGAAAAATGTCAGGAAGGTTGGTGTAGCAGTTAACAAAATGAATTCCATGGAGAATATGAATTAAGAACATTGGGAATTAGAATTTATAAAACTTGATGCATTATAGATGTCACATCAGTATATATTGCACTTTCTTTAACTATCTTGCTATTGATTAAAGTCAACAATTTATACACAAAGATGTCACACTAGTGTATTTCCTCCACCATCAAATGAAAGGAAGTGACATATATTTCATGTTACAAAGCTTAATTTAAAAAGTTAGTTTTAATGAGCTTGTATTCTTTTATGTATTTCAGAATCTCCAGATTCTCCAGTGTGGAGCATCTCACAATTTATTTTACAAAGAACTTTGGTGATGATATCACAAAGGTTTATTACATAGGGCTCAAAGGAGAATTTTCTGAAGTAAGCATATTTTATAGTTTTACTGTTTATCTGACCATTTTTGCATTCTGCAAATTAATTTAAAGGGAAGCAGAGAAAAACCATTAATGGAAACTTACTCTAAGTAAAATCTCTCTAATTTTATGATAGTAGGACATTTAAACAATTGAAGTGTTTCTTTTTACTCTAAAAGTTAAATCGTTTACTTTGAAAGTCAAAAGGTTCAGAATACAACTTGTCAAATGTCATAATCAAGAATTCTTTTCATTTTTCACATTTCATATTATATCAAACTGTATACTATTATGAAAAAATATATGATTAAAGGGCCATCCTCATCAGATGAGTTAAAGGACCTGTAATTAAGGATGGGTTTTCCTCTATACTTTCCACACAAGCAAAGTTGAAGAGTTTTGAATCTTGCATTTTGGTATTGAGGCTTAATATTTAACAAAATTGTTATCTTATTTTCCAGGTTTTTGTTTTGTCACCACCAGAAGTGGTGACATATTGTTATAGTCTCAAACTTTTTTTGTGGATGGTGTTTGGCACTCTGTGTCTGTAACAAATGATTGGTGGTGACATTTTGCATGTTAATGCGTTCTTCAAATCTAAAATCTGTCAGGTTTTCATTTCATTTATTTTTCTTATTCATTTCAGTTTAAAAAGCATGGAGTTACTATCTGTACATATGAGGCAAGAGCAATGCCTTCTGATCATAAGGCTAATGCCTTTGACTCTGTTGGACATGAAATAAACTGAGGGGCAACTTAGTCACATCCTATACTATCATGACGCACCCAAAACAACAGTTTGATAAATTTCTTGGGATTGGTTATGCCGCTGTCTATACCAATATCCCAATAACAGGAAACACAATCCATTTCTTGAAACATGATAGACATTTCAGACTCAAATTATGTGCAATTTCCTGTAAGTCTCATATATAACATGCATACTGTGGTCACATTTTTAACAACGAGTGCCCTCCAGTACCAAAGTTACAATGGTAAGCTATACTGTTACCATAGCAAGTTGGGTACTGGTAGGCACACATTGTTAAAAATGTGATTAAAAATATATGATTTGTATTTCACATGTCATAACATTTGTTATAAAAAACTTTATTTACACGTAGTCTCAAACATTTTATGTAACGTTTATACTGTCCATAGTGCTGAGTTTATAAATAAGCATTGGTTTTTCAAAATAGCGTTCCTTCCGAAACATATTCACCTATAGACACAAACGACTCTCATCTCAAGGATAGAATGTACAAATGAAGCGAAAGTTGCAAATATAGGCAGATACTATATAGTAGGCAAAATAATCTCTAAAATCTCCATGTAATTTTATCTGTTAATTTTTCACGCTTCCACCATTTGCTTTTGGAACTTTTTTTGGTCCATGAATTTGTGGAATGAAAAAAGGACTAGAAAAAATATTGCCCATGTATGGATGCATGATTGTAAGTTTAAACCAATCAGATTATTAGATATTTCACACACATTTTTTATTCACGCCTAAGTACTTATCATAAAAATCGAACCATAATTGACGGACAATGCCCCCCTCCTTTGGTTAATCCAAATGTGAACTCAAATTCGTGATCAATGTGTCATGCATACTCTGGTATGAAGCTGCACACAAGAAAATACAGGTGAATATATTTCATGGGAGATCTCCGTAGACATTTTGAAATTCAGTGGCCAGCTTGAAAAAGCTCCTGTGTCCCTAGGCATCAGCATATAAGATTTGAATCAAATCCGCCAACTGGGACTGAGTTATTAAAGATAAAAAATTTTGGCCATTTTGAATTCAGCAGCCATATTGAAAATAACTTCTTGATCAGAGATCCTACATCAATAAGGCATCAGTCTACAAAACTTGAACTAAATCCTTCTAATGGTATTTGAGTTATTGATCAGACAAATGAACACAAATGGATGGACAGTCACCTCAAAACCATTCATATAATATCAACCAATTCAATACATAATATTTTAAATAACATACATCACAAACATACGATTTGTATTGTATTTATATTTCAGACCTTATATTGTAAATAATACATACCACAAAGTTAAAAGACACTACAATACCTTATTAATATTTGAATGTAATAAGTGCAATATTTGTTCACGGTCTCAATAAAATCTTAATGTTTACCGTTTTTGAGATATATGATGTCAAAAAATGGTAAAGATAAGTCATTTGTCAACTTGCTTTAATGGTCCTTTTTCCATGATAAAGCTTTGAAATCTTGTTAAAGTCTCATTTTTAATGAGATTTTAGGAGATCTGCCTTTTTAACCATAAGACTAAAATTTTCTTCTATTTGACGGTATATTTGAATTCTCTGTGTATTTTTCTATCAAAACAACTTTGATTTGCACTGTTATTTACCTTTATTCAAATTCTAATGACTTTTTAGCTGTCTAAAAAAGGTATACATTTACATGTGTTCTAGCCCTACCAATACCCATGATGCCATCTATTATATATCTATATGGAAAAAGGTCAATTGACCAAACTATTTTTTTTAAATCTAAAAAGTTTCAGGAGTTCCAATATTACCTTAAATTTTAGATTTGACCTTTAACTGACCTTCAAATTGTCAAACGTGCCTACGAGAGCCTCCATTTCTAGTTATATCCTGAATATGATAAGATATTTAAATAAGACACTGCAACATTTAAGACCTGTTAATATATGACATCAATATGGAACCCTTCATATCACATCAAAGGTTCTAATCAAATGACCAGTTATAATTTAATTTTTAAGTACCAAATGAAAAAATATCGCCACTATGTATATTAATGAGAGGCAAGGCAACGATTGACAGACAAGTCTAATGTTGTGCAAAATTTGCACTCACAAGTTGGAGAAATCGAGCAAGAGCAGGTGCTAGGACAAAGCCCATGCTGGGACAGACCAAATTTATGTTAACAAGACAATCATGCCATCTATTGTGATTGGTAGAAAGTCCTCAACTCTTCAGATTTGGGTTTCAATATACATTTATCTGCTAGATTCACTACCCAGCCTGGCTCGAGTCCATAAAAAATTTGGCGATTATGTTTCTTCATCTGCATCAGTTCAGTCTCATATGTGTCTTTAGAGGGGAGTTTGTACCCCGTATAATTAGCAAGCCATTGTCTGTGAGTCTCCACTTCCTCTGGATCTGCCAGGTAGCCCCTATATGACGCACAGGTGTAGTACTCCAGGGCGTCATTAGGGGGATATCGACACCTAGGAATTGGAGTCCCCATCTTGAAGTAATTCAAAGGGTTAACGAGTGCATGTAAACATGGCAGGTCAAAGAATCGCGTTGTAATTTTGCCACCATTTCGTTCTATAGCTGCTATTGCTGTTACATCTGCCCACTGTACTTCTATGTGGACCTTAGCTTTGAAGCATTCTGCACCCTGGAAGTAGATAGATGACATCTATCACCTATCTATTGTACAATATTTGCCATTCATTTTTAACATACACATGCTTAACAAGGACACCTACTGTAACTGTATCCTCAAAATTTCACGGAGGCAAACTTTTAGTGTTTTCTGTTATTGATTTTTTATGAAAAAACAGGCAATTAACAAAACTGATTCCAAGTTCCATTTAGAGCAGTCATTTTGAGAATATCCCTTCCACAATTGAGCATAGACTGAAAAAACAATTATTGATAAAAGATGTATTATCTTACCTCATCCGTCAAATGAACTCCAAAATGTCGCTTGAAGGGATCTACAGTCATGATGTGTTGGTTACAGATGACAGGGAGATCTATTGGTTGAGAGGTATCTATACGTCCTAGGTCTATCAGCCTCTGTAACTGTATCAAAGATAAAGGGGGGTACTGTCTCTTCAAGCTGAAATATACAAGTGATCCTTAATCAAAACTGTACATTACATATATACTAACAAACTACTTGATCGAGTGGAACAGAGTATCAAAACTTTTTTAATAAAACACCAAGTACATAGATAATGACCTTGAGACGACCTTGACCAATAAATGTGACTTTGACCTCATGTCACCTAATAATTGGTAGCCAAGGGTCACAGCAGCCCCACAGGGCCTTAAACAATGATTGACATTTGACCTTGAGATACATTGACGCAAAAAGTTGACCATGACCTCAGGTCACCTAATCATGGGTCATCAAGCTACAAAAAGCCTTAAAACCTAGATATTGATCCATAAAAGTTGACATTGACATCAAATGCCTTAACATACCTAGATATTGATTTCAGGTTAATTCATCATATATCGTCAAGGGTCACAGCACTCCCCTAGGGTCTTAAAATGCCATATACCAAGATATTGACCTTTGACATTGACCTCAGGTCACCTTATCATGAGTCGATATTTGCCTAAGGGTCACAGCAGCCCAAAATACTTTCAGGGATGATTTCAAATTTTCATTAATTTTTGTTAAGGTTATGATTTGGGATTTTCCACCCTAAAATCTTCTCAGTAAATTCTTGTCTACATGCTTCCTGGCAAACCTTCTCCCACTTTTTGATTTTAAGAATAGCATTCAATGATCATTTGAGGTTTTCATGATTAGTTTCTCAAAAGACAATTGCTCCCACTCGCACAGTTTATTCTGCTAATGAGGAAAATCCTTTTTCTATTAAGGTCAAAAATCTATACACTACGGATATGCATGTAAAAAGAAAACTATCAAAGGAAAAATTTTGAGGCATGCATCTGCTAGGAGAGAACTTTGGGTGGGTATTTTGTATTTCATAATCTAGTGTCTTGGAAAATACTCAGCAATATCATATACATGTATATTATATGAAACTAGTAACAGAATTCAGGCTGTAAACCCAATGGCAGAAATTGCAAGGAGAGAGTGAAATTGAGTTATATTCAGAATTGTCTTGGTGACCACAACCGGACATATGTACCTGATTTGAACACGATAAAACTTTTGAGTTTCTGTCCACCAAAAATCTTTGAAATAATAAATTAACATAAAATTAAAATTAGAATATTGGCTATCTTGTTCCACAACAGGATATTTCTAAATCTACATTAACATTTAATTTTGGAAATGGTCTCCTTCATTTAAAAAGGTTTTACTGAACTTGTAATACATGATTCATACTTACTGGTTATCTTTGTTGTAATGTTTCTCAAGGGGAACTCTAAGATATAAGGGAGTTTGTCCACCTTCAAAGCCTAGACGTGGCAGACCACTGACTCTACCCCCTTGTCCTTTATCACCCATACCACGCTTTCTCCCACCAGAGTTTCGACCTCTCCTATTCTTACGCTACAAAAATATAAGCACCAATGTTCAGCAAATGTTAACTAGAAATCAGCAACTCTGAGTAGCAAATCCCAACCAACAATATATTCATTGAATATGTATACTAGTACATCAAAATGTAGTATTTACCATCTATTCTACCCTTAATTTGCAGGTAGACATTTGAGATGTATCAGAATTTTCTACCAATTTAAGCATTTGGGTGACCATTTTGGAGTTTCAAAAGCTCAAATCACATTATTTGAGATCTAATAATAAATGCAGTGTAATACAAACAACCATACTTTGAAGAGATCTCACTTAAGGCAGCTATTATGAATTATCTGAAGCAATGAGGCATAAACTAAAAAATCGATACTCTAAAACTCCTTCAATTTGTGACACATGTTGTGTGACATAGACAATTTGATGCAATTCTTTGCATTGTCCTGGAATCTCTTGAAGTTCAGTTGAACACTGTGAACCATCTGAAAAAAGCTGGCCGTTGTGTCATAAATTTAGTAAATATTTTAAAAATCGCCAGATAAATATATCATGAATCAAAATGGAACTGGCTGGGCTCCTTGATGAGATATTGCATGATTTTGTCTAAAATTAAATAAACGGCTCCAAGAAAAATGGCGATATTCGAAAACTGGACGAAATGTTGTTATTGTCTGACATTATTAACAGGCTGTAAATTCTAAGTTAGCGATCCAGAAGATGTGAACTAATAGATTGATCACTTCATGTATGTTTTGGAATTTTTGGTGAGGTAATAAGACCAAAACTCCCAATTCAAATTGTGATGTGGAAAAAAGGCGAACATTTGATTTCAAATTTTATGATTAGGAAGAACCCGTATACAGCAGTAAAAAACATGCAGGGATTTATCTTTGAACGAAGGCCGTAGTGGCCTTAGAAGAAGGGAACGGGGAATAAGTCTTTTATCTTTTGATTAACTGTTTTCTTATGTTGCATCAAACCTTACGTAGTGTGCCCATACAGCCGGCTTTTGAGCCAAATGTGTTCAGTAAAATTGTGGGGCACTTGATAGTATGTATCCAACAGACTGACTAGAAGTCAGTCTGTTATGATGTACTACTTTCCTGTGGAAATTGCAGTGAAATGTTTTGCACAAAATTATCAATTGGAGGAACCATTTCTTCAATAAAATAAACATTAAAAAATTTCAATTAAATAGTAAGGTACAATTAAATGCAATAAAAAGTAACACAGCATATTGTCAAGTGGAAATAAAGGTAGATGAAGTAACAAATGTGCAAATTAATTTTACCCAATCGGCCATTTTGAATAGCACTTCCTATGTAAACAAATATTTAGTATTACCAAACTTTAACATAGGTGCCTTATAGCAGTGCTTTCAGTAGGCTTGATCAAAAGTGCTTCCCTGGGACGAATTGATTTTCAAAAATTGCGTCCCCCCTCAAAAAAGTGCGTCCCCATAAAAAAGGTTCCCGGGAATTCAAAGTCACATTTTTGCACTGAACGAAAAAGATTGATGAAAAGTTTGCATCAGTTTTGTTATTTTTTGGCCCAGATCAGTGTTCTACACAAGTCTAGTAGGTCATTAAATGATGCAAATACCTTCATTTGAAAGAGATTAGTAATATTCAACCATTAATACCATTTTTCTTCGCGTATTTCAAAGCAATTTGCCATTGATTTTGATCGCTCCGAAAGCTTCACTAAGAGCAATCTCCGTGAGGTTCCATTATTTGGTTTATTTTTTGCGCATGCGCAACAAATCCAGCAATTTGATTGGTTAAAATTATTAAGACGGCAAAGACGCATGCGCGATTAATAATCTCGGCCAATCATAGGACTCGTACCGATTACCGCTCGGAAATCAACTACAAGTGATTGTCCTATCACATACCTCATACTATATTGATCGGAAATCAACTTCCGGGAAAGAAACTCCAAAAGAAAATTTTATTTCTTTTAGAAATAGAATATCCTTCGTTTATTTAGCAGATTTTGACCAAATAAAAGACTGGAGGTAAGATCTTTATCAATACATTCATCCAGAGTTGATTTTTTGATATGACCTGCACTGCGTCCAAGTGACCCCTCATTTTCATTGTTTGGGGTCCCTATATTAAAAACCGGGTCCTCTCCATTATGGGACGGCGTTAATGAAAGCACAGCTTATAGTCTGAATATAATTCAGACTAAATAGGATATAGTCTAGGGCACTTGACAGGTTTGACATTACAGAAAAGAAAGATACCCAAACTTCTCAAAATAATCAGATCACTTGTATGACAATGGCCATGCTAAGATTTGAAAGTATCAGAAGACCTACAGTACTGGTATATATTAATTGATCAGTCGTTTAATTGGCATATTTTCTTGAATTTTAACATTTGATATCCCAAACTCCCACAAACTGCAGAAAAGTATACACCATAAATCATATTTACCAAAATGAGTGTATCCAAGGCTTCACACCAGCGTATGCATAATGCATTTGTCACGAGTTTGAGCTGAAATTTTGCCAAAATGAAGTAGGCTAAGGGTAGTCTCTGCCAGGTTTGTTTATTGTGTTAAGCTTGTAAGTGCTCAGAAGCAAATAATTCATGTGCGCAAAATAATTAAATAATCTGATTGGTTCAAACTTTGCTGCACATGCGCGCAATGTGGGCCATGTTTTTTCTAGTGATTTCGTTTCGTCTCATGGAGTTTGCGTTTCAGTGAAACGTCCGCAAAAATGGGGGATCATGGACAGAATTAACAGGTAAAATCACTTCGAAATTTCAAGAGAACTTTTTACCTATTATAGCAAAACTTTTGTTTTATTTGTGCATTCTATCTATCAGATAAGAGTCTCAGGGGTATGTAGGCAAATTCATTTTGGTAGGAGCACTCTGTTTAGTTTCAAAACGCACCCTATATTATTATATATCAGCACTGTAGGTCCGTCATATGAATAAAATGATTTTTCAAGCGAAAAGGTGGGCGATAATATGTATAAATTGGCATTTACTTTGAGAATGATTAATGGAGAACAAAATCTAAATTATATGTTCAATACACTCATATAACACCTACTGTTTTTCCTGCTCCAGGCATGGGGGCGATGTTTGCTAAACATACGCGAGGCATATTCCTCAAAATACCAAGGGCCTTTTGAATGGAAGCCATGACCGGATGTCTTATACGCGCATGCGTAATAGGTATTGATGACATCAAAACTGGCGCCAATTTAAAAAGTTTTGAAAGTTTGAAACTTCCAATCCCGCTTCCAATGTCAAACAGTTTTGTAGTTCCTTTCAGTCATATTAATCAAATAAACTCCATAATTATGCTTAAACATAGCTGATTTCAAAATAATTAGAAGGGACACAAAGTATTTGTGTTAAATGCTTGACTATGTTCTAATATATAGGCATGACATGGAAAAATGAGAGCAAAATATTCATATTTGGTTCTCAGTAAACATTGTCTCTTATCAAGGAGGATTGGCAACCAGAATGCAACATCAATATTTTCCAACAAAGACAGCGTACGTCATTATTGTCTGACTTTTATCTGCCCTATAAATTCACAATCAGTGACTCATATGATTTGAACTAGTCTAATATATCTTGATCACTGACTTCTTGTGTCACGATTTGACTTTTTTTTGTTAAGTAATAAGATTAAAACTCGCGATTCAAGTTCTGAAGTGAGAAAGATTAAGAAATAGTGGATGTCTAAATTTTGAATTTTGTACACGACAATTTTTTTTTATATTTATTTATTTATTCATTTATATAATATAAACAGTACAATATAGTCCTGCGGCTGGGCTTAAAGCATTATTAGCCACATCTACACGACAATGATTCCAATATATGGCAGAATATCGGAAATGCATTCTTGGATCCAATCCTCCTTGATCTCTTATTTTGAAAAGGGATAATTTGGAGTATCCACAGATGAAGTCTTCTTTTCGAGACGTGAAATAAAATATTTGCAGTTGCATTTTAAGAATAATCTCGCCAATATCCGAGACATTAATCATTTCAACCTCGGACTGGAGAGATGAAGGTAACTTTAACCCTCAATATGTTCCCAATGGTTTTGCGATGATTTCAAATACACTCAAATATTATCAAAATGACATAATACCACTGTGCAAAAAGAACATGCTTCTAGAATTTTTTGAATGTATTTTTTTGGTATGAAAGTCAACCCTTAAACGGCTTGGGGGGGGGGGGGTGCCCAATTTTTGACTTTTTTTCGTAGTCTTTTGATCCGAAACTTTCTGGCTTTTCTTAAAACTAAATTAGGCATGTTTTAGAGAAATAAATGTGACTCTAACCCCCCTAGGAGGAAAGTTAGAGCTGGTCAAAGTTACTTAAATACCCAAATTGTCGGTAGTTTTGACTTGAAACGAACATCCCCTCTGTTCTTAGAAAATGAATTTCTTCATCAATATAATAGCTTGAAGTATAGTTATAAGTAAGCTCAAAATAATGAATGAAAATGAATTCCTTTCCAATGATACCTAATACAACCTACTCTAATTGTTCGTTCGCGAGATCATGGGGGGGGGGGCGTACCGTTGCTGTAATTTTCTAAAGCCCAACGGTTTAAGGGTTAAGAACTGCTAAGTACAGCGAAAGTACGGCCGTATAGCGACGGTAGCTTCCAAAAATCGAAAGAAATATGCAGCATAAAATACAAGGATACGCAGAACGATGAAAATTTTCTACATCGATTTTGGAAGCTACCGCCACCGTGGAACAAATCTGACTGAGCTTGTATTCGCAAATGGAACTTTCGGCGAGTGGCTACCGGGTTGGTTGCAATTTGACGGCAAACTCATTTAAATATAAATTGTACCTGTCGTGTATCCCGGTGGCTAATTCGCTGATTGGTTAATTTATGAGAATTAATCCGGTAGCCGAAAGTTGCACTCACGAATACAAGCTAACTTTGTATTTGCGTAGGCAACTCATTAATATATGAAAAGTACTTGCATTCATATTTAAATGAGTTGCTCAAATAAGAGTAGGTTAATCCGGTAGCTGACAGCCGAAATTGAATTCACGAATACAAGCTTAAGTAAAGAAGCATTAATAAGAGTGGAGAATTGTAGATGCTTTATGTAAAAACATTCAACGGATAAAACTTTAAAGACCTTGAAGTGGGTGACCTTAAAGTGTCACCCAGACTCCGGACCCAGACTCCGGGCCCAGACTCAAGGCTAAGCTTGTACTCGCGAATTCAGGTTTCGGCTAGCGGCCACCTGGTAAATTGCTATTTGGTGGCAAGCTCATTTAAATATGAATGGTATCTGCCGTGTATGCCGGTAGCTGATTCGCTAACTGACGGGTCAATTTATGAAAATTAACAGGTTAATTCTGTAGCCGACAGCCGAAAGTTGCATTCGCGAATACAAGCTTATGCAACTACGGCTGTCGGTTACCGGATTAACCTACTTTCTATGGGACTCATTTAAATATGAATGGAATAGTAGCACGTGTTTAAATGAGTTGGGCATAAAATAGGAGGTTAGACCGGTAGCCGACAGCCGAAAGTTGCATTCGCGAATACATGTACGCAGCTACTTACCCTTAAACAGTACATGTTGTTTAAATGAATGGTGTATATGGATCATACAAAAGTACATAATACTGGACAGACAAATGAAAAAACATCCATTCAAAGCTCAGTAAATTGGGATTCAGCAAAGTAGCTTAAATATTTCAGTACTTATTTCCCTTCTTACCCCACCCTCTTTTAAGGCCTCTCGACAGAGCAACACATATTTCCAAGACATGATATTTTCATACTACACAAAAATATAGACATCAGTTTTCACATTTCTGATTTTTTTACTCCGATTCTTAGAATAAAAATCACTTTAATTTGGGCACTCTCTGTTGCTTGTTTACCAATCTCCTTTCCTTTTTCGTCTGGAAATGTTAAAGGAATGTCACCGAATTTTAATAAAAGTGTAGGATTTCTCTACATTATAAGTTATCACATGTTTGAGCATTCTTGTAAAAACATGTCTAAACATGTGAAACACGAAATATATCCCTGAACCTTAACACACCGGAATAGCCTGACAGCGGTAAGTCAGATACCGTTGTCACAAATGGCGGACATAACCGTCGCTTCTACGTTTAATTTCATGTGTATTCTTTTGCAAAGACTTTCTAACTACGTTAAAAGATTCTCGAGCATTGCTCGATTATTTTCATGGTTAATCTACCCACATAATTGATTGGTTTGAAAATGTTGTTTTTTCATATTTCCTTTGATTATTTTCTTCCCTGTATTTTAAGAGTGTCGATTATTTTTATGTGAATATGTTTAGCTTAACTACAATTTAAGACGGGTGAAGATTAATAGATATTCAGTATTGGGTATAATTTAAAAAAAATCAGAAATGTACGTTATCAACTTTAATTAAGTGACTATATTTTAAGTTTCTAGCATTGCAGTGAATGGAGGATTGGCACAAGAAAATCAAAGACAAACAAGGGTGCCATCTATAATGTCAGCGTTATTCAGCTATTTAGAAACTATAAAATTCCCTCGATTAGGAAACCAGGAACATTTTTCTTTTTTCTGATGAAATGTACTTTCTTGGTTTCTTTGAGAAATCTTCCTCCCCAGAGGTTTTTACGTCATTTAAAAGTTTAAGTTGGAGTTAAAATTTGGCTGGAAACTTATCTCTGTTCTTATAAAAAATAATCGCCACTCTCAGACCACAGAGGAAAAAATGATCAATGGAAATGTGAATAAAACCAACATTCTCCAACCGGTCAGTTATATCTCGAGCGCTGATCGAGACTATGTTCAACATGAACTGTACGACGGTATATTTTGTCACTGTACGTTGTCGATGGTTAGGCGTGCCATTGTGTGATTGACAGCTTCTACTTTATCTCTTATATCCGCTCCACTCCACTCCACTCCACTACATTTTATTGCATAACACTGAACTGTGCTGCAATGTACTGCACTACAAAATACTACACTACACTACCCTACACTACATTACACAACAATATCCAAAATAACTTGATAATAAGTATTCTATCTTAAAATCAATATTGCCGAAGGAGACATAACCGAAATGGAGAAAAATGAGGTCTACGTCATCAATTCAGAAGAAGACCTGGTCTTGCCTCAGGGCATCGCAGGATATGAATCGTGACATTATAAGTAAGTTGATGTAACTCAAGTTGCATTAAAGAACATATTTACCAATTTCAGAACGGCCAAACACAAGAAGCATATATCGCTGGTAAAAAACAAACAGTATGTCTGGCTTGCTTTGTTCGTACTTGTTTTGCTTTCTCCAGGCTGTTGACTTTAGTTTGTTTAAGGAATGAGATATTTCCCGGTCAATAGAAATCTGAAATCTGAGGGATTACCTTTTCTACTTACATATGAGAATTTGACATCCTAATCTATTGTTTCGCTTAAACTTATCAAAAATCGAATTATATTGCTTTTTTAATACTAAGAAACAGTGTAGAGATTTCTCTATTGTTGTTTGAGTAAATCGAGTAGGTATTGTTTTCCTGGTTGTGTCAATTGTTGAAGTTTTTCTGAAGAATCTGATCGATAGTTTAGAGTTTTAGACAACATTGCGTTACCAATTAAGTATTGAATCGCACTAGGATATCTCAACTCAGTAAAACCCGCAAGCACTTTTAGACTTACCCATTCTGATTTTATCGATGCATGCATTTTTTCAGTTCAATGAAATACTAGTACCTTGATGCTGTTCTCCATTACACAATGCACTGCTTTAATTGATTTATATTTTTAATTCACTGGGAACAATGCCACGTTTGAATCACGGCTTTCCATTCTTTCTTACAAGTTTGTTTTTCGATCCATGATGATAACACATACCTTGGATATTCAATATGCGGCTTTTGGGCGTTGGCCATGATAGGACCAAGACATTCACAATCAAATTGTTTTGTGTTTTAAATGTTTGACATTCCAAATGTCTTAAAACATGAATTGATGCAACCTCCAACTACCTCGTATCCCATCACACATATCCAAATCTCACAATTTTCCAACACCATTCATGAATTTACTCATCATTACAAATATAAGTTTTTAGTTTTTGGGTAAGTTTGTCTACCTCTGCCCTTGGAGTTCATGCATTGCCCTTAATTCTTTTTCGCACGAGAC